AATATGTTAATGGAGACTGTGTTATTTCTTCCTTTCCTTTCTGTATGCCTTGTACTTATTTTTATACCCTTGTTGCACTGTTTAGGAACTCCAGTTTGAAAATGACTGGAAGAGGTGAAATTAGAAATCCTCACTTTGTTCCTGATTTTAAAGAGAAAGCATGCAATCTTTCATCAAGTCTGACGTTAGCTGTAGGTTTTTGTAGTGTCCTTTAAAAGTATTCCTTTTAATTCTAGTTTGCTGAAAGTTTTTATCCTGAATGGAATTTGAATTTTGTCTGACGCTTTTCTGAATCTGTTGAGATGATATGTCTGTTGATATGGTGAGTTACGTAAATCAATTTGAACACTGAACCAACCTTGTATTCTTAGGATAAATCCCACATGATCATGAGCTTTTATCTGTTGTATATATTTCCAGATTTGACTTGCTAATATTTTGTTGGGTATTTTTGCAGCTTTGTTCATGAGAGATATTGGTCTATAGTTTTCTTGCAATGGTTTTGTCTAATCTTGATGTCAAGATTATGCTGGCCTTAGACATGAACAGGGAAGAGCATTTCCCTCTGTCTTGTGGAAGACTTCATGCAGAATTGGCAGTATTTCTTCCTTAAATGTTTGGTGGAATTTGCTAGTGAAGCTATTTGGTCCTGGAGTTTTCTTTGTTGTAAGATTTTTAACTGCAAATTCAATTTCTTTGATAGACATGGGACTATTTAGCTTAACTATTTCTTCTTGAATGAGCTTTTGTAGTCAAGTCTTTTAAGGAATTTGTTCATTTGAACTAAGTTATTAAATTTATTAGCATCAAATTGTTGATATCATACCCTTATACATTTTTTAAGACTGGTCGAGTGCAGTAGTGAGAAGGCCTTCTAATCTTTTACTGACTGTAAGATCTGTAATTCCTTTATTCCTAATACTGGCAATTTGTGTCTTTTCTTTCTTTTTATTTTCCTGATCAGGCTAACAGTTTATCAATTTTATTGCTCTTCTCAAAGAAGCAGCTTTTGGTTTCATTGTGTTTTTTTTTCCCATTGTTTGTATTCACTATTCCATTGTTTTCTGCTGGTATTTTAAATTATCTCCTTGCTTTTACTCCTTTTGAGTTTAATTTCTTCTTTTCTAGTTTAAGATGAAAACTTAGATAATTGATTTCAGAATTTTCTTCTTTGTGACTATAAGTATTTAATGATGTAATTGTCCCTCTAAACACTGAGCGGTGTCTCACCTATTTTGACATATTGTCTTCTCATTTGTATTCCATTCAACATATTTTCTAATTTCTCTTGTGACTTCTTCTTCAACCTATGGATTATTTAGAAGTGGGTTGGTTAATTTCCAAATACGCGGGAGGGTTCCAGCTATCTTTTTATTATTAATGTTTAATTTAATTTCATTGTCGTAAGAGAATTTACTGTATTAATTCAATTCCTTTAAATTGGTTGAGGTTTATTTTGTGGTGCAGAATGTGGTCTTTTTGGCATACATTCTATGTGCCCCTGAAAAGAATGTGTATTCTCTTATTGTGGGTGGTGTGTGGTATCAGTATCCATTAGGTCAAGTTGGTTGATAGGATTGTCAGACCTTTTATATCCTTATGATTTTCTGTCTACTTGTTCAATTGATTACTGAGACGCTGAAGTCCAATGGTAAATGTGGGTTGGTCTGTTTCTCACTTCAGTTCTATCTGTTGGTTTTTTGTTTCATGTGTTTTGAACCTTTGTTGCTAGGTGCATACACATTTGGAATTGTTGTTTTGTTGGTGAATTAGCCCCTTTATCATTATATAATATCCCTCTTTATCCCTGATAATACGTATTGCTCTGAAATGTACTTTTTTGGATGTTAATGCAGCTAGTCCAACTTTGATTAGTGTTTGTGTGGTATATTTTTCCATCTCTTTACTTTTAACCTATGTTTTATATTTAAAGTGGGATATCTGGTAGATAGCTTATCATTGGGCCTTACTTTTTTTAATCTAATTTGAAAATCTCTGTCTTTTGATTTAGATATTTAGACACTTTACACTTAATATAATTATCGATATATTTCAATGTAAAATATCATCTTGCTGGTCATGTTCTATTTGTCCCATCTGTTCTTTTCCCCTTTTCCTTCTTCTTAGGTTTAGTCCTGTTAATGGTTCCATTTCATCTCCACTGTTGGCTCCGTAGTTATACATCTTTTCAAAGTTGTTTGGCCTAGAGTTTACAGTATACACCTTTAACCTAATAGTGTAGCTCTGAGCGATACCATGTCCTTCACTACAGTGCAGGACTTTACAGCAGTGTGGTTCCATTTCCCCCACGTCCTTAGTGTTTTGTTGTCGCATTTTACTTTTACGTGTGTTACAAATCCCACAATGGATGGTTACTATTTTTGCGCTAGACGGTCAATTATGTTGCAATGCTTTTTCCATGTCTCTTCTCTTTAAAGCATTTCTAGAGCCCATTCTTTTCCTAGTGTAGAGCCAGGGTTCTCTAAGCTGTCATAGTCCTTGGCTTGAAGAAATTTTCTTAATATTTCTGGTGGTGCATGTCTGCTGTTAATCTCTTTCAGTTTTTGTTTATCTGAAAAAGTATTTATTTCACTTTCATTTTGAAAGATACTTCAAGTTTCACAGCATTGACAGCTTTTTCCCTTTGTATTTTAAACATGCCGTTCTACTGTGTTTCGGATTGTATGATTTCGAATTCTAGCTCTGATGAAATTCTTATCTTTGTTTTTCTGTATGTAGCATGTCTTTTTTCATATGAATGCTTTGAAGATTTCCTCTTTTGGTTTTTGACAGTCACTGTTTTAGTATGAGGTGTCCAGGTCATTTTTTTTTGTAGGAGGGACATATTATGCTACTTGAGATGCTCTGAGCTTTTTGGATCTATGGTTTTATGTCTTTCGTTAAGTTTAGAAAACTTCTAGGCTATACCTCTTCAAATATTACTTCTGCCTTATTCTCTCCCTCTCCTCTCTTTGTGGGAGTCTACAGGCATTAATGATGATTTTATTCTCCTAAGCTGTTTGATGTCTTGTTCTTTCTGCTCCCCCTCACCCCCCCGCCCCCGTCTTTCTCTTTGTGTTTTAATATGGGCAATTTCAACCTGCTTATCTTCAGATTCAATGATTCTGCACTTGGCTGTCTCAGTTCTGCTGATGTGTCCATTGAATTCATCTTTGGTACTGTATGGTATTGTATTTTGAGTTCTACACTCTCTGTTTGACTTTCTTTTCATTTCCATCTCTCTATTGAAATTCCCCATTTGTCCATATATGTAGTCTGTGTTTTGCATTTGATCCTTTAAAATATTAATTTTAGTTATTTTCTCTCTCTCTCACTCTCTCTCCTCCTCTCTCTCCCTCTCCCTCCCTCATTTATTCCATGAAGCCCCATATACCCCACTTAATCCAATGCTTCACTCCATCCATGGGTAATGCTTATCCTAAATTTAAAATTTTTCATTTTTGTGCCTTTATTTATGGATTTACCACACACGTGTCCCCTCTAACCATTCTACCAGATCACTTAACCTTTCTTACTTATTTGCCACTTCTTTGACTCTTTTTGCTGCATTCTGGATACTTTCTTCAGATCTGCCTTCTGATCTTTCTAATTCTCTCTTCAGCTGTGTCTAATATTCTGTGTAACTTGTCCACTGAGTTTTTCATTTACACTACTTGATTTTTTGTTTCTAGCAGTTCTATTTGTTTCCCTCAGGTGTGTTTCTTTCTTTTATTCTAATAGACTCTCATTCTGTTCTCGTGGTTCCACATCTCTCCTTTATTTCTTTACGTATATTACTTCTTTTCTTTCTTTCTTTTTTTCTCTTATAGTCACTATGCTATACATTACATCCTAAGGACTTATTCATTTTATAAGTGGGAGTTTGTACCTTTTGACCCCCTTCACCCATTTTGCACACGCCCCACCCCCACCTCTGACAACCACCAATCTGTTCCCTGTGTCTATGGGCTCATTGTTTATTAGATTACACATATAACAGATAATACAGCGTTTGTCTTTCTTGGTCTGACTTCTTTCACTAGTCATAGTTATTTGAAAGTTTCAGTCCATTGGCTCCAACATCTGGGTCATTTCTGAGTCCAGTTTTATTGATTGCTTTGTCTCTCGACAATTGATTGATTTTTTTCCCCCTGCTTTTTGTTTTGTTTGAATGTCAGGTATCATGGACTAACTGAAACGGACGTGAACAGTGTTTCCTCCAGGAAATGGTTGTGTCTCTTCTGTCAGGTCATCAGTTTATGGTGGAAGTTTTGAATTAACCTGGTCAGATGTTGACCTTGGTTTGAGTTTTATTGTTATTGTGATGACCTTCAGGGTACCAAAGAATTCTGATTCCTCCTGTGGTGAGCAGCAGCTTGTGCTTAGGGCCGGAGCTGGGGGTGCTGTGTTTTAGCTCCTCCCTAACTTTTCAGCTGCCCTGCGTGCCCGGCGCACAGAGGGGACCTCAACACCCATCTGCCTTTCTCAGGTAGAGACTGATGCTGCTGAAGCAGCTGTGCTGGCCAGGTGAGTCGGGAGGCAGAAGGGGTCTCGAGCTGTCCCATAGTCAGACTTGAGCTGGCCCTGTGTGCCTGGGACCTGGAGGGCAAGGCTTTCTCACTTCCTGCTGCTTCTAGCTGGGATGGCTGGACTTTACCCTCTATTTGTGGTGGGATTGTGTGAGAATTTCCTGCCCTCCCTGTTATAGTAATCCTTTAAGATACTATGTGTGACGCAGAGCCCAGGACTGTTTCCCATCCCCTACTCAGTGGGAGGGAACTTTTTCCTCTTCCCTTCCCCATCCACAGTGTGGGTCTCCGATGGCCGATGTGAGGACAGCACCTCCTCACACCCTCCGCTCACCAGTGATTCCCCCACCATCAGCTGAGCCATGAGGAAGCCGGCTGCTTGAGGAGGGGCTGCTGAGCTTACGATTTGTATACACCTTCAGGGAAAGAATTTCGGAAATAAAGGAAGATAAAGTCGATGGACAAGCTGCATTGGGAAAGCACGATTTATTTAGCTCACATAGGGTTTTGTTTCCTGCTGGAGACAGAGAAGGACCCTGGGAACCAGGGCTTCCCTGAGGGGATGGGCAGGTTCACGGAGGGAGCCAGATCATCTGGCCACGTGCCCACCTGAGTTTACAGGGTTCAGCAGATGCTTTTCATCTGCCACGTGCAGAAGCTGGAGGCCCACTCTTTCTGGGAAGGGTACAGGTGTGGACCTGTGTGCACTGAGAGCAGCTGAGAAAGGGACTCATGGTCAGTAGCAGCAAGGGGTGCAAGAGGGGACAGGTCTGCAGACCAGAGTGAGGCAGGAGGGCTGGCAGCACCTGGAGGACTGGCAGGAGGGGGCCACACAGACAGCAGGCCTGCAGCTCACAGGCACACACACGAAGGACTGGCAGGAGGGGGCCACACAGACAGTGGGCCTGCAGCTCACAGGTGTGCACACAGCCGGCTGGCAGCTCACAGGTGAGCACACGGCAGGCTGGCAGCTCACAGGCACACAGCAGGATGCCTGGCAGGGCCTGGACGAGCAGCAGGCAGCCTGGCAGCCTGAGGAGCAGCTGGTGTGGCACATGGTGGCGTGAGGCTGGGCTGGTGTTGGGGTGGAGGCGGTGGTGTCTGCAGACTCCTTCCCGGGGCGGCCTTTATACCCGACAGTGGGCGTTCCAACAACACGGAAGCACACTGTTGACTTCCTCCTGGCTGTTTCCACCACGGTCCACAGCAGCTTCCTGTCTGGGGACGCACTCCTCTGTGTTATGCTCCACCGTAAATCAGTTTGGCTTCAGGCCGATTCCTCTCTCTGTGAACAGGGCGTCTGGGTTTGACCCCACGTGGGGTTTCTCCAGGCCATCACTGTGCACGCAGCCTCCACTCGGAGGACTGTGTCCTTTCAATCCTGTTTGTCTCGTGCCATCAGTGGAGACCTGGAGGCAATCATGTATTTTGAGATTTTATTCTGTGCAGGAACACGTTAAAGCAGGGCTCACCAACTGAAGTCTGAGGGACGCAGCTGGCCTGCTGCCCATTTGTAATAAAGTTTTATTGGACACAGGCATGTACATGTCGTCCGGGGCGGCTTTTGCACGGCAACGCTGAGCAGTGATGGGAGAGACCATGCAACCGCAAGGCCTGAAATATTTACACCTGCTCTTCACTGAGCGTTTGCCACCTCCTGCCTCATGGTCATCTATACAAGAATTGATTTGTTCATGCAACAATTATATCCTGTGTGCTGGCCATAGAGACGTCCTGGCCCCATGAGCCTTCCAGGGCCATGAAGAAATGAGTGAATGAAGAAATTCATGCATGAAAGAATTCCAGAGAGGGCCGAGTCCCAGGAAGGAAACAGGTTCAGCAGATAGAGAGTGATGGGAGTGCTGGGGGGTGGTCTGGGGGCCTCTGTGAGGAGGCCATGTGGAGCTGGCACAGGGGATGTGAAGAGGGGAGGGGACAGTGTTCCAGCAGAGGCAGCCGTGGGGGTGAGGTGAGGACACTGCTGCAGAAGCAGGTGTGGTCCAGGAGCCGCGGGAAATCCCACCGTGTGGGGCGCGAGGGTGCAGGGGCCGGTGGACCAGGCATCGCAATCTTGGGCTGATAGAGGGAGAAGGAGTCGGTGACCTTGAGGACACATCAGTAGAAATCATCCAATCTGAAGAAGTGGGAAAAAGAGTAAGAAAAAGGAGGAGGGCCTATGAGACGGTGTCAGAAAGTCAAACCTACAAGTAATTTCAACCAAAGAAGGAAAAGAGACTGACACTGACACATAAGAATGTTTTGAAGAATAAAAGACAAAAATCCCCAAATTTTATTTTTTTAAAAAAAATTTCAACTTACAGATCCAAGAATATCAGAAAGCCCCTAAAGCCCCAACATAATTTGGCACAGCAGTAAAAACCACAGATTCCGGAGGGAAACCAGGCAGCTTCAAACACCGCTTCTCTGTGTGCAGTGGTGAGAATGTGCCCACGTCATGGGCTCCTTCTAGAGCCTCCTAATTGCACATCTGTACCAGTGGGGTATCACCCACCCCTTGAACGGCAGCAGGACGGATCATTAATCAGTTATGAGACTGTCCACCTGAATTCTTGGCTCTGCACCCGACACAAAGCTGGAACTTGGTTGTTACTGTTGTTATTGCAACAACGTGGACCCTGCACAGTGAGGACCCAGCCCCATGGCTCCCGCCCGCTGGGAAGACCTTCTGGATTACTGAGTTTCCAAAGCAAAATGGGGACCCTGGTGGGGTAAGTGTGACTGTGTCTGTGCAGACAGAGGGCAGGGTATTCAAAATTGGGAAGGATCTTGAAAATCGTGATGTGGAGCCCCTGTCCCCAGCTGATGGCCCTTCACCATCCATCCTGGACGCGACTCCAGAGTCACGTGGCCGCTGAGTCACAGGGAGTCTCCAGCTGAGGAGGAACCTCCTGGACTGCGTCACTTCAACCAGAAACTCCAGGAGGAAACCCATGGAGACGAAGAGGAGAACAACCAGGAAACCACGAGGAAGGCACCTGGTGGCTCATTGCCAGGACGCCCACAGCCCGCAGGTATAAAGGTCCCCCTGGGCCAGGAGCCTGCAGACCAGCCCGTCCTCTGCCCTGACCCCAGCCCAGCCCCACACCACCATGTGCCACACCAGCTGCTCCACAGGTTGCCAGCCGGCTTGCCCTGCCCCCTGCTGCCCTCCCCTGGTCTGCAGGAGCTCCTGCAGGCAGCCGGCCCCCTGTGTGTCTCTGCTGTGCCGGCCCGTGTGCGGCTCCGCCACCTCCTGCCAGTCGGCATGCGGCTGCCTGTCCCCATGCTGCCCACCCACCTGTGGCCAGGCCTCCTCCTGCAGCCCGGCCTGCTGTGTGCCCAGCCCCTGCCAGGTAGCCTGCTGTGTGCCCGTGAGCTGCAGGCCCACTGTGTGCACACCTGTGAGCTGCAGGCCCACTGTGTGTGTGCCCGTGAGCTGCAGGCCCATTGTGTACCTGGCCCCCTCCTGCCAGTCCTCCGGGTGCTGCCAGCCCTCCTGCCCCACCCTGGTCTGCAGACCTGTCCTCTCTTGCAGCCCTTCTTGCTGCTGAGCCTGTGGCCTCCCAGGACCCCTCCTCCACGTGTGGGGTCAGAAGCAGCTGGCTCTGAACTCCTCTGAGGCAGCCCAGACGTTGTTCACTTCAGACCTTCCGGACCCAACTAGACCACCTTGCAGCAAGGCCGCGCCGTCCCAGGCAGCCAGGCTGAGGGGCTCACCCCCCAGTGTCCCCTGACTGCTGTCCGGGTCATCCGCCTGGTGCCCACACTGGCTGGTGCGGTGTCCAGACTCTGCAGCCTCCAGCATCAAAGGTCTAATAAACACCATAGTGGATGCTCATCCCAGTGTGTGCGACGTCTCTCCGTTGTGTCCTTCCCTAATTCCTTCCCCAGGGGTGGTTTCCTAAGGATCCTGGAAAGTTCCTTCTCTGCAGAGAAGGCCCAGCTTACCAGGTGGCCGAGACTTGGTGGCTGACCGCTCAAAGGTGGCCTCTTGGGGGAGTGGGCATGCTCCTGGCACTCAGTCCGATGGGACACCCAGGGCTCCCTTTGTCCCACTTTTTCCCTCGAACTTCGAGGTGAGTGCTTGCCCTGCTCTGGGTGGGATGGAGGGCAAATCTCTAATTTTCCGATCTGACCCCTTTTAGGTGCAAAGGTCCCCTGCTCAGCAATCACCATGCGGAGCCCACTCTAGTCTAAAAATGAAAACTCTTTTGCACTGAAAAGTGCAGCTCCTCCTTCTCCCAGTCGGTGGGAAGGAGCCTCCTGGGTGGCTTCTGTGGTCCCCCAGAGAGGTCCACGTCCTAATCACGGAACCTGGGAATACGTCCCCTCACAGGCAGAGCAACTGTGCAGACGGCAGTGATTAAGGGTCTTGTGATCGGAGATGGTCCTGCATCACCCAGGTGGGCTGAGGGCATCACAGGGACCATGAGACGGGGGCAAAGGGAGACCTGGCTACAGCAGAGGTGGCCATAGGAGGATGGACACGGAGCAAGGGGCCACAAACCGAGGAATGGGGAAGCCTCTAGAAGCTGGAAGAGACGAGGAACAGATTCTCCCCGGAACCTCCGGGAGGAGACAGCCTGCCCACACCTTGATTTAGCCCCGTGACACCCATTTCCGATTCCATCGTTCACAGCTGCGAGAGGATAAATTCGTCTTGTGTTAGCCACCACATCCGTGGTCCTTTGTTACGGGAGCCACAGGACCAACCCAACTTCTGTGTGGCACACCCTCCGATTCCCACCCTTCCTGCGTGGTCCTGCCAACTGCAGCCCTGACCATCGCGGGCACAGGGAGGAGGCAGGAGCCGCCAAGGGAAGCAAGGCGGGCGCACCACACAGGTTGTGAGGCCAGCTCCTCCGTGCCCTGCTACGGGGTCTTTGAGCCCATCCTTCCTGCATGGGCTCTTCCTGCTGCAGCTCAGCCCCAGGGCCCTAACCGGCTTAGCCCCCATGGTGTGAACACGGGCCACTCCAGAGCAAGGGCCATCATGGCGACAGGTGGGAGATACCCAAGGGGGCGCCGTTCTCATCAGAAGGAAGCTGTTGGCGCACCAGTGTGCCGGGGGGGAGCTCTTTGGGAACCAAGAAATAGTCTAAGAGGAACACCGTCCGGGGGGCCCTTCCTGCAGGAAGACACACATCTAGAAACTTCCATTATGGTAATGTCACACGACAGTGAGGATGCGAAAAGCAGGAGGAATTCTTAGAGTTCCCACTATGTGAAACTGTCTTATCCGTCGTTCCATTCAAACCAGGCGGCCTCGCTGGCTGTTTCATCATCACCTCTGTCTAAGCCATGTCATCTCACATCGCGTCCTCGCCTCCCAGACACCCTCCCCGACGCCCCCGGGGGCCGCCTTCGCTGGCCACCAGTACCATGCAGGTTTCTCCTGTGACGCCTTTGAGGGCGGAGACTGTCCTGGTCTCAGTCAGGATGAGTCAGGATGATGGGGTGTCACGGGCTTGGGGAGCAGGAGTCGCGTTCGCTGCCGACAGAGCGGCCCCGAGATCTGGACGGTCTCAGGGCGTTTAGAGTCATCACTGCATCACAGACACGTATTAAATAAACCCCTGAAGGTAAAGACCGCCTGTCGTCCCTGACTGATCCTCTCTGTCTGCGTCAGCGCTGCCGACGTGACCCGTGTAGACACCCACGGCCGCCAGCAGCTCAGCCTGTTTTTCCACTGGTGTCACATGGGCCACACGCGACCACGTGGTACCTGGCTGTGCCCGTCTGTGGCTGTAACTGACTTTCCCAAGAGGGTTCTGGATGTTCTGGTGCCGTGGGGGTCAAGGCAGGAGCACGTCCGTGCAGATGACCCGTCCGTCCGTCCTTCTGTTGGACTGTTCTGGTGTCACCGTGGGTGGTAAGTTGCTGGTCTCCACGTGTGTCAACATCCCTGCACTTCACTTTTTTGGGTTGGGGGTGAGGTGGGACCTTCTTCTGTGTCTTTCCTAACTCTTTGTGCCATGAAGAGTCCATCAAGGCCTTGTCCATCTATCTATAGAGAGGGCCCCACTTTTCTTAAAATTCAGTGAACAAGTACGGGTACAGGTTTGCATAGACTCGGGCAAACTGAGGGATTTAAGAGTGAGGCAGGGTTACAATGCAGCCACTTACTCTTTAAGTCCCTCTTAGGGTTTTTGCTCCGTCCCCTCTTCCTGGGGTACAGCTCATCTTGGGTGGGAGAGGGACCTACAGCCCTGGGGAGGTGCCTCCTGTTCCGGGCCCATCTGCCGCCCGCCTCTGCTGTTTTCCTGCTCCTGTGGGCCTCCTCTGTCTGTTCCTGGCCCAAGGGATGAGTACGGTACCAATGCGGACCTGGTCCCTCTGACTGGTACCCCCTTGACTCTCTAGTGCTAGTGGTCCACTGAGACTACAGGCTCATCCTCCCCAACTGTCCCATGGATTTGTTCACAAGGTGACTTATTGCTCTGGGCCTCCTCAATGAGGCCTTGAAACCTTGAGTAGAATGAGTGATGTGGGAACTGACACCTATGCCCCTCTTGGGGCCCATAGGAACTTCCGGATGCTTCAGAGCATGCAGGGGTCGGCCTCAGGCCCTGTGCAGCACCAGCATGCAGGTGCTCCTCCTCTCTGTGAGCCCCTCTCTCCAAGGGGCGTCAGCAGGATCCCCGACCACACGGGGTTTCTGCTGCTCCCCACTCAGCTGCACACTGCACCGGCAAGGGGACGGTGTGCACAGGAGGCCCAAGGCCCCTCGGGGTCCAAGCCTCCTGCACCCACGCCTGCCTCGGGGGCCAGCCTTGGAGGGCTCCGCATGGCAGGAGGGGGCCACGGGGCGGGGCAGGGGACCAAGCAGGCAGATGCGTCCGCTCTCAGCTCTCGGCGTCCCTCAGCTGTTTGAACCCAGGTTTGAGACCACGTCTTCACTGTCTGGTTCTACCAGACGGGGACCCGCTGCCCACGTGGGATGTGGCGGCCGGTGGGGCGGGGGGAGGCGCTCAGTAGGAGGAAAGAAGAGACAGAGGGCCAGATTTCCTGACACAGACGTTGTATTGATTATAGCCATGGACGTTTGTCACGCCAAGTGCCGGCAACCAATCTGCACGGGAGGCTCCCAGGTCCCCCAGGTCCCTGCCTTGAGGGATCTGCGGGTCATCTCTTCTCAGAAAGGGCGGCTGGGTGAGCAAATCCCCGGGCAGCTACTATGTGTCTGCGATGGGGAGAGAGAGGTCTTGGCATCCGAGGGTCGGGCTCCTGGGAGGGACCTGTGCTCAGGAGCAGAGACAGCAGCTCGAGAGGCAGGAGCCGGAGCCGCTCAGCAGCAGGACTTCTGGGCTGGGGTGGGGCTGCAGCGGGCTGCGCGGGAGCACGCGGGGTGGCAGAGCAGGGACACGCAGGAGGCCGGGCGGCAGCAGCTGGGCTGGCAGGAGGCAGGGCCACAGCAGGAGGGGACTGGCACGCAGCAGGCGGGTCTACACACGGGGCGGCAGATGAGGGACACGCAGGAGGAGGGTTTGCAGCAGGACGGGGGGCAGGGGCTGGGCTGGCAGCACGAGGGGGCTGGGCAGGGGGTGGCCTTGGAGCAGACGGGTGTGCAGGAGATGGGCACGCAGCAGGCCTGCTGGCAGGGGGAGGAGGTGCAGCAGGAGGGCTGGCAGCTAGACTGCTGGCAGCACGAGGAGTCTGAGCAGGGGGAGGCCCCAGAGCAGACGGGCACACAGCACACGGGCTTGAAGCAGACGGGGGTGCAGCAGACGGGCACGCAGCAGGCCTGCTGGCAGGGGGAGGAGGTGCAGCAGGAGGGCCGGCAGCTAGACTGCTGGCAGCACGAGGGCGTGCAGGAGCTGGTGCAGGCTGCCTGGCAGGGGCTGCACACACAGCTGGTGCAGATGAGGGTCAGGCAGGGGGCCGGGACGCAGCAGCTGGGGGCGCAGCAGGGGGGCTCGCAGCAGCTCTCTGGGCCGTCGTCCACCCACCAGGAGGAGTCGGGGCAGGAGTCCCAGGCACCGGGCTGGCAGACCCGGCTGCCATAGCTGAGGTCGCTGGAGCAGACGGACAGGGTGGAGGCGGCCATGGTGGGGCGGTGGGGCTGGAGGAGGGTGGAGTGTGTGTGTGAGTGTGTGTGTGTGTGAGTGTGCATGGTGCCAGGGGCTGTGGCTTTTATACCCCTCTGGGGTGTGTGTTGTCCCAGCAGGAGGCCGCATACCCTCCCTTCCTTGTTGGTGTTTTGCACTGTGAGGGCCTTCATTATGGCCGGTCCACTGTCATGAAATGTCCTTCCTCAGCTCGTAAAACTGGCACCATGCTGGTCAGGGCTGCTGTCCCAGTCCTGAGTCTGCCCTGCAGGGACACCTGCCGGAAGGAGCAGCCTCCTTGTGGCTGACCCTCCAGCTTCCACAGGGCGGGTCATATGTCAGGACGCCTGGTGACAGTGGCTTTGGGCCCATGGGGACGCACTCTGTGTGGTCCAGGCTCTGTGTGCAGGCTCCGATCTGGGCTGGCAGGCCAGACCTGTGACTGGGGGACAAGTGGCCGAGGTGCCTGTTTTGGGGACAAGACAGTGTGAGGACGGCCCTTCCTGGGCGGGCTCTGTGAACTTGATGGTCCCTATGTCGGCCCAGGGCAGCGAGGAGGATGCGGCCCAAGGACTGGAGAGGGCCTCCACTCCTTAAGAAGGAGATGGAACATTCTAGCAAGGCCTGCGCTCCCTTGTTCTTAGGAGGATCAGATTCAGGGACTGACCTTGGGGTCCTAAATCTCATCCCCAGAGCCCATGGTCAGTTGTCCTGAGGGAGGCAGGTCTGGGGTCGGGGACCGAGGGTCAGGGCGGGATTTAATCTGGAGGAGGAGGCAGGGCACGAGGCTGGTGTGGAGAAGCTGGAGGACAATCCATCATCAACGTGCTTTCAAATGAAACCCAAAGGGAATCTCTTTGGTACATAAATTGGGACTATTGAACTGTCAGAAAATAGTGGTGTGCATGATGGATGAAAGGTCATATGAAAATTAAACAGTTCTTACAACTAAAACAGGGTGAGATACAAGGTATTCAATATGAAATTCAAAACACTCAAATTTCCAAGAAGCGTATGAAATGCTAGTTGATCTCATTAACAATTAAATTTCTCAGATTACAACATAAATGTCCCACCTGTACAATCACCCAAGATTTAGGATCTTAGGGCGATTGGGCATGGGGGCCTCACTCTTAGGATCCTTTAGCAGCCATGATTTTTTAAAATTGTGATAACACTTAATATAAAATTTGCCTTTTTATCCATTTTAAATTGTACAATTTAGTGGCATTTAGTACAATCACAATATTGTGCAACCATGAGCACTACCTAGTTCCAGAACATTCTCATCACTCCAAAAGGAAATCCTATGCTGTTAAGTAGCCCCTCTCCAGCTCCTGTCAATCACTGCCCTGGTTTCTGTCTCTATGGATTTGCCTATTCTGCATATTTCATATGAAAGGAATCATACAATATGTGGCCTTTGTCTCGGACTGTTTTCACTTAGCATGATGTTTTCCATATTTCCAGATACATTGTAGCGTGTATCAGTGCTTCATTCCTTTTTACGGCTGAATACTATTCCACCGTATTCATGTACCACATTTTATTCATCCAATCAGCAGTTGATGGACATTTGGGTTATTTCCACCTTCTGGCTAATGTAAATAATGCTGCTATGACAGTTTTTGTTCAAGTTTTTGCTTGAACACTTCTGTTTGATTCTCTTGGGGTATCTACCTAGGAGCTGAATTGCTGGCTCAATTGGTAACTCTGTGTTTAACTTGTGAGGACCTGCCAGATTGTTTTCCACAGCAGTGGCACCATTTTACATTCCTAGCAGCAGTGTATCAGGGTTTCTATTTCTCCACGTGCTTGCTGACATTTGTTATTTATTTATTTATTTTTTAAATTCTAACCACCCTATTGGGTGTGACGTGGTGTCTCATTGTGCCTTTGATTTGCATTTCCCCAATGACCAATGATAGTGGGCTTCCTTTCATGTGCGTGTTGGCCATTTGCTTATCTTCTTTGGAGAAATGTCTATCAAAGTGCTTCATCCATTTTTAATTGGCTTGTTTGTCTTTTCGTATTGATTGTAGGAGTTCTTTATGTATTCTGAATACAAAACCCTTACAGAATTATGATTTGCACATATTTTCTCCCATTCTATGAGCTGTCTTTTTACTCTCTTGATAGTGTCCTTTGATACACTTTGATAATTTTGATGAAGTCCAGTTTATCTGTAGTTTCTTTTGTTTCTTGTGCTTTTGGTGTCATATAGAATAAACCATTGCCAAGTCTAAGGGCATGCAGGCTTCTTCAAGAGTTTTATAGCTTTGGCTCTTGTTTTTAGGTACTTGATCCATTTTGAGTTAATTCTTGTATATGGTGTGAGATAAGGTTCAGCTTCATTCTTTTGCATGTGGAGATCCAGTTGTCCCAGAACCATTTGTTGAAGAGACTATTCTTTCCCCATTGAATGGTCTTGACTCTCTTGTTAAAAATCAGTTGACCATCGATGCATGGGTTTGTTTCTGGACTCTCAGTTTAATTCCATTGATCTGTATGTGTATCCTTATGCCAGTGCCACTGCTTCGATTACTGTAGCTTTGTACTAAGTTTATTTCTTCCTTGTTAAGTTGGATGTCTTTTATTTCTTTTTCTTGCCCAGCTGCTCTGTCTAGAACTTCCAGTACAATGTTGAATACAAGTGATGAAAGTGGTCACCTTTGTCTTGTTCCTGATCTTAGTGGGAGAGCTTTCAGTCTCTCACCATTGAGCATGACGTTAGCTGTGGGATTTTCATGATGCCCTCTAGTATGTTGAGGAAGTTCCCTCTATTTAAAGTTTATTGAGTGTTTTTATCATGAATGAGTGTTGGCTTTTTTCTGCATCAATTGAGGTGATCACAGGACTTCCCCTCTTCGTTCTATTACTGTGGTGCATTATACTGATTAGTTTTCATGTATTGAATCTCACTTGCTTTCTTGGGAGACATCCCACTTGGTTGTGGTGGAAAATCCTTTTGCTATGCTGCTGCATTTCGTTTGATTGTATTTTGTTGAGGATTTTTAAAATCTTTATCTATAAGGAGCATTGGTCTATAGTTTTTCATTTGTTTACCTTGTCTGACATTGATATCAGGGGAATGCTGACTTCATAGCATGAGTTAGAAAATGTTCCTCATCTTCAGTTTTTTGGAAGAGTTTGAGAAGATTGGTGTTAATTGTTCTCTAAATGTTTAGTAGAATTCGTCATTGAAGCCATCTGGTCCTGGGCTTTTCTTTTTGGGGAGGTTTTTGATGACTGATGTCATCTTGTTACTTGTTTTAAGTCTGGTCAGTTTTTGTATTTATTCTTGAGTCAGTTCACTCACTTTAGATCAAAATATACAAATAGATAGAAAGTAAAAGGATGGGAAAAGGTATTTCATGGATATAGTAACCAAAAGAGAGCTAGGTGACTATAATAACATCAGACGAAACAGACTTTGAGGCAAAAAATTGTAAGAGACAAATAAGGACATTAAATATTGATGAAAGGGTCAATATATCAAGAAGATATGATAATTTTAAACATATATGCACCTATCAACTGACCTCCAAAGTATATGAAGAAAAAATAGGCAGAGTTGAAGACAGAAATAGACAGTTGTAGTTCCATAGTAATAGTTGGGAACTTCAGTAAATCATTTCCATTAATAAAAAATAAAACAAAAGAACACCTACATTTAGATGAATAATGAAATGGAGGACTTGAAGAACACTATAAACCAGCTGGACATACACACAACGTTCAACTCAACAACAGCAAAATACACATTTTCTCAAGTGCACATGGGATATTCTCCAGATTAGACCACATGTTAGGCCACAAAATAAATCTCAATAAATTTTAAAAGATTGAAATCACACAAAGTGTCTTCTCTGACCACAATGAAAGGAAACTAGAAATCATTAACAAGGAAAACTGGAAAATTTGCAAATATATGGAAATTCAACAACATGTCCTTAAACAACCAATGGATCAAAGAAGAAATCTCAAAGGAAATTAGAAAATCATTTCAGATGAATGAAAATGAAAACACAGCAAACCAATACTTATGGGGCACAGCAAATTCAGTGCTCTGAAGGAAATGTATAGCTGTCAACACTTGCATTAAAAAAGAAGAAAGATTTCAAATCAATAACCTAACTTTATATGTTAAGGAACTAGAGAAGAAGAGCAGACTAAACCCAAAGCTAGCAGGAGGGAGGAAATAAAGATTAGAGCGTAGGTTAATGAAATAGCGATTGGAAAAACAATAGAATCAAGGAAACCAAAAGTTGGTTCTTTGAAAAGAGCAAGACTAAGAGAGCAGGCTCAAAAATTACTAAACTCAGAAATAAAAATGGGGACATCACTGTTCAAATTAAGGATTATTTGAGAGTATTTTGAACAACTGTACACCAAAAAGATAGATAACCTAGATGTAATGGGAAAATCCTTACAAACATACACACTACCAAAGCCGACACCTTGACTTGTGGTGTTTTCATGTGGCTTCAGGTTGCTCCTTAGTGCCCTTTTATTTCAGCCTGAATGATCATTCCTCATTGGGCAGGTCTACTGCAATGAACTCTTTCAACTCATATTTCCCTGGAAATGTCTTAATTTCTCCTTCATTTTTGAAGGGTACTTTTGCTGGATATAAACTTCTTTCTTGACAGTTTTTTCTTCCAGCACTTTAAACATGTCATCCCACTGCCTTGCAACCTCATGGTGTCTGATGAGAAATTGGCTGTTAATCTTCTCTTCTGCGGCATTTAAGATTCTCTCTCTGTCTTCACGTTTGGATAATTTGATTGAACGTGTCTCAGTGTGAATTTCTTTGAGTTTATTCTACTTGGAGTTCATTGAGATATTTGGATGTGTAGATTCACATGTTTCCTCAAATTTGGGAAATTTTCAGCTCTCTTCTCTCTCTCCTTTTTCTGGGACTCCTCTTCCGTGTATGTTGGTATGCTTGATGTGGTCCCACAGGTCTCTTATGCTCTGTTCATTTATCCTCACTCTTTTTTTTCCAACCACTCCTCAGACTGGAGTGTATCAGGCGACCTAACTTCAAGTTCACTAATTCTTTCTCCTGCCTGCTCAAATGTGCTACTGAGCCCCTCTAGTGGAGTTTTCCTTTCAGTTATTGTGTGCTTCAACTCCAGAATTTCTATTTGGTTCCTTTTGATATTTCTCTCTCTCCTTTTTTTTTAAACATGAGTTTCTTTTCTTTTTTTAAGATTGGCACCTGAGCTAACATCTGTTGCCAATCTTTCTTTTTTTGTTGTTCTTCCTCTTCTCCCCAAAGCGCCCCCAGGACATAGTTGTGTATTCTAGTTACAGGTCCTTCTAGTTCTGCTATGTGGAACGCCACCTCAGCATGGCCTGATGAGCAGTGCTAGGTCCATGCCCAGGATCCAAACCGACGAAACCCTGGGCAGCCGAAGTGCAGTGCATGAACTTAACCGCTCGGCCATGGGGCCAGCCCCGATATTTCTTTTTATTGATAATCTCTCTTTGGTGAGACATCAGTCTCTTAGTTTCTCTTAGTTCTTTGTTCACAGTTTCCTTGAACTCCTAGAGTATATTAAGAGAGTTGATTTATAGGCTTTGTCTAATAAGTTCAATGTCTGGCTTCTTCAGGGATAATTTTCTATTAATTGCTTTTTTCCCTGTGAATAGGCTATACTTTCTTTCTTCTTTGTGTGCCTCATAATTTTTGTTGAAAACTTGATATTTTGAATACTATAATGTGATAACCTTGGCTATCAGATTCTCCTCCCTCTAGAGCTTGCTGTTGCTGACTGTTTGTGGTTTGTAGTTGTGTTTTTGCGTAGTGACTTTTCTGAACTCTCTTTATGATGACTGCACTCTTTGTCATGTGTGGTCACTGTTCCATTAGCTTAGTGGCAGATGGTGATTCAACAGAGAGTTTCTTAAACACCTTGGGCCAGAATATATCTTTCCCAGTCCTTGTAGCTGGGCTCTGTTTGTGTGTTGGGGCCCACCTTCCACCCTCAGCTGTGCAGTTTACAACTCTGCCTTCACCTTTATTTCCTGCTTGCTCAGACCTGGAAACACAGCCAGAGGTGAGCACCGAGGGCCTTCTCAGGTTCTTTCTGAGTGTGTACCCCCTCGTGTGTATCTATGGGGACACTTAGACTTCTAGGAATCTGTGGAAGTTTTGAAAGCCCTATTCCTCAAAGCATCTCACTTGCCTGCCTTTCATCCTAGACTTTTTGGGGTGTCTTCTGTTTGCTGTAACTTGTGCCTTTCCCAGGCACAGTGACTGACCCATTTGACAAACATTCTCCACATAGCTGCTTCCCCACCTTTGGAGAGTTCTGAGTTAGGAGAAGTAAAGGCAAGCCCTTTATGTGGGTCCTTGAAGAAGCCACCAGGGAGGTTAAACAGACAGCCACACTTCTTTCAGAACAGGGTCCACACTGCTCCCTCCAGCACCAGGACCTCACTGGGACCCAGGCTGCTGGGGACAGGAAAGGGGTAAGGTCACCATAATGGCACAAAGCTCTTCCTTCTGCTTCAATGGCCTTTTTTCTTCATGAAGCATTCCCTTGGTTGTTGTAAACCTTTGATCCTTTTCCAGAGTTCAGATAAAGTTGATTCTGATGGCGTTGCTAGTTTCTCAGTGTTTCTATGGGGGGTGGGCCCTTAGAGTTCCCTATTCCTTATCTTTTCACACATCACTCTTAGCAGGCACAATTTTTTTTCTTTTTGTTTGCTGAGGAAGATTCTCCCTGAGTTAACATCCATTGCCAATTCTCCTCTTTTTTTGCTTAAGAAAGATTAGCCCTGAGCAGGCACTATTTTGAAAACTCCTTTTGAGGGCATCTGTCAGTATCTCCCAGAATTTAAAATCAGCAAACACTCCGACCTGGAAATCCCAACTCTAGGAATTGAGGCACCGTGAAAACGTACACTTGTGCACACAAGTATATGGTGAGGACCCTCACAGTGGTGTTTGTCATAATCAAAACTAGAGAAACTTGAAATGCCCATCTACTTGGTTCTGCATAAATCAGTAATGCTCTGTCCATGATTTGGGATGCTATGCTCCTGGGCAAAAGAAACCACCATGAGATATTTTTCCTCGTCAAATTGGCAAAGATAGAAAAATGTGAGCCCCTATGTTGCAAGTCTATGCTGTTATTAAGAAATAAAAATCCAGAGCCTCTTGTGTGCCACACAGATGTTCACATCACCAGTGTCTGTGCCCTTTGCCCTACAGTTCCAGTTCTCGGAGTCTATTCTCAGACGCACTCAGTTGTGTGTGAAACTGCACCTAGCTACAGCTTGGCCCATGTTCTGGATACCTTCTATCACTGTCCTGGGCTTTCTCCACCATCCCCGCTCGAGATCTCCCCTTTCCCACCTGCTCTCCATCAACCTAGCCCAGCAGGTGGAAGTCAGGCTGCATCTTGTTCTCTGTCTGCTGCATCCCAGCAGCTGGCACAGTCCTGGAGTACGGGGCAACCCAGGGCCTCTGTCTGTGTGTGGGAGCCCAGGATGCCCAGCCATCGGAGAGCGCTGTGTGGGCGCTGGGCCAGGGACTGCCAAAGTCTTCCTCGTCCCCATCTCTCAGCTCAACTGCGGTCCAGGATGTCCCCCAGGAAGGAGCTGCTTCTACCCACAGTGAGTTGAGGGGCCTCTGGTCAGAGCCCAGGTGGTGCCCATTGGACCTGCCCAAGAGCAGAGCTTCTGGAACCCCACAGGACCTGGGACAATGGCCAGACAGCAGAATGATGCCATGAGGTAGACATGAGACTCCAGGTGTCACGTGATAGAGCCCCCAGGCACCCCGAGTTGGTGCTATAGAGAGAGTCTGAGGAACCCAGGCCTCACTACGGCCCCCTCTCACCCCAGGTGTGTGCACAGTCAGCACAAAGGGCCAGTGAGGGGAGCAGAATTTTTATTGGTGCTCAGAGGTTAAGAGGGACATTGCTCGGTGCACGACCAGGGTCAGGAAGGGCCCAGCCCTGACCAGAGGAGGGAGGTGGCTTGGAGCAAAGAAGCACAGTGTAGAGTGGCCAGGGTGCCCATGGATCAAGGTCAGGAGAGGAGCTCCATGAGCATTTTAGGCCCCACACCTGGGCTGGACTGGGGCAGGCGGGGCTGGTCTTTCCTCTGTGCTGAGAGACACCTGGGTGGGGTGGGCCAAGGAGGCTGGGAGATCAGGGGCTTCCAGGGGCTGGAGGGGAGGAGGATCCCTGGAGCCTGGCTAGCCCAGGGGATGTGCCCGGTCAGCAGCAGGTTTTCTGGGCTGGGGTGGTGCCGCAGCGGGCCACGTGGGAGCACGCGGGGCGACAGAGCAAGGACACGCAGGAGGCCGGGCGGCAGCAGCTGGGCTGGCAGGAGGCAGGGCTGCAGCAGGAGGGGACCGGCACACAGCAGGCGGGCCTGCCCACGGGGCGGCAGATGAGGGACACGCAGGAGGAGGGTTTGCAGCAGGACGGGGGGCAGGGGCTGGGCTGGCAGCACGAGGGGGCTGGGCAGAGGGTGGCCTTGGAGCAAATGAGTGTGCGGCAGACGGGCACGCAGCAGGCCTGCTGGCAGGGGGAGGAGGCGCAGAGGGAGGGCTGGCAGCTAGACTGCTGGCAGCACGAGGTGTCTGAGTAGGGGGAGGCCCCAGAGCAGATGGGCACACAGCACACTGGCTTGCAGCAGACGGGTGTGCAGGAGACAGGAATGCAGCAGGCCTGCTGGCAGGGGGAGGAGGCACAGCAGGAGGGCTGGCAGCTAGACTGCTGGCAGCATGAGGAGTCTGAGCAGGGGGAGGCCCCAGAGCAGACAGAGACACAGCACACGGGCTTGCAGCAGACGGGGGTGCAGGAGACAGGCACGCAGCAGCATGGGGGCTCGCAGCAGCTGGAGGTACAGCACGGGGGCTCGCAGCAGCTCTCCTGGCCATTGTCCACCAGCCAGGAGGAGCCGGGGCAAGCACTGGGTGAGCAGACCCGGCTGCCACAGTTCAGGTCGCTGGAGCAGACGGACAGAGTGGAGGCGGCAATAACGTAAGTCCTGGAGCAGCAGGTGTCGGCCATGTTGGGCTTCTGTGCTGGGAGGTGAGCGGGTGGAGGGTGAGTAGTGGGGAGTGAGTGAAGTGCTCTGGGCATTGGTGCTTTTATCTCCCTCCCTGGGGTGCAGGGCCTCACCTGATCTCGACAAGCCTTCCCTTTCCTTGTTGTTGCTCAGAGTGTGTTATTTGCTGAGAGGTGTTCGTAATCTAGTCCCCAAGACTTCTGAGTGTGTCTGGTGGGCTGATCACTGGAGGTGCGTTTGTGTCCTGAAAACAAGTGCTGAGATGCAGCGTTTCTGTTGGCGAATGGCTCCTGACTTGGGTGTGTCTGTAAAACCTTGGCTCCTCTTTCCATCTCTTTGCTTGTGTATCTTTGGGATGAATTCTAGTCCCAGGATGTTTTGTACCTGCAGATGCTGCACCCGTGTTCCTGACCCTCTTCCACTGAACAACGGGTGTCTTGACCTGAAGGGGTGCCCCATCTCGCCTGCTCTGTCTGCAAACCTGGTGGGGTGTCCACGGCTCTCCTCTGTGCACACGACTCCCAATGTCCATCTCAGATGCTGTTCTTAGTTCTCCTATGTATCGCACAATTACCAAATCGTGTATATTCTGTTATTTCTTGAGTTTTCAGTTTCAGGTGTGATCTAATTTCCTGTTGTGGAAGAAAGCGCTTTCTCTTGTTTTCCACCAGCCCCATGAGAAGTTCCTCCTTCCTACCCCAATATTTGGTTATATCAGTGTTCAAAGTCTGTACTCTTTTAACCGAGTGAGTGTTGTTCATAGTCTGCGTAGTGGAACCAGAGTTAATTTCCTTACTTGTACATGTTTTGTCTTTGCTTGTGTTTTTCTTAGAGTTAACAATTGCTTCTTTTGTTTGTTTGCTTATTTTTCTGTGTAGCTATCATTAGATTATCCCCAAGCTCTCTGACTAATTCATCCCCAAGCTCTGCTCAAGATGTTCAAACATATCAGGTAATCTGTCAGCTTCATTTATTTTTAGAAACATTCTCCTAGAGCCCTCTTTATTTATGGTCCAGCCTTTGTTGGTCATTCCCTCAGCCTGAGGCACAGGTGTCATCCAGGGATCTCCCTTCACTATTATCTTTGGATTTCCCTCCATCTCTCTCCTATCATGGATCTCTTATTTCCTGAATGCCGTGTTGTTTTCTTTCTGGGTTTATGCCCTTATTTTGGTGGAGTACATTCTCCAGTAGCTTTCTGAAAATGGATGCATAGGAGATAAATTTTAGCATAACTGAAAATGCCTTTATTGTGCCCTATACCAAGTTGATAGTTTAGCTGGGTATAGTCTCCTGGATTGGAAAAGTTTCCCCTTAGAATATTTAGTTGGAGAAATAGAACATTTCCAGAATTCTAAATGTTCTCTCGTGCTGTTTCTCAGTTAACCCAGCACCCCCCCCCCCCCCCCACTGCTCCAGGAGTCGTGGCTATTCTTCCTTCTCTCTCCATTGATTAGTTCTGCCTATTCCAACTACTCTTTTGTTGATGGCTCCATTTGCTCAACAAAATGTCTGTGATAAGCACCCATGTTGCTACATGCATCATAGTTCATTCTTTTTTGCTGTACTGTACATCATTGCATCAAAGCATACCACACATTATTTGTCCAGTCTCTTTCCCAATGACACAGATTTAGATTATTTCCAGATTTTGGTTAATATTAATGCTGCTATAAAAATTCTTGTACATTTTGTTTTTGGTGAATATATTTACTAATTTCTTTTCAGTGTACATCCAACAGTGGAATTGCTGGGTCATATCTTAGCCATACATTTAGTTTAGCATATCTTGCCCAACAACTTTCTAAAGAAGCTTATATTCCTACTAGCCAACTTTATGAATTCCAACCACTCTATGTCCTTTATAAAATGAGGTGTTCTCAGTCTTTTAAAATTTTATCCATTTTGGAAAGCACATAGTGATACCATATCATTGTATTAATTTGCATTCCCTGATGAGTAAAGCTACTCATTCAACATCTGGATATCTTTTCTTGTGAGGTTTCTGTTCATGTCATTTGCTTTTACTTTTAATTGAGATTTTTGTATCTTATTGATTTGTAGAAATTTATTATATATTTTGAGTATGAGTTATTTGTTGTATATATGTGTAGTGATGTGCTGGTAAATGTTTAATAACTGGCTGCCTGTAAAACAAAAACAAACCAGCCCTGATTTGTTGTGTTTGCCAGTTTTCATGGTGTAAACACTTTCACCATAGCTACCAAGGTGACGTCACTGAACACCGAGCCGGGGAGAGGTCACAGTCAGCTCTCGAGAGCTCCTGCGGGTTGGCTCAGGTTGCCCCCAGATATGTGCATTGCAAATTACTCATCCAAGTCTGGGGTCCTGTTTTGCTTCCTCTCGATGGGGTCCTTTTTAAAAAGTGAGCTTTTTTGAGGTATGATTTACATATTTTAAAATGTACCCATTTAAGGTTTCCATTTGCTGAGTTTTGGGAAGTGTGTACACCTGTGTGGCCACTACCACAAGAAACATAGAGAATTTTTCCATCGTCCCAAAAGTTTCCTGTGTGTTCTTTCACGGTCAGTCCCAGCCCCTCCTGACCCTGGTCCCAGGAAACTACAGCTCTCCTCCCTATCTACATCAGATTTGTCTTTCTAGAGTTTCATATAAATCAAATTATGTAGTATGGACTTTTCTGGTGTGGTTTCTTCCCCTCAGCACATTGAGATATGTCAGTATATGTGTGGTTGCAGGTGTCAGTGGGGGGGTTCCTTTTTGTGAGCTGAATTCCACTGCGTGGATATAACACTTGTTTATCCATTCAGCTGTTGAATGGATAACATGCATGGCTAGTATGAGAAAAGCTTCTCTGAACATTGTGAACAATTCTTCGTGTGGCCCTGTGTTTTCACTTCTTTTGGGGAAATAGCCAGGAGCAGAATGTTTGGGTCACGTGATAGGTGTGTGGTTTACGTTTAAGAGACCGCCAAACTGTTTTCGAAGCAATTGTACCATTTTACATTCCTGCCAGCAAATGTATGAGAGTTCCAGCCCCATACATCCTTGTTGACCCTGGGTGTTGTTAGTCTTTTTAATTTGAGTCGTTCTTATTGGTGCATGGTCATAGTCATGGTGTCTTTTAATGAATCGATGTTCTTAATTTTAACAAAGTCCAATTTATTGATTCTTTTCTTTAATGATTAGTGTTTCCTATGTCGTATTTCCAAAGTTGTTGCCCACCACAGCATCGTGAAGACGTCCTCCTCTGTATTATTCTAGATCTTCACTATTTTACCTTTCACATTTAATTCTATGGTCCACCTCCAATTAATTTTTGTGTTCAGTGTGAGGTAGAAGTCAAAGTTTATTTTGTTCCATGCAGATATCCAATTGCCCAACACCATTGCTACCCTCTGATTCTCAGGGGCCCCCTGATGGTGAATCAAGTGACAATGCAGGTGGGGTCATTACTGGGCTCCTTTGGGTGCCATTGTTCTATCTGTCTCTCTTTGTAGCGATATCTGGATCTGGTACTTATTGTGACAGAAAATACTCCCTTTTCTTTTCACGTTCTTCTGGGATCGCTGACCTATCCAAGTTTTATCCCTCGTCTTGCATTGATTCCAGTGAGGACATTTTCCTAGAAAATTATCCTCTTCATCTAACAGTCTCAATTGCATTGACTTATAGATATATATTTTTCTCATAATTTAAAATTTTCTCCATCTTCAGTCGTGTGCCTGTTTTCGTATTTAATATTTTTTCTACCTCTTTGAGATTTGCCATTATTTTAATTCTTGTATAGACCTTTTAAAAAACAAACGTTTCATTTGGTTGATTGTATCTACTATTTCTTTGTTTTTAATTCACTAATTTCATTAAGTTATTTCTTTTACTTTCTTTTGGAAGTTTTTCTGAATTCTGAAGTGAAATCTTATTTATTCTCAATCTTGCTTAGTTCCTGCTGTTTGTCTTTAAGGATTTAGTCTATTCGCTGAACACGGATCTCCCAAGCACTCACCTCCTCCCACGCAGGACCTCCTCCCTTCATCTCCTGAGTTTGCCGTTGGGTTTCCCTTTTCTGTTCAATCTGAAAGAGCACCTTTAAATTTTCCAAAGGAGACTTCCTTTTTATAGTTATAAGTTTGTCTCATTGCATGTGGCTCAAGAATGTGGTCTATGCCACTTCTTGTTACCTGCCCAGATAGTTTTTTATTATAAAATATTTCAGATAGTATAGAAAATAATATAATAAGCGCCCATGTATCTACGAATCAGTGTAAACAAATCTTGACGTTTTACCATATTTACATTTGCCGTATTTACAGAGCACTACAGATGCGCGCCCTCCTGTTGCATCCCTGCCCTCTGCCTCGGGGGCACTGTTCTGAGGCTGGTGTCCGTCAGTCCCGCATATGCCTTTGTAGTTTTTATAGAGGTGTTACAGCCATGGAGACAAAGTATTGCTTTGTGTTTTTGACCCTTAAATACGTATTATTCTGTTTGTATCGATCTGTGGCATGATTTTTTCCTTTTACTTAATGTTATGTGTTTGCGATTCACCCAGATCGATGTGTTTCCCGGCTCAGTCATTTTAACTGCTGTGTACTCTTCCTCTGGGTGTGTGCACTATGGTTTAACTGTCCATTCTCCTCTTGAAGGGCATTTAGATTATTGTTCTATTTAGATTTTTCAAACAATGCCATGAGATGCTCTGTGTGAGTCTCTCGTGCACGCATGTGAGATCTTCTCCAGGGGAGCCATCCCCAGGGTGTAGGGGGTCCCAAGACCCAACCTCTGCATCCCCAGGTTTGATGATTTGCTAGAACTCCTAGGACTCAGCATGCAGAGCTGGCTCAGTGCAGAGAGAAGACCCTTGGTGGGAGGTCGGGGACACCAGGCGCACCCTTCCAGAACCCCTGCCATGGAGTCATGCAGGACGCGCTTAACTCCCCAGCAAGAAGCCATGATAACACATGTGAGGTGTCGTCTACCGGGGAGCTCATCAGAGACCAGCGCCTGAGGTTTTTATGGAGGCTGGTCCTGTGGCCGCCTCTGCCTGGCATGTACCAAAATCCAGCCTCCTGGGGGCAGAGCAGGTGTCAGCACAAGTCATGGTGTTTGTACTAATGGTTTAGGCCCAATGAGGCACTCTTCTCACTCAGTGGTGGGGACCCTGCACAAATGCGCATTCCCAGATGCCGGCCAAGGGCCAGCCTTGTGAGCAGGGTCAAAGGTGGCCATCCCCGTCTGCTGTGCTAGCTCCTTCCTGCACAGGGCCCGTGGGTTCATCCTTCTGGAGTGGGGGCACTGCAGGCAGTCTGGGTTCAGGGAAGTCACCCCTGAAAGGTGGCCCCCCTCCCTGAGAGCAGGCATCGCTGTCAGATTATTCACCTTTTGTGTCCTTGAAAGTGTGTCCATCTCTTGGATATACATGTAGCCAGAGTGATGGAGGCATTTGAAGGGGTAGGAGCATAGTGGCCCCGGAGAGCTACCCAGGACCACCTTTACGTGGGGGAGCGTCAGGCAGGGGTCTTGGTTATAAACAACAGGAATGAATTGTGGTTAAATTCATCAGGAAAGGAGTTTATTGGAAGGGACTGGCAGCTCACAGAACGAGGGGCAGGTAAAGAAACCAGCTCAGGAACCAGTGGAGGAGCCAGGGCCACACCGGGATCCAGTGGCAGCGATGAGAAACCCACTCCAAGTGGTTCATCTTCTCTGCTCCACTCCACGGGACCTTCAAAGGCCTGGGGGAGTCCGGGGCCTCGCTGGGTCTCTGCCAACCCAGGCTGGGGGCAGGGCACGTTGATTTGGGGAAAGTCAGTCCTTGAAGAAATGGGTGAGCTATTCTGTGGAGGACGACTGCACATGTGTGGCCAGGTGGCCACAAATGCCCACTGCAGGGGCCCACGAAGGGGGCTTGACAGCTGTTTTGGCTCTTGGTAAAGAATCCAGGGGCTGCAGATGGCAGTGAGCTCTCAAGCTTTGGGGTGGCTTTAATCACTCAGCAGCAGGACTTCTGGGCCGGGGCAGGGATGCAGCAGGCCACGCGGGAGCACGTGGGACGACAGAGCAGGGACACGCAGGAGGCCGGGCGGCAGCAGCTGGGCTGGCAGGAGGCGGGGCTGCAGCAGGAGGGCACGGGCACGCAGCAGGCAGGCCTGCACACGGGGTGGCAGATGAGGGACACGCAGGAGGAGGGTTTGCAGCAGGACGGGGGGCAGGGGCTGGGCTGGCAGCACGAGGGGGCTGGGCAGGGGGAGGCCCCAGAGCAGACGGGTGTGCAGGAGACGGGCACGCAGCAGGCCTGCTGGCAAGGGGAGGGGGTGCAGCACGAGCGCTGGCAGCTAGACTGCTGGCAGCATGAGGAGTCTGAGCAGGGGGAGACCCCAGAGCAGACGGGCACACAGCACACGGGCTTGCAGCAGACAGGGGTGCAGCAGACGGGCACGCAGCAGGCCTGCTGGCAGGGGGAAGAGGTGCAGCAGGACAGCTGGCAGCTAGACTGCTGGCAGCATGAGGGCGTGCAGGAGCTGGCGCAGGCTGACTGGCAGGGGCTGCACACATAGCTGGCAGGGGTGCAGACGAGGCTCAGGCAGGGGGCTGGGGCGCAGCAGCTGGGGGCACAGCAGGGGGGCTCGCAGCAGCTCTCTGGGGCATCGTTCACCCGCCAGGAGGAGTTGGGGCAGGAGTCCCAGGCACCGGGCTGGCAGACCCGGCTGCCATAGCTGAGGTCGCTGGAGCAGACGGACAGGGTGGAGGCGGCCATGGTGGGGCGGTGGGGTTGGAGGAGGGTCGAGCGTGTGTGTGTGTGTGTGTGTGCGGGAGAGGGGGTTGAGAGTGTGTGAGCTGCCTGGGGTGCTTTGGGCTTATATACATGTTGGGGTGTGTTGTCCCAGCGGGCGGCCCCCACGCCCGCCCTTCCTTGTTGCTGTTTGGCACCCTGAGAACTCTCATTAGGGCCCGTTTGTTTTTAGTCCTGGGAGATGTTGCTCAGCTAGAAACTCCTAGTGTATTTGGGGTCTGTTGACACTTCCTCAGCGACCTTTGGTCCAGAGCACAGCGTTGATGTAGAAAGGGTGTGTGTTGTCTACACATAGTGTGTCCTGGCTCTGCATTGGTGGCAGGAGAGTTCCGTCTCTCCCCGTCCTGACGGCCCTTTGCCGATACCTGGGATGGGTCTAGTGCACACCTGGGATGGGTCCAGTGCACACCTGGGATGGGTCCTGTGCACACCTGGGATGTGTCCAGTGCACACCTGGGATGGGTCCACTGCACACCTGGGATGGGTCCAGTGCACACCTGGGCACTCTGCTTGTCGGGGTGCCACGGCTTCCTGAGTGGCAGGCTGGAGAAGCCCAGGTCGAAGAGGCGCTGAGGCCAGGACACTTCCCACAGTGTCTCCCCTGCGCTCTCTCTGGCACAGGGAGCTCCCCTGAGGGTGCAGGTGGCAAAGAGGAAAAGGTGTGACAGTCGGGCCATGGCACTTCCCATTTCCCTGGTGGGCAGCGCACACCCTGCCTTCTGCCCGACCGCTCAGCGAGGCCCCAGATCCTGCGGCTGTCCACAGCCTTGCCATCTCCATTTGCATTCACCGCACACCGCACAGCCACGAGTGTAAGCCAGAGCTGCCTGTCCATCTCCCCGCAGAAGGCACAGCCACGCAGCAAAGCTTCATACAAACGCCAGGGATCGCTGTTGTGTTTCCTGTTGGTTTTTCTGATTGTTAACCGAACAATTTCTTGTGTCACCCCAGCCAGAGACCTGAAAGGTCACCCAGGCCTCTCCCTTCCTTCTGCAGATAATATCCAAGTAGCCGCCACATCATTTTGGTTCTCTCTGCTAAATATGTTTCAAATCCTCTCTGGTCCTTTTATTCCCAAGCATGGATTTATTCCCTATGTGGCAAATCTTCCCGTGAGCTGGAAACAGTACCAGGCTGGAGGATGTGAAGATGAACAGGTCGCAGCCCTGCCCTCTGCATCCCTGCCAGCCCAGGAGAGCTGGGCTCGTGGTACCCTGTGATGCAGTGATGACTGGGCACGGCACAGCATGCACTGGGCCCAGAGGGGTGGGGCCTGACCCAGGTGGGAGGGCTCTGGGGGCCTTTCTGGCAGAGTGCGATGCTCCTGCTAAGCCTAGGGCCTCGAATTTTCACCCTTCCCAGCTGTTTTGTTTCCAACACTGATTATCAGCCCAGGTCTCTCAACCCCTGGGATATTTATGAAAGGCAAGAAAAGGGTTCTAGGAATTCAATTGAATTTATATTTTGAGACACAAAAATAAGATAGATTTGAGCCTGGCCTCCTGTGCTCAGCTCCTGGCCCCTTGGGGGTATAGGAACTCATCACGGAGACTGGACAGGCATTAAAGAGAGAAAGAGAGGGAGAAGATATTTCTGCTTCCGTCTATGACTAGGTAGCTTGTGCCAGACATACACTCTTGCTGAGAATAACTTGAAAACCTGCATAAAATACAAAAACATCTGTTGAAAGCTTTTTGAAGGCTGCCGTTAAACTAAGAATTGAGGGGCACACATTCTGGAGATGAGAAAGCTTCAGAGAGGTGAGCCAGCATCTCCAAATGGCTTTTCCCTTAAGTGCAACTGATGAATCTTCAATGGGGGGATGGCAAAAGGCTGCAACTGAAACATATAGAAGCCAGCAGAGCTTCTAGAAATTTCATGGGGCTGGAGTAAATTACATGGGAATTTGTGACTGCAGAGGCAGCAAGGACTCATGGGGACAAGATCCTAGACAGATGGGAGGCACCAAGAAGAGCTCTAGAAGAGGAGGTTGAACCCTCAAGGCATTTGCCAGATTTTCATGCTCTGCAGGGAAGATGCTAAGAAGGCAAACAGAAAGCCACTAAAAAGCCAAGCACAGTTTTTGCAGCCTCATTACCGAGGAGTCAAAACCTGGAGTTAAGACCAGCCAAGGAGGAGTGGCTCTCAGTTGGGGGTCTCTGGAGAGCTAAATCCTAGGAGTGGGGAAAAACAGACCCTACAGAGACCTAAACTCCCAGCTTCATGTCAATAAAGTGCCCTGCCTCTCAGCAGGCCGCCTGCCAGAGGGTGAGGTGAAACTCTCCGGAGAGGAAAGGCTCATTCAGGGCTGCTAGAATTTTTCATACACAATGTCAAACATGCAATCAAGAATTACAGTCATGCCAAGGAATACGGCCAAGAGACAGATAGACAATAGAAACAGACCCAGAGACGACACAGTGCTGGAGTTATCAGACATGGATTTTTAAAATAATTGTGATGAATATGCCCAAGAAAATAGATGTAATGATGGAGAGTTTTATCAAAAAACTGAAATACATAAAAAAGAAATGAGTAGAAATTCTAGAACTGAAAAAATATGACAATGGTATTTATGACCCGATAGATGGGTTTAATAACAGAATGGACGGCAGAGATGGGATTAGTGAACTGGAAGCTGTGAGCATCTAGGAAGAAGCTGGAGAGTAACAAGGAGGGAAGGTAACTGAATATGTGGTAGACCATGGGGAAGGAACTGCATATTTTTCTTATTATTGGAGTCCCATCTGGGAGGAAAGAGAGAATGGGGGAATATTTGAAGAGAGAATGGTAAAGAGTTTTCCAAAACTAAGAGTCAAACTTCATATTCAAGTAATGGCATAAACCTTAAGAGAATAAACACTAAAGAAACCCACGTAGACATCATAATGAAACTCATGAAAACCAAAGACAAAGACAAATTGTTGAAAACAAGCAGAGGAGAAAGAAACATCAACCTCAAACTTGCAGCAATAAGACTTATAGTAGATATCCCAAAAGAGGAAAGCAAGAAGGCCTTGGCGTGGCATCGTTAAGGGGCTGAGAGAAAAGAACTGCAAACCTGGAATTCTAGCCCAGCGAGAGTACTGTTCAGAGATGAAGGCGGAACAGAACATCACCAGACAAACGAGAACTGGGCCCACTCGACACCAGAGGACCCACTGTGAAGGAAATATTGAAGGGGGCTTTTCAGGCAGGATGACTGAGTGACAGAAATGCAGGGAGAAACGAGGAGACTCTGAAAGGAAGAAGAAGAGGACAAGTAGAGGTGAAAATTGACCTACATTTACAGTAACAATATTAGGATGATATAGATTCCCTTACAGTTTCTTGTGAGGTCTAGACCGTAAGTATCAATCAAATGCATGACAACATTAACAAGAAAAGGTGAGAAGGAAAAAAGGAGTTAAAGTGTTCTGAGGTCTTAGCGTGGCTTTGGAAGAGGTAAAAGTACTAAGTCTGCCTGAATAACCCAAGAAGGCGTGCTCTAATCTCTGGGGTGACCACCGAAAGAAGAGTAGAAACCATGTGTAACCAATAACAAGTAGAAAAGGGAAACTGAATAATAAAAACACTTGATTAATCTAAAGTAGTCAGAAAGTAATTTTTAAAAAGGACGTGTTGGGACAAATAGAAAACATAATCAGATAGTAGATATAAACCCAATCATCAATAATTAAATTAACTGTTAAGTATTAAATATTCCAATTTACAAATAAAGATTGTTAGTCTGGATTAAAAAAAGATAGGAAACCCCTGTGCCACTTAAAAGAGCTAGATCCCAAATATAAGGGCCCAGAAAGGTTGGAAGTAAAAAGCTGGAAAAGGCTATATCATGGAAACACTAAATAAAAACAGTTGGAGTGGCTTATTAGTACCAGATAAACTAGATTTTAAAGCAAGAATCATTATTTGGGATAAAAACAGACATTCCAGAAAGCTGAAAAGGTCAACCCGCCAGGAAGCTGTAACAATTCTAAACGTGTATACATCCGATAACATAGCTTAAAACACAGAAATCAAAAACTGACAGGACTAAAAGGAGAAATAGAGAAAGGTAAAGTCATAGTTGGGGACATTAATACAGCTCTCTCAATAATTGATAGGAAAGGAGACAAAATAATCTCAGAATAGGAAAGGCTATTCTGAGTTTAGACATAAAAAAAAGGACTGGTAAATTTAATTACATAAATTCTTAAAAATTGCATGGGATAATACATCATTAACAAAGGCAAAAAACAGTATGGAAAATGTATCTGTCATGCATATCACAGAGAAAGAGCTAATCGATACCCAAAGAGTTCCCGCAGTTGCTAATAAATGCCGACAACATAAAAGAAAATGAACTAAAGGATGCAGAGAGACAACTGACAGAGAAACACAAAAGGTTCTTAAACATGAACATGTGTTCAACTCCGCTCGAAACGAGAGAAAACAAATGTATGACCACGTGGGATCATTTTTCGCATGTTAAGTGGGAAAGGATGAAAACTGTTGCTGCTGTGGACTCAGGTTAGGCAGGGAGGGGGCAGCTCAGCGTTGCTGGCCTGCTGTGGGATGTGGACGTGTCCAGAGCTCTGGAGGGCAATTTGCCATTATGCGTCAAAATTTAAAGCCTCATACCTTTGTGCCACAATCATTAGGCACTTATTCTACAGGTGTTCCTGAAAAGCCATGAGGTCTGTGCAAAAGCATCACAGCGGTGAGCTTGTGCAATAATCTGTGACACAGACTGCAGGAGACAGACACTGGGTGGCCCACGCCCCCCACCTCCTGGTGTCCCGGGGCCATGTGCCCCCTGCCCCTTGAGTGTGGTCAGGACTCGCTACATGCTTACAGGCACAAAGACTGCAGCAAAGGCGATGGGATATTGCATCATGTAAGATGGTAATCCTGGTCTGCGGGGAGACTCTCCTATGCTGTCGGTAGAGAAGCTTGTGAGCTGCCCATGGAGAGGGCCACATGGCAAGGACGTGAGGGTGGCCTCCAGGCAACAGCCAGCAAGAAACTGAGGCACTCAGTCAGACCACCTGCACGGAACTGAATTCTGACAAGGACCATGTGAGCTCGGAGGTGAATCCTTCATCGGTCAAGCCTTCAGATGACAGCCTGTGATGTGGCCCCACAGGGAAGCCAGTTCTGCTGCGCCTGAGCTCCTCACTCACAGAAACTGGGAGACAGCGTGTGTACCAAAGCTTGTGGTGATTTGTTACACAGCAGAAGAAACAAACACACAGACCAGTGTGGAATTCTATGCAGCTGTAACCAAGAAAGAGAAATCTGTATGTATTCGTAGGAACGGAGCTCCACATTAAATTATATTTTAAAAAAAAAACATAGTGAGTAGAATATCATACAATTTGTATTTTAAAAATTTATGCACACAAAGACGTTAGATATGTATAAATACATATGGAGAATAGATAGTACATAGGTACATAGATACATAGAATGATATACATAGTCAATCCTCATTATTCATGGTTTCTTCATTTGTGAATTCACCTACTCACAAAGATTTATTTGTAACCCCAAAATCAATACCAGCAGTGCTTGAGTGGTCATTTGTGGACATGTGCAGAGCAGCCAAAAATCCGCGTCTCCTACGGCCCACGCTCCCAGCTGCAGTGGGACAAGGAGATGGTCGCCCTTGTTTCAGCTCTCAGTCTGTAAGTGTGTCCTTTTCCCAGTCTCTTTATGCCACATTTTACGCATTTTGGGGCTTTATGCTTCTGATTTTGCCGGTTAAAATGTCCCCCAACTAGAGCTGAGTAGCTGTCTAGTGTTCCTGAGCGAGACAAGGCTGTGACGGACCTTACGGAGAAAATACGTTAGATGGGCCTCGTTCAGGAGTGAGTTATAGCGCTGCTGGCTGTGAGTCTAATGTTCAATGAGATGTGCATTAAATATATATTAAACAAAATATCTTTGAACAGAAACACACATCAAACAGGGTTACGTATTGATCAGTTGATGAAAATGCGCCCGGAGGCTGGCAAGAACCCAACCCCGTGTTTCCCCCTGAGCCGCTGGGCCAGTGCTCGCCAGTTCAGGGTTCGTGCTGACTTTATAGAATACGATTGTGAGTAACGAGAATGGACTGCATGTGCAGGGGTGTGTGTGTGTGTGTGTGTGTGTGTGTGTGTGTGTATGTACACAGAGAGAGACAGAGAAACAGGGACACAGAGAGCGAGAGAGACGGGGAAGAGAGAGGCAGAGAGAGGCACAGGTTAGAGAGAAGACAAATGGGTGGAAGCAGCTGCTTCAAGAGAGGAGGGTGCTGGCAGGCAGGAGTGAAGAACACCTCTCCATGGCGACATTTCGTGCCTCTTTGCGTGTTCTGTGGTCCTTTGCTACTTAGTGACCCTGTGGGTTGTCTGGTGTCATGTGGGGAAGGCAGGTTGGGTATCTGGCCTGCAGGAGGTCTGGGTAAAGGCCGCTGGTCTCAGAGGAGAGGCCGGGCAGTCCAAACAGAGGAGGCTGCCCAAGGCGGGGACGAAGGCTGTGACGCCTCCGCGGTCCAGCCTGGGTGCTCCGCGTGGCTCACACCCGGGAGCCAGATGCCCAGGAAGCTGTCATCGTCCTGTGAGGGAAGGGAACCACACGATTTGCCCTAGAAGACAAAGTCCTTTGGTCTCCCAAGCTCAAGAAAGCAGGCAAGTGGACACAGAGACAGGAGGCCTTGGACAGAGGCACTGTGGTGATGAGACCTTAGGCCAAGAGCTTCGGGTCCTGTCACAGATGTGTGGCCCTGAGAGGGCATTGAATGCCCCTGGCCTCCAGGTTCCTCCTTCACAAGGTGGCAACCGTGCTGCATCCCCATGGAATGAGGTGCCTGAGCCACAAGGAGACACGTCCTTGTGCTAGCTGCCCGCAAAAGGAGGGATGCCGGGGGCGGCCCTGGCCGGTGACTGGACGAGCTCCCAGCACACCCAGGATGGCCCGAGGCACCACGGACACCCACTCTCCCCGAGCTCCCAGCACACCCAGGATGGCCCGAGGCACCACGGACACCCACTCTCCCCGAGCTCCCAGCACACCCAGGATGGCCCGAGGCACCACGGACAGCCACCCTCCCAGAGCTCCCAGCACACCCAGGATGGCCCGAGGCACCACCGACACCCACCCTCCCCGGCTCTCAGAACCTGGGTCAGGACCCCGCCCATCCCCACTCCTCCTCCCGGGGCACACAGTGGGACACACTCCTGAGCCAAACAATGCCAGGAGATTTACGAGCTGGACAACATCACAGGCAAACAAACATCCCTGATGCCAGCCTGGGAGCCGGAACTGGAGCCTCGTGGGCCTGGGACTCAAGAGCCAAGAGGGGTATAAAAGTCCACGTTCCCGGGCACCGGGCACACTCTCACACACACACACATACTCACACCTACCCTCCTCCAGCCCCACCGCCCCACCATGGCCGCCTCCACCCTGTCCGTCTGCTCCAGCGACCTCAGCTATGGCAGCCGGGTCTGCCAGCCCGGTGCCTGGGACTCCTGCCCCGACTCCTGGCAGGTGGACGACGGCCCAGAGAGCTGCTGCGAGCCCCCGTGCTGTGCCCCCAGCTGCTGCGTCCCGGCCCCCTGCCTGAGCCTCATCTGCACCCCTGCCAGCTCTGTGTGCAGCCCCTGCCAGGCAGCCTGCACCAGCTCCTGCACGCCCTCGTGCTGCCAGCAGTCTAGCTGCCAGCCCTCCTGCTGCACCTCCTCCCCCTGCCAGCAGGCCTGCTGCGTGCCCGTCTGCTGCACCCCTGTCTGCTGCAAGCCCGTGTGCTGTGTGCCTGTCTGCTCTGGGCCCTCCCTCTGCTCAGACTCCTCGTGCTGCCAGCAGTCTAGCTGCCAGCCCTCCTGCTGCACCTCCTCCCCCTGCCAGCAAGCCTGCTGCGAGCCCGTCTCCTGCACCCCTGTGTGCTGTGTGCCCGTCTGCTCAGGGCCCTCCCCCTGCTCAGACGCCTCCTGCTGCCAGCAGTCTAGCTGCCAGCCCTCCTGCTGCACCTCCTCCCCCTGCCAGCAGGCCTGCTTCGTGCCCGTCTCCTGCACACCCGTCTGCTCCAAGGCAACCCCCTGCCCAGCCCCCTCGTGCTGCCAGCCCAGCCCCTGCCCCCCGTCCTGCTGCAAACCCTCCTCCTGCGTGTCCCTCATCTGCCGCCCCGTGTGCAGGCCCGCCTGCTGCGTGCCCGTCTCCTCCTGCTGCGGCCCCGCCTCCTGCCAGCCCAGCTGCTGCCGCCCGGCCTCCTGCGTGTCCCTGCTCTGCCGCCCCACGTGCCGACCCTCCTCCTGCGTGTCCCTGCTCTGTCGTCCCACGTGCTCCCGCGTGGCCCGCTGCAGCCCCGCCTCGGCCCAGAAGTCCTGCTGCTGACCGGGCACGTCCCCCAGAGCCAGCCGGGCTCCAGGTCCCACCCTGTGACCGTGGTCCTCCCAGTCCCCTCAGTCCAGTCCTGACCTGTTAGGTGGCTGCCCCCACCCAGGACAGGGTCCACCCAGGTGTCCTCTGACCTGACCTCTGCCTCCCAGGAACCCTGACGTCGCTGCTCCCCAGCTGCTGCCTCCAGGAGGCTCCTCCATCTGCCTCTGGGTCACCTGTCCTCTCCCAGGTGCTCTGCTCGGGTCACCTGTGGACTTTCAAGTGTCAGCCCCTCCTCGGCACCCAATAAACTCCCTTCCTCACCTGATGCACTTCCTTCATCTGACACCTGAGGGTGGGGTTGGGGTGACACATGGTCCTGACCAGACATTGGTCTCCTCCAGCCACGAACATTTGTGAGAGTGAGTGACTGAGGAATCCCGAAGGACAGTGGCGTCCCTCCTCTGGGCCGGGTCACCCAGTGGACCCGTGCTCTCATCCAGGAAGGTCAGTGCCTGCTCAGGCGGTGCTCAGCACTTCCCTGAGGCTGGTCACCTACAGACGTGTTGTGGTCTGGGGGTCTCAGGTCTCCTGGACCATTTCCACCCATGTCCCATCTGGGCAAACCAGACTCCCAGAGTCACCCGCCAGGAGGTCGTCCTGGGGACTCCACGCAGCACAGCTCCTCGGGGCCAGGGGTCACCCTTGTGGTCCATCTTCAGGTTCTACCCACTTAGCAGAGACGTGATGGAGGGAAGACGTGATGGAGGGAGAGAGGAGCTCCTGCAAGCTCACGGGAGTTAAGCGACTGACGTGGGAACAAAAGATTAAGGGGTGGGTGGCAGGACCTGCAGGATGCCGTGTCCTGGGCCTGCACCCCCACCCTGGCCCTCCTCTGGTGCTTCTAGATTCCATTTGGGAGTGGGAGGGACACAGGTGTCACTGCTGCAGGGCCTCCCCTGTGACCTGAACGCCCCATCAGGCCTGACGTGCCGAGGAGCCGTGGACAACAGCCCGCTCTGACGTGAGGACGACATTGGCCTCACGTGAGGGCGTACGTAGACAAGGGCACAAACATCCCAGGAAGATGACCCGCTGGGGCACTGGCCAGAGCTGTTGTAGGAAGTGGTCCACTGTCCCCAGCCCATAAAGGGTCAGTCAATGGTCAGCCCTCCCCGAGCTCAACACGTGGACCAGGAGCTGCCTCCCTGCCCGTGAGCCCCTCCCTGCCCGTGAGCCCCTCCCTCTTCCTGCGGCCTCTGTCCGTCGCCAGAACCCACAGAGGGAGCCCCTGCCATCCCCTGAGGGTCTCAGGCTTCTCCCCTGATCCACAGCCCCCTCCCGCCCCACGCTGCCTGCCCCACTTGCTGCATGTTCCTGAGCAAACTCCTCCCTTCCCCTTCGGACCACTCTTTCACCCACCACTTCTGTTTAAAATCAGCTTTGTTGAGGTACAATTTACATGTAACCGAACACATCCAATTTAATTATACAGTTTGATGAGGTTGCAAAAGATCTACATCCTGCAGCCTCCACCTATGTCAAGACATATAACGTTTCCTTCACGCCAAAGGTTCCCTCCCATCCCTCCCCAGTCACCAGCCTCCGCCCGTGGCCCCGGCAGCCACTGCTCTGCTGGGTTCCTATGGATTGGTCTTTTCTCCAGTTTCTCATGACGAGAATCACACAATGCGTACTCTTGGTGTCTGGCTTTGTGTGCTTGTCTCTTTTGTTGTATATATCCGTAGTTGATTTCTTTTTAGTTGCTGAGTAGTATTTCAGTGAATGGATATGCCGCCATTGTTGACCTATTCACATGTGGAGTATACTTGGATTGTCTCCAGGTTTGGTGATTATGAAGCAAGCCACTGTAAACATCGCACTCAGCGTGTTTTCACTTCTCCTGGGTCAATCCCAAGGGGCAGGGATGCTGGGCCGTGTGGGAAGTGTCCCTCTGTAGGGGTATTTGCATTTCCCTGATGACTAATGATGGGATGGTCTCGTGTGCTTGTTGGCCATTTGTCTGTCTTCTTCAGTGAAGTGTCTGTTCAAAACCTCTGCCCATTTTCATCAGATCAGATTGTTTGTGTTCTTATTTCTAAATTGTCAGTGTTCTTTATATACTCTGGATACGCCACGCATCATATACATGTATCGCAAGTCTCTCCATCTGTGGCTAGCCTTTTCATTTTCTTACCAGCGCTTTTTGAAGAGCTGACATCTTTCATTTTGATTGAATCCAATCAGTCCGTTTTTTTTCGTTGGTGCTAAGAAATCTTTGCCTAAACCCAAGGTCGCACAGATTTTGTCCTATTTTTACTTCTGAATACTTTATGGTTTTAACTTTATGTTTAGTTCTAGAATCCATTTCAAGTTAATTTTTGAATATACTGAGAGTTGTTCCAGAATCATTTGTTAGGGGAATATCCTTTCTCCCGGGTACCCTTGCCAAAAACTCTATTGACCATCTACGTGTGGATCTATCTCTAGACTCCCCGTTCTATTCCGTTCTCCCGTGTTTCTTATCACACCAATAACACAGTTTGACCAATGCGACTTTAAATTAAATCTTGAAATCAAGCAATGTCAGTTCTTCACTTCTGTTTTTCTTTTCCAAGATTGGTTGGCTAATCCAGATCCTTGACATTTCCATAGAAATTTTAGAATATATTTTAGAATGAGTTCACTCGTTTCTACAGAAAAGCCTGCTGGGATCTTGATTGGCATTGCATTAAATTTGTAGATGAATTTGGAAAGAATTGACATTTTAACAACGTTAAGTCTTTCAATTCATAAACATAAGGTCTCTCTAGTCATTTGCTGGTTTTTTTTTTCCAGCAATATTTTGTCATTTTTAGTACATAGACCTTGTACATATGTTGTTAAGTTTATGTATTATTTCATTTTTAATGCTTTAGTTATGGTATGTTCCATTTCATTTCCTGCTATTCAATGCTACTAGGTAGAAATACAACTGACCTTTGTATATTGACCTGGGATCCTGTAACCTTGCTAAATTTACTTACAAATTCTAATAGCTTTTTTCTATACTATTCCTTCCTTAGGATTTTCAGCAGTCAGGCCATTTGGGCTTGGCATTTTCTTTGTGGGGAAGTTAATTATGAATTCAATTTCTTTATTTGATAGAGGGCTGTTCAGGTGTTCTGATTCATCTTGTATTCATTTTAATAATTTATATCTTTCCAGTTATTTGCCTATTTCATCAAAGTTGTTGAATGTATCAGCATAAAATCAACATAAATGTATCCTTTATTGTTCTTTTAATGTCCGTAGAATCTGTGCTGATAACCCTTGTTCATTCCTGATATTTGTAATTTCTTTCTCTTTTTTTCTTGACTGGTAAAGCTAGAAATTTATCAATTTTATTGGTCTTTTCAAAAAATTAGATTTGGTTTCATTCATTTTTGCTCTTGTTTGTCCATTTTCTATTTGGTAGATTTCTACACTTGATTATTTTCTTCCCTCTGCTTATTTTTGAGTTCAACTTGTGCTTCTTTTTATAGCTTCTTAAGGTAGAAACTTAGATAATTGATTTCAGTTTTTCCTTCATTTCTAATATAACTTATTAAAGCTCTAGATTTCCCTCTATACACTGTATTAGCAGCATCCCACAAAGTTTATTTTCATTTTATTCCAAATATTTTCTAATTTCCATTGTGATGTCTTCTTTGACTCATGGATTATTTTGAAGCGTGTTGTTTAATTTCCTAACATTGGACAACTTTCCAGGTATCTTTCTGTTAATGATTTCTGATTCTTTTGTGGTCAAATAACATTCTCTGTATGATTTCAATCCTATTCAATACACTGAGACTTGTTTTATGGCCTAGCCTAAACTTATTTTGGTGAATGTTTCATACACACTTGAAAAAAAAAAAGAGAATTCTACTCTTTGGGGAATGGTATAGTGTGTAAATGTTAATTAGGTCAGTTAGTTTATAGTGTTTTTCCATTTTTTATATACTTATAGATTTTATCAAATTCAGAAAATATTTGGCATTATCTCTTAAAATATTTTCCTGCCCTTCCTCCACCTATTTTCCCAGATACTCCAACTGTATGTATGTTAGACCACTTGCTATTGTCACTGAGGCTCTGTAATTTTTAATTTTTTTTCTCACTGTCCTCTGGTTTGGATAATTTCCATGGCCATGTCTTCGGGGTCACTGATCTTTCCTTCTGCAGTGTCTAATCTATGTTTAAGCTCATCTTTTTAATGTTTTATTATTGACGTTGTATGTTTCAGCCTTGGAGTTCTATTTAGTTCTCTTTTGTATCTTCCATTTCTCTCCTCATTATGTCCATGTTTTCCTTTAAATCTCTAAACACATTTACAGTGGTTGTTTCAACTTCCTTGTCTGCCAGCCCCATCAACTCTGTCATTTCTGGGTTTGCTTCTATAAAGGGTTTTATCTCTTGGGTACGGGTGACATTTTCCTCTTCTTCATGTGTCTAGTAATTTTTTATCGAATGCTGGACTTCTGTGAAACAATAATGTAACACTGCTGAACTCTGCGCTTTGTCTCCTTCCTTTAAAGACACTGGACTTTGTTCTGGCTGGCAGTTGCTACCTGTGGATGAGCCTGATGCTTCTGACGCTCCCGCACTTGTTTTTATCAGGACAGATCTAGAGAGGCCTTGGCTCTGGGGCGGGTTTAGTGCTGCTGTTCAGATGGGACTCTCCTGAGATCTGCACTAAATGCCTCTGGAGTTCAGCGAGCTCACGCTGGTTGTCTGGAACTCTGATGTCGCTCGGCCTTGGGTAAGCTCTTGTAATCGTTCACCTTGTGGCGCCACGCTTGTTCTTGTCCAGCCTCACGTGGCTCTGAGCTCTGAACGAACAGCTTAGGGAACCCCATGGAGCTTGTCTCTGTATCTCTCCCTCTTCTGTGTCTGCCCCACAAATCCCAGCTGCCTCAGGCTCCTGGGACGCTAGCTCCTGCCTCTTCAGTTCAGCAAAACCACTGTGCTGTGGGTGTTGCCCTCTGTGTGCTGCGACCTGGGAACTCTCTCAGCCTCTGGGCTGGGCGATCCCAGGACTCAACTCCTTTGTTTCCCTCCTCTTGGGGACCCACATTCTGCACTGCCAGTTGTCAGTGTCTGAAAACAGGTGCTTCATATCTTTTGCCTCATTTTCCAATAAATTCAGGTGGGAGGATGAGTCAGGCCCATCGTGGCCCAGAGCCAGGTCTGACTCCTTGTTTTGAAAGCTCTGTTTCTCGTCCAGCCAATCCCCTGCTTCCCTCTCTGAACACTCACGTCTTCCCTGACTCTGAAACTGAGTCCACCTCCTTCCATTCTGGGAAGTGCTCTCGCTAAACTCAAGCCCAACCTGAGGCATATCTACTGCCCCGGGGACTGACGCATGCCGCCAACATTCTCCAAGTAGGGACTCGAAAAGTGGGTCCTAGAGAAACATGAGAAGCCTCAGCCTAACTTCTCTGGGGCTCTGAGCTCCATGAGAAACATCACCACGCCCCACTCCAGCTCAGGTTTGGTGGTGTCCTATTTGCACAGACCCCATGGTAAACAGGTCTGTGGAGAAGGAGAAGTTACAAGGTGAAATCGAGGGAAAGAACCATTCAGTGAATAACAGCACAGGAGGGTGAAGGATGAGCCAAAGGTGGCCCCAAATGGCCAAACGGCTGGAAAGCCCACTCCCGCACTCTGTCACCCCGTTGGGACCCCTGGGAGCCATAGGAAACCACACAAGGTCCTGCAGGACGGCAGAGTGTTGTGTACGGAGGGGAAACGTGGACGTGTGGTCAAGCTGAGGACTAACAAGAAAGACAGACGTCAATGGCTCACTCAGAGTCACGGGCGTTTATTGGTCACTTTGCTGACGTGCGTCCAGAGAAGGCTCAGGGTCACGGAGCTGAGGGGACAGAGACACCGTAGATGGAGGCGGAGCTGACTCTGAGGGGTGGTAGATATGGAGCGGGGGCCACTGCCATGAGGACTTCCTAGGAGCCCCCTCAAGGGCCACAGCATTGAGTATGGACGTCCCGGTCTTCCACAGCATCCAACTCAACAGCAGACTGGACCTCGGGCTCTAGGAAATGGTCTGAGTGCTGGAGCACTTCAGGATGTGGCAGTCAGCCTCCAGAGGGGACCTCACCCTGTCCTGGGTGGGGGCAGCCACCTAACAGGTCAGGACAGGACTGAGGGGGCTGAGAGGACCACAGTCGGGGGGTGGGACCTGGGGCCCGGCTGGCCCTGGGGGACGTGCCTGGTCAGTAGCAGGACTTCTGGGCTGAGGCGGGGCTGCAGCAGGCCACGCGGGAGCACGTGGGGCGGCAGAGCAGGGACACGCAGGAAGAGGGTCTGCACGTTGGGCGGCAGAGCAGGGACACGCAGGAGGCCGGGCGGCAGCAGCTGGGCTGGCAGGAGGCGGGGCCGCAGCAGGAGGGGACGGGCACGCAGCAGGCAGACCTGCACACGGGGCGGCAGATGAGGGACACGCAGGAGGAGGGTTTGCAGCAGGACGGGGGGCAGGGGCTGGGCTGGCAGCACGAGGGGGCTGGGCAGGGGGTTGCCTTGGAGCAGACGGGTGTGCAGGAGACGGGCACGCAGCAGGCCTGCTGGCAGGGGGAGGAGGTGCAGCAGGAGGGCTGGCAGCTAGACTGCTGGCAGCATGAGGAGTCTGAGCAGGGGGAGGCCCCAGAGCAGACAGACACACAGCACACGGGCTTGCAGCAGACAGGGGTGCAGCAGACAGGGGTGCAGGAGACGGGCACGCAGCAGGCCTGCTGGCAGGGGGAGGAGGCACAGCAGGAGGGCTGGCAGCTAGACTGCTGGCAGCATGAGGGTGTGCAGGAGCTGGTGCAGGCTGACTGGCAGGGGCTGCACACACAGCTGGTGCAGATGAGGCTCAGGCAGGGGGCCGGGACGCAGCAGCTGGGGGCACAGCAGGGGGGCTCGCAGCAGCTCTCTGGGCCGTCGTCCACCTGCCAGGAGGAGTCGGGGCAGGAGTCCCAGGCACCGGGCTGGCAGACCCGGCTGCCATAGCTGAGGTCGCTGGAGCAGACGGACAGGGTGGAGGCAGCCATGGTGGGGCGGTGGAGCTGGAGGAGGGAGGATCTAAGTGTGAGTGTGTGTGTGTGTGTGAATGTGTGAGGTGCTGGGGGCCATCTGGCTTTTATACCCCTCTAAGGCTGTGTTTTTCCCCCAGGCTCTCACCACGCCCTCCTTCCTCGTTGCTGTTGGGGCCGGGTCCTGCAGAACAAACAGAAGCTGTTTATTCCCTGGAGTCATTGCTCCGCTCCCAAAATTCTTCAAATTGACTAGGGGTGCCTTTCCTTGTTTTAGTCCTAGAAAGAAAACTTGGAGTGGAGTATGGCTTACTTGTTGTTCTAGCAGGAGTCATTGAGGGGCCCGGGCAGAGCTCATGTCTGTGGAGTGCCCCTGCTCAGGGGTTAGCTGCTGTGCATGCCCAGCTGAGTGAGCAAGGCCAGGTGCCTCTGTGGTTGGAAGGTTGGAGAAGAGGTTCACTTGGTTCCTAAACAGAGGTAGTGTGAGTCACGATTCGTGTGCAGCACTGTGTCAGTGTCCAAGGGCTGTCACAGCAAAGGCCCACAGGCAGGCCGGCTCGCTCGACACAAGTGTATTCTCTCCCAATTCTGGAGGCAGAAGTCCCGGATCCAGGTGTCGGCAGGCTGCTTCCTTCTGAGGCCGTGAGGGGGAGTCTGCTCCAGGCTCTCCCCCAGCTTCTGCTGGTTGTTGGCAGTCTGGCTTTCCTTGGCTTGTGGAATCTCACCCCCATCTCTACCTCCATCCTCACATGGCTTTCTCTCTGTGTGCGTGTCTGTCCACATTTCTCCTTTTTATAAGGGCCCCGGTCAGACGGGATTAAGGCCCACCCTCATGACCTCATTTTAACTTGATTACATCTGCAAAGACCCTATTTCCAAATAAGGTCACATTCACAGATTGGGGGAGTTCGGGCAGCAGCCTCATTTTAGGGACACAATTTAACCCATAACAGAAGCAGACCTAGTGCCAGAGTCTGGGACAGAAGGAAAAGTGGAGCAGGTCTCATTTCCCAGGACCCCGTCCGCAGCAGCCGGTGAAGGACAGGTGCAGGTGGCACATGGCATGACAGCTTCGGCAGCACACGCGTGTCTTCTGCTTGTCTAGGCAGGGCTTGAGCTCACGGGATGATTTTTTTTTTTAGTTTAGTTTATGGAATAATCGTAAAGAGAGTACAGAGAATTCACATAGGTCCCTGGCCCAGCTTCCTCTAGTGTTGACATCTTCGTAACCAGAGATCAATTGCCGATTCTTAGAAATCAGCCTCGGTGCATCGCCATTCACTCCAGGACAGACGGTGCTTGGGTTCACCAGTTCCTGTAAACGTCCTCCAGCTGTTCCAGGACCCCACGCTGCATTTGTCAGGCCTCCTTGGTGTCGTCTGGTTTGGGACAGTTGCTCAGTTTCCTTGTCCTTTGTAACCTTGACACTTTTGGGGAGCACTGGTCAGGTGTGTTGCAGCACGTCCCTCGATTTGGGTTTGTCTGCTGTTTTCCCGCGATTAGACTGGGGGCTGCCGTGTGTTGGGAAGAAGCCCCCAGGAGTCACATGTCCCGTGAAGCCCAATGTTGCTGAGTCTTGTCACTGGGGATATGACTATTTTTCCCTTTGTAATCACAAAGATTGGGGAGAGATTCTTTGTCTTGGCAAATATCTAGTTTCTGCTGAAATGTCTGCCCGCTGGCTTTGGCGCCCACCCTCTGGGAACTGTGCCTGCAGCCGCGGTCGCTGTGGTTACTGTGGTGGCCTCACGGTGATTTTCCCCTTCCACATTCCATCTCCATTTATTAATTCAAATTCTTCTGTAAGAAAGAGTTGTTCCTTCTCTTCCATTTATTTATTTGTTCGGTTATTTATTTCCATAAGGACCGAAGAATATTTATTTTATTGAGTTATACTGCGATATTATCGTGATCTTGTTGTTCAAATCATTCCAGCTTCCACCACTGGGAGCTCTTTCATTTGGCCCCTGGACCCCTTCAGCGTGCCTCCCCTCCCTGACTTCTCACATCTGCACTAAGGGCACAAACGTGCAAAGCTCCTCTTGAATTTTCCCTGTCACTTCCCTGGGATCACCTGCTTCTCCGAGGAGCCCTGGTTCCTTTTAGGGGGCGATGGCCTTTGGAAACCAAGATCAGGATCTGGGTGTGCTTGTTGCTCCTGGGGCCCCCGGTGGGTAGAGCAAGGAGGCCTGTGACGTCCACTGACACGCAGGGGACACATCTAGTCTTTCACCGTTAAGGATCATGTTAGCTGTGGTTTTTTCTAGTTCGGCTTTCTCAGGCTAAAACGTTCCTTTCCTTTGCTGAGGGATTTGTCATGAATGGATGTTGGATTTCATGGAATGCTTTCTATGCATCTGTTGAGATGATCATATAGTTTTCCTTTTAAGTCCATTAACATGGTGAATTACATTAATTTATTTTTTAAGCTTTTAATTTTGAAATAGTTATACATCCACAGGAAATTGAGAAGCTAGTACGGAAAGGTGCTTGACTGATTTTTGAATGTTGAAGCCGTCTTGAATTCCTGGATAAACCCCACTGGGTTGTGACGTGTTGTCCTTTTTAGACGTTGCTAGATTTGATGTGCTAATATTTTATTTGGGATTTTCGAGTCTGTATTCGTGAGGATATCGGCCTGTAGTTTCCTTTTATCGCATTGTCCTTGGTTTTGGTAATGCTGTCCTCAGGAAAGGAATTGGCAAGCGTCTGCTCCTTTTCTGTTTTCTACGAGAGATGGTGGAGAGTTGGCATTTGTCTTCTTTAAATCCTTGGTAGAATTTTCTAAGAAACCAGAGTTTTCTTTACCAGATATGGGACGTTCCAGTTTTCCGTTTCTTCCTTAACGAGTTTCAGCCATCTGTGCCTGTTGAGGAGCTGGTCCCTTTCATCTACGGTTTTGAATAGCCAGGCGTTGTGTGGTGCGTAAAGTTCCCTTATTAACATATTAATTCTTCAAAAATGTTTAGTAATATCCCATTTTTCCTTCTTGACATTGATAAACTTGTTTCTTCTCAGTTTTTTCCCCTGGTCCCTTCGTGGCTACAAGTGTATCAATTTTCTTGATCTTCTCAAGGAACCAGCTTTGGTTTTGGGGACTTTTTCTTTTGTGTTCGGTTCCCTTGATTTCCGCCTTGTCCTTTTCTCTGCCTGCCGTGGGTTCCATTTGCTCTTCTTTTTCAAGTTTCTTCAGTCGAAGCTCAGATGGTTGATTTGATATTTTTCTTCTTCGCGAATGGCAGCATTTAGTCCTATAAGGTTCCCCCTCCTTTCACCGCGTCCCACCATCCTCTCTGTGCCGACGGTCCTGCCCATAACCTGAGGCTTTGAATGAGCTGGTCTGGTTCCGACTCCATTATTCCTGGATCCAGGACACATGTTCTAAGGGTAGCAGAGTCGATGTGGACTCACACGCAGTGGGGTTTCAAGGCAGGTGCTAAGTGGTTGGACTTTCACATCCTGCAACCGGAGGCTGTTGCAGCTGGAATCTGCTGTATGTGTTTTCACTCGCCAGGAGGACGTGAGGTAAGGGCACGCGGAAAGCTGGCCGGATCACAGGAATAATCATGCCTGGCAGGAGAGAGCGTGCTTTCATTGCAGAGGTCCCCTGGGGGCAGGGACTTCCCCTGCTTCTTCACCTCCCCCCCACCCCCCACCACCCAGCTCCTGGCAGAGGAGAGCAGCAGGAGGCATCTGGGATCAGAGGAGGTGCATTCTGTGGGTGGGACCCTGAGGGTAGCTGAGCATCCTGTGCTGGAAGAGCTCGGATCAAGCCCCTGTCCCTGTGCCAGCCCTGCAGCCCGCATGATGCACGCACTGTCTTTCGCCTCCAGAACGTCTGCGTGCCCAGCGAGGCCAGGCGGTTGGTGAACCTAATGGACGACATTCAAGAAAGACGAGAAAAGGTTCCAGTTTGAGCTGGCAAGCGTGGGGCCAGAAGATGGACTCGTTCCTGCTCTGTGTGTGGACCTCTCTGCGTCAGCTCTGGGGCACCCCTGCATGCCCTATTGCCTATTTACGTAAAGTGAGCTTAACATCAGCTGTTTTCCAGCCACATGGATCTTACTCAAGAGAGCCTGCTCAGCCAGCCCTGGCAGCCTGCCCTCCTGCAGGCACAGATCCTCCTGCAAACTCAGGCGGGAGTTAAAAATTGACCTAAAAAGTGGCCCAGTACAGGGGTGACTGCGTCATGAGGGATGGGCAGTCCATTTCCCATCTAGTCGTTGCGAGGCAGTCCATTCTGGGGGAGCAACTTCTACTTGCCAGACAATACTTCCAGTCCCTCCCACAGCCCTACAAGAAAGGGGGTACCATCTCCCATGGCTGATGAGGAGACCGAGCCTCCGAGAGGTCAGTTACAGAGGCTGGGGACACTGCGGGTCCCAGGAGAGGCGTCCGTCCTTGCTGTACCCTCTGCTTGGCCCTCTGGACAATGTCGTGCACTCTGAGAGCCCTTGACTCCAAGGAGCTAAGGCGGACTTTGGAGGATGATTGAAGGAGTGGATGTGTGCGGATTTAAAAGCATGGATGTGTATGAAGAGCTGAGCCTGTGCCGGCCCAGGGAGCTCTCTGTTGCGCGTTTGCTGGGATATTGTTGGTGTCGCTGCTGTTTCAATGCCTCTGTGGCTGTAGTGGCCTGGTCACCATGTTGCCTTTGGCTTTCCAGGCTGTGGACGTACCCACGCTCCAGCCCCAGAAAGCCCAGCGGTCCATTCAAAGCCCAGCGGGCCGCGCTTTTTCCACATCCCTTGACTTCCTTTTAAACAAGTCAAGAAAAGCAGCTTTGAACATGTAAAGGGAACATAAGTCGTTTTCCCATTTATGCTGCATCATCACATTTTTTTCCTATTTCCATTTTTAAGCAGTATAATAGGAGGAAAGTGCTGTCTTGCTGCTGTTTTAGTTGGCACTTCTCTGACTCACATTGACTCGAGCGTTTCATGATGTCTGTGAACCCTTTGGGTTTATTCTCTTGTAGTTTGCCTGCTTTTTTTGAGAATTGCTGTTACATTTTCCTTGTTGGTTTTCGGGGCCTCCCTGCCCCTTCTGTCCCGGGTCAGTTTCAGGCATGGCAAACTGTTTCCCATTCTGTCCTGTGACCTTTGGCACTGCCCACAGTGTCCCTCCTGAGCGGAACTTCTTGTTTTGATGTGAGCAAATGTACCAGCTTCTTCCTGACAGTTTCTGTTTATTGAGAAATCTCCTCCACCCCGATGTCACCAAGACAGCCCCTGATTCCTCCCTCTAACTCGCAAGTTTCGCCTTTCACCCCTCCTGGAGTTGAGGACGATGTGTCCTGTTCAGGAAGGATAGGCTTGAGTTTTCTCCCACGGAAACCCGGCTTTCCCATCACCATCCGCTCATCAGTCCATCCTCCCCATTGATCCACATGGCACCCGGACCGCTCACCTGAGGGTCTCTCTCTGAGCTCTCGCATCTCTTCTCATCATTGGTCCCTCTGCCTCTTCTTGGGCCCAAACTGGGCTGTTTTGTTACTGTGGCTGTATAGTCAGTCTCACTGTCCCGTAGGGCAATTCTTATAATACCCTACCCTAAATTCTGGGTTATGAACTATTCCTGGCTCCTGGCACAGAATTTAAATCAACGAAATCCACAGAGTAAAGAGGATTTTCTTAGCCATTACTTCTTTCTCTCTTCTCACCCCCAGCGGAGGAACCCCTTCCAGAGCCCGTCTAAACTGTGGCCGGGTGTCCACCTGGCTGGGGGCCTGTGGCTCACCCCTGCACTTGCAGCGAAGACCTTGGCTCCTCCAGAACAACCTCCGTCTTCGTGGGCTCCAGTGCAGATAACCTTCCCAGGGGACAATTCGGGGCACGAGGAGCCTGGCTGCTGGCCAAAAATCCGTAGGCGGTCACTAAGGCTTCGCCCGCAGGCCACGGGAGGAAGCTGTTCCGCCCGCCAGGCTTGGGGCACAGGCAGGGCCCTGCTGTCCTGGAGGGAGCTGCATCACTACCCCGGCCCACGGCCACGGTCCTACTACATCCGCGCTCCCAGCCCCACACCTCCTTTCAGAGGCCTCCTTGTTGGGGCTTGAGGACACTCATCCAACACTGACTCAGTATCTAGGGCCGTTCCACGCCTAGCCCGTCCTCCTCATCCATCCCCTTCCACCCCATCCAATCGCAGGAGGCTTCTGTCCTGGGGCTCCATCTGTGTGGCCCCCACCACGCCCCCCCGTGGGGCAGGAGGGAAGGGGGCCCACGCCTCCTTGGATTCTGGCTTCTCGCTTATACCATTGTAGTAAGTAACTGAGGCCTTCACGGTCCTTCTGTTTGGGATTGCTGCTGTAAACCTGGCAGGTCAGCTCTTTGTCCAGCTCGGCTGGACCCCTGGCAGGGGGGGAGTCACCACGCTCCCACTTCACAGACAAGGAAACTGAGGCTCAGAGAGGTTCCGTGCGTCAGTTGTGGGCCGGATCTCAAGATCTTGAGGTCCACTGTGTAGCCAGCTCTGAGGTAATCTGTTTGTGGCTACCATGGCCCCTCTGCTAAAGTGGAAGTACCTTGAGGGCGACAACTATTGATTTCTGAACTGCCATTTCAGGAAGCCTTGGTGGAATAAAGGAAGGCCACCCAGAGGAGAACCAGCAGAGGCCGTTTATTCAGAGCGGCTGTGGCACGGCGTCCGCAGCCATCACCTGAGTTTGGCAGAGACTCAGGCAAGCAGGGGAGGACACAGCTTATGGTAGAAGAAAGGAAGGCTCAGCTGTGCCCCGGTGGAGGCCGCGGTGGCTGGCTACAAGCTGGGCATCCTGTGCGATGGGTTAGGGAGCATATCTGGCTTTTCTGGTTGGTGCTGAATTGGAAGCGGGGACAAAAATTAGGGAAGCTGTCAGTCACTGGCCAAGTCCTGGCTGTTCTGGGCCAATGGCAGCAGAGGCTGTGGTCCAGCTTCCCCAGCTGTTCACTGCAGAGGCTGAGGGTCAGTGTTCGCTCCACACGCACCTGGCTTGGCCATTGTCCTTTGTATACTCAGTCTCTCAGTATGAATACAATAGGTGCTAATGGATGTGTGTCGAATTGACTAGAATTAATTGGCAGGACTGTATCACTTGCCTGTATCTGAGTGTCCAGAGAGAGCTCTGACTTTCCTGGACTCAGTGCCTCCCCCATTCCTGCAACCGGCAGGAACTTTTCCGAGAAGGTGCAAAACTCGCCGTGTCTGGGGGCCGGCCCCATGGCCGAGTGGTTAAGTTCACGCGCTCCGCTGCGGCGGCCCAGGGTTTCACCGGTTCCGATCCTGGGCGCGGACATGGCACTGCTCATCAGGCCACGTTGAGGCGGTGTCCCACATGCCACAACTAGAAGGACCTGCAACTAGGATATACAACTATGTACTGAGGGGGATTTGGGGAGATAAAGCAGGAAAAAAAAAAAACGCATTGGCAACAGTTGTTAGCTTAGGTGCCAATCTTTAAAAAAAAAAAAACTCGCCATGTCTGTTAACCTGGAGACCCCTCCCCTTGTGCATGTAGCCAAGGCAAAGATAGAGAAGCGCATGCACGTGGACTGAATATGCGTCACAGCCAAGACTGTCCGTGTCTGCGAGGATCGGGGTGGAAGCAGGAAGAAGCTGTTTAATTAAACAACGGAGGGAGAGGCTCACACTGGGATTATCTGAATTCGAGGCCCCCCCCTCTGTTAATGCGCCCTAATTGCCTGTGCCCTGGGCTCAGCCAGGCCCGGGTGTGTTCTGGGAGCCAGGCAGCCTGCCTGGTGGTGGACTCACGTTTCCTAATGAGGGGGCCACAGCTAAATCCCAGAGGGGCCAGCCCACCGCCAGGCAGGGCCCATGTACCCTCTGTCTCTCGGAGCTTTGGGGGTGAATTTAGGGTGCACAGTGCTTACTTAGAGCCCTGTGCTCCCCAGGGGCCCCGACCAGGCACGACTCCACAGGACGTGGAACCCGACCTGCACGCCGTGGCCAGCCGGAGGCTTGGGTCTGGTCAGGCTCCTCAGCACAGACTTGCCCCCAACCCCCGAGATGCCAGAATTTTCCCTACAGTCAATCTGGGACCCTCCCACAACATGCACAGCTGCCTCCGGGGTGGTCCCTGCCCTTGACATCCGGATGCTTTAGAGGATGCAGACCCTTCTGAGTAGGAGTGTTTCCCTCTCGCTCTGTGGGCGGCTTATTTTACAGCACGTGTTCTTTCCAGAAGCAATGCAGTCTCCCCACACTCGGCTTTTCTGTTCTCAGAGGCAGAAGAGATGAGTCAGGGGCAGGGCCCGGTGGGTCATTAACTCTCGGTGACTCCATTTCCCCAGGTTAAATGGGGGGTCATCGTGATACTGCTTGGAGGGGCTTTGCGAGGCTGCTGTGACATTTCGAGACCAGAACCTGCCACTCCCGGGGGCCCCGTAACAGACCTGGCGTAACCCCCCTGTGATTTCCTTGACACAGACCTGCGCCCCCTGGACATCCTGGCAGAGGCAGTCCCTCCGGACAGCGCTGCAGGCGGAGTCAGGGTGACTCGGGTTCAAGGTGTGCGAGGACTCCAGCTCTCGGCCGCCAGCCCCCACGCCATGAGCTTCCCTGCGTCGAGGATTTTCGTCAGATGCGACCTCTTCCCTGAAGAATTTTCCATCGTCGTCACCTTGAAAGTTCCCAATCTTCCCCCAAAGGTCAGTGACGCTTTTATCTTCGTGTTAGAATGTGTTAGAATGGCCTGATTTTCCTTGCAATGTTCTCAGTGCTAGAGCGTGCAAAGGGCACGGCTGACTCAGGTTGCGGCGAGACACTGGCCAAGGTCTCCTAGGGTGTCTTTGGGATCAAGAGCGGCCGGCCTTGATAGGTAGTGAGGTCCCCATCACTGCGAGTGTGCAGGCAGGGTCTGTGTGACCATTTGCCGGCGGTTTATACTGGTAATTCCTGCGATTATAGTTTTGCTGGTGTGCTAATCTGTCGGAGGCTAGGGACATGCTTAGAGTTTTTAGTTTGACATCCTTTAGTGGGAAAGGTAAACAATAAAATAACAAAAGCATACCTGTTGGGGTCTGTTTGCCTGTGACTTGCAGCCCCATGCACCCCAGGCCCAGCTCTCATTCCCATCCTCCCCGACTAGGCTGCGAGCTTCCCGGAAGGTGAGGCCCGGTGGCGGCTGCCGCCTTTCCCTGTGGATTCGAGTTCAATGGACTTCACACTGTGCAGCAAACTCCTCATGTTTCCAAGTCAGAGTCCTCCGCTCTCCCCAGCCGACCGTGCTTCTCCGTGTTGGTTTTCTCTGATGAGTGCGATGCCGCCCCCATAGTTCCCGTTGGCGTCCAGGTCACGGAACCGCTCTCCTTTCCTGCCATCAATCCGCTGTCAGACCCAGCTGCTGTCTCCAATTCCAGTCATTGCATTTTTCAGTTCCTATAATTTCCATTTTCTTCTTTTTTATATAAACTCCAGTTCTCGGGTTGAAGTCTTTGTCTTGTCAGCGACTTTCCTGCTCGTGGCTCCCATATCTGAATGGAACCACTCCATTCGACCGACGACTCCAGTATGCGGGCCACCTGGAGGATGGCTCTGCTGTCTCTTTTATCTATTTTCCATCACGCTCAGTAATTTTTTAACAGTTTTATTGAGCTATGATCCACATACCGTACAATTCACCTCTTTAAAGTGCACAATTCAATGATGCTTAGTTTATTCAACGGACACATGCAACCCTCACCACGGTCCATTTAGGGCGTGTTCATCACCGCAGAAAGAAACCCCGTGCTCGTTAGCTCTCAGCCCCACCCCCAGCGCCAAGCAACAACCCATTTACTTTCTGTATCTGTGGTTTGCCTATTCTGGACATTTCATATAAATGGAATCAGGTAATACATGGTCTTTGTGGCTGGCTTTTCTTACGTGGTGTGTTTTCAAGCTTCATCCGTGTTGGAGTGCACATCAGTACTTCACTCCTTTCTGTGGTGGAATCATATTTGCCCGTGTGCATACACCACGTCTTGAGTATCCACTCATCAGTTGGTGCACATTGGGGTTGTTTCTACCTTTTGGCTATTGTGAATAATGCTGCTATAAACGTCCACGTACACATTTTTGTATGGACATATATTTTCATTTCTCATGGGTATATACTTGGGAGTGGAATTGCTGGGTCATAGGATGACTCTGTGATTAACTTTTGAGGAACCACCAGACTGTTTTCCAAGGTAGATGCAGCATTTCCCATTCCCGCCAGCAGTGGGTGAGGGTTTCGATTTCTCCACATCCTCATCAACACTTGTTATTATCTGACTTTTTGATTCCCGCCATCCTCATGGGCATGAAGTGCTATCTCATTGTGGCTTTGATTTGCATTTCCCTGATGAATAATAATGTGTATTGTTTATGGGTGCATTGACCATTTGTGTATCTTCTTTGGAGAAATGTCTATTCAAGTCCTTTGCCCAGTTTTTAATTGGATTAGTTGCCTTTTTATTGTTGAGTTGTAAGAGTTCTTTATATATTCTAGATATGTCTCTTATCACATATGCCATTTTCAAATATTTTCTCCCGTTCTGTGGGTTCTCTTTTTACTTTCTTGATAGTGTCCTTTGAGGGACAAAGCTTTAATTCTGATGACATCAGATTTATCTATTTTTTTCTTTTCTTGCTTGTACTTTTATAGTCATATCTTAGACTCCAATGCCAAATCTAAGGTCACGAAGATTTACCCCAATGTCTTCTTCTACGAGTTTTATAGAATTAGCTCTTATATTTAGGTCTTTGATCCATTGGGATTACTTTTTGCATATGGTGTGAGGTAGGGTTCCAACCTTCATTCTTTTGCACGTGGATTTCCAGTCATCCCAGCACCATTTATTGAAAAGACTGTTCTTTTCCCATTGAATGGTCTTGGCACCTGGTTGAAATCAGTTGACCATAGATGTGTGTGTTTATTTCTGGACTTTTAATTCTATTCCACTAATAATTCCTGACATAGAGCTCCCAAATCCCTTGGGATTTCCTGGGTGATAGGAGCATCTTTTGTTCTAATGAGGCAACTCTTGGTGAGCTTCAGGATGGAGGCTGGTCCCCAGAAAGATCAAACTTTGATCAGAAGCTTGGTACTTTCAGCTCCACCCCCTTCTCCAGAGAGGGGAGAGGGGCTGGAAATTGAGTTAATAATTGATCGTGCCTCCATGATGAAGCCTCCATGAAGTCCCAAAAGTACTGGGTTTGGAGAGCTTCTGGGGGTGGTGAACACATCCACCTGCCAGGATGGTGGTGCACGTCGACTCTATGGGGACAGAAGCACCTGCGCTTGGGACCCTCCCAGATCTCACCCTATGTATCTCTTCATATGGCCGTTTATCTGTAGCCTTTAAAATACCCTTCATAATAAATCACAATAATAAGTAAACTGTTTTTCTGGGTTCTGTGAGCCACTCTAGCAAATCATCGAACTGGAGGAGGGGGTCATGGGAACCTCTGATTTGTAGCCAAGTTGGGCGGAAGTTGTCGCTAACCTGGGAACCTGCTACTTGTGACTGGAGTCTGAAGTCAGGGAGCAGTCTCGTTGGCCTGAGCTCTTAACCTGTGGGGTCTGACACTAACGCTAAGTAGTGTCACAATGGAATTGAATTGAATTGTAGGACACCCAGCTGGTGTTGGAGAATTGGTCAGTGTGGGAAAAAACCCACATCTGGTTTCAGAAGCATTATGTGTGAGAATGAAGGAAAATGCAGTGCATTTTTCCTAGGGACACATAAAACAAGGTTATGTATTGATTAGTTGATAAAAATGAGGCCAGAGACTCACAGGAACCTACCTCTTTATTTCTCCTAGGAGCAACAGGTCAGTATTTGCTAATTCCTTGTTTCTGGTGACTTTATATCACAAAATCACCACTAATAATGAGAATCAACTGTAGTTGGATTTATGCCTATTTTACTTTTTTGTTTCCTGTGTCTCCTGTCTTTTTTTTTTCTGCGTTCCTCTAGTCTTCCTTTACTTCTTTTTGTTTGTTGCATTTAGTGAATATTTTCTAACATAGCATTTTATTTTTTTAATGATTTTTTCACTATATTTTTTTGGTTTTCCCGTAGTGTTTGCTTCAGGGTTTACCATATATTTATTTTAACTTATCAGAATCAACTTCTGATTTACACTAACTCAATTCCAGTAAGATGTAAAAACACCACTCTTATATAATTCTATTACTTCTTGCCCTTTTTGTGGGCTTCTTTTTTATATATATTACATCTATCAATGTTAAAAACCCAACAATATATTATTATAATTATGACAATATACTTTTATGACTTTAAAGAAGCTTAGAGAATAAAGGAAAGCAAGTATCTATTTGTAGCTTTTGTTACACTAACCTTCTTTTTTTCATTGCTGGCTCTCTTCTCTGTGGATCTGAGTTACCATCTGGAGTCATTTCCTTTGCCCAATACAGCTTTGCTCCCACATGCCTCCTTTGTGCCAATATTGTCATATTGTATATTACATTATAGGCCCAACAATACATTTTATACATATTGTTCTATACAATGGTTTTTTAAATCAGTTAAGAGAAGAAAGGAGAAAAATATGCATTTGCATTGTCTTTTGTAATTACATAATTATCTTTACTAGTGCTCTTTGTTTTTTCATGTGGATTAGAATTTCAGCCTAAAGAGCTCCCTTTAGTGTGTCTTCTTAGGTGAGCCTGCTAACATCAAATTGTCTCAGTTTTTATCTGTCTGGGAATGTCTTAATTTTGCCTTCGTTTTTGAAAGATAGTTGTGTCGGATATAGGATTTTTGGTGGACAGTTTTTTTCCTTTGAGCACTTCTGTAACGCCACCCCACTGCCTTCTGGTCTCGTTGTTTCTGGTGGGAAGTCAGCTGTTGATCTCACCAGGGTCCCTTGTGAGTGACTCATCGTTCTTCCCTTGCTGCTTTCAAGACTTTCCCCTTGTCTTTGACTGTCAGCATGTTCACTGCATCTCTTTGTGGATCTTTTGTGTGGATCTTATTTGGAGTTCACAGAGCTTGCCGGATGTGTAGATTAAAGTTCTGTTGTAAATTTGGAACGCTTTCAGCCATTCTTTCTTTGAAGTAATAATATTTCTCCCTTGTGGCCTGACTACCATGTAGTTCTCCAGCAGAGCCCCCCGCCCCACCCATCAGAAGTCAGTGAGGCCTCAAACCCTGAAGCCACAAGCCCCCACGGTGCCCTAGGCTAGTTTTGCAGAGCCCTGCAGCCCAGCGCTTCACCGAGACCCCTGCCCCTGCCCCTTCAGAGACTTGGCACAGTCCAGTGGCTGAAGAGTGAGGACACAAGAGGCCATGACCAGATGTTTCTCACCTGGTGACAGGCGTAGAACCGAGCACTGGGGCATAGGCTGCTACATGGTGTGCAGGTGTCTACATGGCAAGGCTCCATGGACAGCCAGACCCTCTACTGTACACTTACTATGACAGTGTCCAGGAGCTGACAATAGAGGGTCAGGCTCACAGGCCACCACATCCTGATGCCCTTCTGCCTGTGGAGGGGGATTCTTGAGGGAGGAGACCTGTTCTGATCTGCATACAGGGGCTTCAGGAGCCCCCGAGGGCCCTGTTGCAAGTGATACCGTCTGGGCCATGAGAAAAGGAGGAGGGTATGAGCATGAAGTACTCTGTCTGGGAAAGGGTTCTATAAAAGCTCAAGTTTCGATGAAGCAAAGGCACTTGCCCCTCACGGTCATTCCTACTGTGCTAGCCTGGGTCTGCATCCCTGGCTCTTCCTGTGAGCCAGTCTCTGCCCCCAGGAGGACACTTCTTTCTCACACCTGCCCCGGCATGTGCTCCCAGTAGACCCCAGCCCTTTAACTCCTCCCAGAGCCAGAGCATCCACCCACACAGTGCATCGTCAGACCTGTCCACACTGAACACATCTCCCTCTGCTCAAAGCCCAGATTCTGGGGCTGTCGCATCCTTACTCCTTCCTGGGGGCAGAAGTTCTGTTTACAAGAACAAACCCCCCATGGGATGGAGCAAAGGGCTGTTGCTTTCAGAAAATCACCTGATTGTTCCTGTTCCTGCAAAAGCGTTTCTACCGTCTTTCCTCTGGGGACAAATACGGCTCAGGAGAGCCCCACCTCCACTCAGGGCCCTCACGTGGCATTCACAAACAGTGAACCAGTGCTGCTGAAACACAGCACAATGCCAAACACCAACAAGGAAGGGAAGGCTTCACTAAGCCTGCTGCCAGGACAACACACAACACAGAGGGGCATAAAAGCCGACAGCTCCAGACACCTCACACACACACACTCACATACACACTCTACCTCCTCCAGCCCCACCGCCCCACCATGGCCGCCTCCACCCTGTCCGTCTGCTCCAGCGACCTCAGCTATGGCAGCCGGGTCTGCCAGCCCGGTGCCTGGGACTCCTGCCCTGAGTCCTCCTGGCAGGTGGACGACGGCCCAGAGAGCTGCTGCGAGCCCCCCTGCTGTGCCCCCAGCTGCTGCGCCCCAGCCCCCTGCCTGAGCCTCATCTGCACCCCCGCCAGCTGTGTGTGCAGCCCCTGCCAGTCAGCCTGCACCAGCGCCTGCACACCCTCATGCTGCCAGCAGTCTAGCTGCCAGCCCTCATGCTGCACCTCCTCCCCCTGCCAGCAGGCCTGCTGCGTGCCCGTCTCCTGCACCCCCATCTGCTGCAAGCCTGTGTGCTGTGTGCCCATCTGCTGTGGGGCCTCGCCCTGCTCAGACTCCTCATGCTGCCAGCAGTCTAGCTGCCAGCCCTCCTGCTGCACCTCCTCCTCCTGCCAGCAGGACTGCTGCGTGCCCGTCTGCTGCACACCCGTCTGCTCCAAGGCCACCCCCTGCCCAGCCCCCTCGTGCTGCCAGCCCAGCCCCTGCCCCCCGTCCTGCTGCAAACCCTCCTCCTGCGTGTCCCTCATCTGCCGCCCCGTGTGCAGGCCCGCCTGCTGCGTGCCCGTCTCCTCCTGCTGCGGCCCCGCCTCCTGCCAGCCCAGCTGCTGCCGCCCGGCCTCCTGCGTGTCCCTGCTCTACCGCCCCACGTGCAAACCCTCCTCCTGTGTGTCCCTGCTCTGCCGCCCTGTGTGCTCCCGTGCAGCCCGTTGCGTCCCCGCCTCAGCCCAGAAGTCCTGCTGCTGACCAGGCGTGGCCCCCCACTCCTCCTAGGGCCAACTCTGACTTCGACCTGAAATCTCTGGAGCCTTGAGCCCATTCTGGGGTCTCCTTCTGTCCCAGAGCCACCCCCCAACCCCAGCAGGCTGGGCTGAGCCTTCACTGCCCGGCTGGCTCTCTGGACTGGCCCTGAGTTCTGTCCCAACCCAGGGTCTCACTCAGTGTCCTCTTCTCCATCCTAACTGGATAGCAGCTACTTTGTCCTCATGTGAGTGGGGGACTCTCATTCTGTTGACAAATAAAGCCATTGTCAGCCCCTCTCTGAGGCCTTGAGTGTATATCTGGGCAAAGCATGGGGAAGAGCTTTGATGTGGCATGGGGCTGGACCTCTTTGAGACCTGGCCTTGAGCTCTGTCCAGGGCGACAGCACTGTCGGGCAGGGCTGGCCAGGCCTTTCACCCTCCGCCAGGGTCTCCTGCAGTAGTGGGCCCCCTGCAGCCTCGAGCACAGGAAACCTGCCACCTGGGAGACCCCCGCATGCCTCCCAACACCTCCACCAGTGAGGGACAGAGAGTCCACTTGTCCAGGCCTGCAGCCTTGCACATCCAGGCTTGGGGCTTTGCCAGGGACAAAGGAGAACCTATTTAATAAAGCATCTGGCTTGAAGGCATGAAGCTCCCCCCCTCCAGGGCCAGCTTTGGGGAGGCTGGTGCCATCCTCTCTCCAGAAACCCTGGGCACGGGGGCAGGTGCTTTCCTCATGGGCAGATGGCAGGAGTGGGGAGCCATGTGTGGTGATGATGTGAGCCTGTGCTAGTCAGCGTTCTCTGGAGAAACAACCAATAGGATGTGTGCGTTTATATACAGAGAGATTTATTTTGAGGAATGGGCTCGGATGACTATGGAGTCTGGCAAGTCCAAACTCTGTGGGGCAGGCTGCCCAGAGAAGAGTTGACGTTGCAGCTCGAGTCTGAAGACAGTTGGAGGCAGAATTTCTTCCTCCTTGGGGAACCTCAGTCTTTTCTCTTAAGGCCTTCAACTGATAGGGCAGGGCCCACCCACATTATGGAGAGCAATCTGCTTTACCCAGAGTCCACTGATTTAATGTTAATCTCATCTAACAAATACCTTTGCAGCAATGTCCAGACGTGTTTGATCAAACAACTGGGCACGATGGCCTGGCCAAGTTGACACACCAAATTAACCATCACAGGGACCAATAGCTGAGGGGGGTGGGATATTTAGCAATGGCTGGGGCTCACTGAGTGCTCCCCTCAGGAATTCAAATGTTAAGGCAGTTGCCCTCTTGGGAAATCCAGGGAGGAGGGTTCGCGCTGGCCCTGCAGAGATGGTGCTGGGCAGGCACACCACCTGGAGGACACAGACCTTGCCTGGGCCTCGGGTGGTCCCCAGCAAGGAACGGCCTTGGCTAGGGGGCCTCGAATGCCCCAGGCCACATTCGAGGGATGTGTACTGGGGATGTCACAATGTACAGACCCCACGTCGGAAGGAAGCAGGGGTCCTCGAGGGTTCCCACCTCCAGGGGGCCTGGCTGACGGCTCACCCGCGATCCCGGTGGATGCCAACACGGCAGCGTCCTGAGTGTGGTGTGGGGCGCGTCCTGCCCTCCTCCCCAGTCCTGGAGCTGTTGCCCCTGTGTTTGCTGGTCTCTCTGAACAGCCACCCACAGCGGCCCAGCCTCTCCGGGTCCGGCCCTCCGCTCTTCTGTCCTGTCCACACGACTGTCCATCTTCTGACTTGCCCTCTCCTTCCCCCCAGGGGCACCTGGTGTCCTCCCTCCCTGGGTCTCCCTGAAGACCCCTCCTCCAGGTTCGGCCTCCACTCTCTGCCACGGTCCTCTCTCTGCACACGGCCAGGCTGAACTTTCCAGAGACCCTCCTCATGACAGCTCCTCCCATGGCATCAACCCACAGCACGGTGACCAGCCCACCTGCCTGCCCAGCGCCCACCCTTCCCCTCATCTCCCGGCTGCCCCCTCCGCATCACTTTTTAGTTTCTTACTCCTGAAGATGTTTTAAAGCCGACTTTTCTTCTCTTTAGGTGTCTGTGGGTGTTTGCAGGTGGCAAGTGCAGTATTTGAAGTCTCTGCAGGTCCGTTTGGGTTTTCTGTCACATCTGCCAGTTCCTGCTCACATGTCCTCTTTCCTGATGTGCTTGGTATTTTTCACTGAGTAATGGTCCTTATCTTTGGAAAAGTACTTGTGGGCATTTGAGGCCGCCCGGGATTGGGGGGGAGCATGGCAGGGAGGCCCCCGCTGCCCCTCCGGGCCCAGCCTGGTTTGCAGTCCCCCTGGGCCCGCCGGCCCTCCAGCTCACCCCCACCGTGTGCCCCTGCTTGTCGCCGGGGCAGTGCACCACGTGGGAGTGGGGAGGGGGCTTTCCTACGCCCGTGGTCCCTGGCGGTGGCTGCTGCTCTCCCCATGGGTCCCCCCCGCCTCCCCAGATGACCGCATCTGCCCCTTGGCTGGGGTACTGGGATGAAATAAGCTCCCCACGAGCAGGGGGTCAGCCCTCCTTTCCACCAGCTCTGGCCTCGTCCTATTCATGGGCATGGTGGGGGTGGGGGCCGTGCTGATGCAGGCTCCCCATTTCCAGACCCCATCAGTCCCCTCAGTAGGAAGAAGGGAGAGGAAGCTCTGAGTGTGGGCACAGGCGGCCGCCCCAGCTGCACGACGCTCCCCCAGTCCTTTCACTGCACGACTGCTGGGGGGGTGGGGGAGGGTTGTGACAGTAGCTGCCATCTTTTGAGTTTTTGTTTTATGAAGCATTTCAAGAGACTTTTTTTCGTCTAATAAGAAACATTAGATGAAATTTACTTTATAACTGACAACTAGCTCTGGATTCTGCCATGCTGCTTCTCTGCTTTGTGAGTTTTCTTCTTGTTTCTGTTGCTTTTCGTCTTTAAAATATCAATTATGATATTTTTCTTTTACTTTTTCTACTGTTTTGAAATATGTATATTTAGTTATACTAATGAATATCTGTTTTCCTTTCTATTCATATTTTAATTGTTAAAGTCAAGAATGAAACAATACAATGGAAGAAATGTCTCTTTAAGACGGAATTGATTCTGTTTCCTCCACATCCATCTGCACCCCCATCCCCCAGACTCCCCCTTCTCAGTCTTTCTGGTCCAGTCATGTGCCGCATAACGACGTTTCACTCAACGACGGACCGTGTGCACAACAGTGGTGCCGTAAGATCAGTACCATGAGCCTAGGTGTGTAGTGGGCTATACCACCTAGGTGTGAAAATGCACTCTGTGACGTTCACACAATGACGAAATTGCCTGACGACGCATTTCTCAGAACGTGTCCCCATCATCGTTCAGTGACACGTGACTGGAGAAGCTACAGCAGCACTCTCCGACAGAAACACAGCACAAGCCACACGTGTAACTGTAACTATGATAGTAGCCACATTTAAAAATGAAAAAGAAACAAGTGAAATTAATTTAATAACATATTTTATTCAACCCAATGTATCCAAAATACTATCGTTATCAACATGCAGTACTGACTACTTTTAAAGTCCTCAGTAGCCACAGGCTGCCAGTGGCTCTCCAGTGACAGCATGGACCCTCCCCGCTGTCGTGACGTCTGTTACGATACATTGGAGAGGCGCGTTTGCACTGAGAACCCGCTGTGCAGGATATTTGGGCTTCCGCCCATGTCTCCCTTCCTTCACACCCACGACAGCCCGACCTCCACGTCCTTGAACTTGGTCATTTGTCGTATTTAAGTTTTTTTTTTTTCAGGAGAGAACCATACTTTTTTTTTTTAAGGAATACTGTCCAGGCTCCTCCTTATGTGGAAATATGTTGCTATCTTTACTAGAGAAAGATGTAATAATTTGAAAAAAGGAAAGATCAACCTTAGGGGCAGAGGTTCCCCCAGAAGCTCTGCGTCTCTCACCGTTTGGTGGAAGAGGGCCCAGGCTCAGCTCGCCATCGCTTCATCCCCGGACAGCATGCCGTCTCTTCCTGTGTGGCGACGGGACTGTTCTTAATTCTTTTTCATTGAAAGACTTGCCCGGATATTTCTAGGGCGGGCTCTAGAGATCTGATTCTCTTGAAATTCATGAAGTCTTTCCACTCCAGACGCACACATCTTTGTCCCTTCAGCTCGGAGTGGTTCATACTCGGTTATTTCTTTGCTTATTGTTTCGACCCTAATTGCCCTTTATTTCTCCCTAGCCACAGACTTATCACATTTGGTCTCAGCTAAGCATACTGTCTGTTTATTATATTTTTTCTTGTCGTGTTTGTGGGTGTCATCTTTTACTTCTGTGTTTTGGAGGAACTAGCAGTGTTTGTCCTTAAATGGTATTAACCATTGAATTGATTCTCTGTGGGGTTGGTTTTGCTCTTTCCTGCCTCCGTTGTGAATGTTTAATCCAGCTGCTTGGAGCAAATTTCCCTGGACCCTTGCCATCTTCCATCTCCACCACTGTGTTTGGAATGGGGAAGTCCTGGTTAAGAGCGTAGATCCTGTACACAGACAACTGGCCTCCGGTCCCAGTGCTGCCACTTTGTGCTGTGTGACCTTGAGCAGGTTGCTCAGCCTCTTTGTGCCCAGGCTTCCTCATCTGTTCACAGTAACTTCCTCACTGAGTTGATGTGAACATTAAGTGAGTTAACAGATGTGAAGTAAGCAGAACACTGCCTGGCACAGAACAGGTGCTCAGAAAATGTCATCTAACATCACCAGCAGCTATTGGAGGGTCATTTCTAAGATGTGGGAGTTTTCCCCAGGGCCAGCCCATTATGACTTTGTGTCCCAGCTTCCCTGGGACCCTATCGTCTTGTATTCCATGAGGGAAACCAGCTGTTGCCTAAGGTTTTCTTTTGGGCGTTGCCCTAGATGCGGAATTTCTGTTGCTCCTAGGCCGAGTTTTTAGGGGATGGTCTCTCCCTTCCCCTCAGGGTTCTAAGTGTTTCAGGGCATCACCCTTGAGTGAGGCAAATTCCGGCCGGAGGGGGCTGTTTGCCCCGCCGTGGAGCCGGCGTGCACAGCACATGCTGGAAGGCCATGCGGGCGTGGGTAAAATCCTGATGGACACTGAGTGACCAAGGAGAGGGATGGCCCTGAGTGCCCCACGACTATATCGTACACCTCAACTTTCTCAGACACGACGTGTGTGCTCCTGGTGCAGGTTCACACCGTGCCCGAGTCTTACCTGCGTCCCTGAACCTTCCTCTCGGGCACTTTATGTGGGGCTGCGACAGCGCTGGGCGTCTCTCCCTTGGGCTTTCACCCGGTACCCATGGGGTAGGGAGGGCTGCGTGTGGTCTCACACCCCGCCCTCCGCGAACGTGACCTTAGACCTGTCTCTGTGATCTAATGCTCGGCACCAAGTATATTTTACAAGATGTGCAAGTGTCACTATACGCATAAATTTTAAAATACCTAAAAGTAATAAAATAATTTAAAGCACTCCAAACATAGGAAAGATGGATGCAGAATTCATCACTCTGGAGAAATGTTCCCTCTAAACCCCAACTCAGAAGAAACTCGCCTCAAATATTTTCTGCAAGTTTTCTGGACCAAACAGGAGAGACAGGAAAACACACCCTGCAACATACTCCCAAGCAAATGAGTAAGAACTGAGTGTAGAAAATCAACCAGCAGTAATGAGGGCTCTCCTGCAGCCCGCGCTCAGCATCAACACGGAAGGGAGGGCGTCCTGGGGACAACACAAGCCAGGGAGGGGTATAAAAGCCCACGGCCCCGGGTACCATACACACTCACACACTCCCACACTAATACACACCCTCCTCCAGCCCCACCGCCCCACCATGGCCGCCTCCACCCTGTCCGTCTGCTCCAGCGACCTCAGCTATAGCAGCCGGGTCTGCCAGCCCGGTGCCTGGGACTCCTGCCCTGACTCCTCCTGGCAGGTGGACGACGGCCCAGAGAGCTGTTGCGAGCCCCCCTGCTGTGCCCCCAGCTGCTGCGCCCCGGCCCCCTGCCTGACCCTCGTCTGTACCCCCGCCAGCTGTGTGTGCAGCCCCTGCCAGTCAGCCTGCAGCAGCTCCTGCACGCCCTCGTGCTGCCAGCAGTCTAGCTGCCAGCCGTCCTGCTGTGCCTCCTCCTCCTGCCGGCAGGCCTGCTGCGTGCCCATCTGCTGCACCTCCGTCTGCTGCAAGCCTGTGTGCTGTGTGTCTGTCTGCTCTGGGGTCTCCCCCTGCTCAGACTCCTCATGTTGCCAGCAGTCTAGCTGCCAGCTCTCCTGCTGCACATCCTCCCCCTGCCAGCAGGACTGCTCTGTGCCTGTCTCCTGCACCCCTGTCTCCTGTACCCCCGTCTGCTGCAAGCCCGTGTGCTGTGTGCCCATCTGCTCTGGGGCCTCCCCCTGCTCAGACTCCTCATGTTGCCAGCAGTCTAGCTGCCAGCCCTCCTGCTGCGCCTCCTCCTCCTGCCAGCAGGACTGCTGTGTGCCCGTCTGCAGCACCTCTGTCTGCTACAAGCCTGTGTGCTGTGTGCCTGTCTGCTCTGGGGCCTCCCCCTGCTCAGACTCCTCATGTTGCCAGCAGTCTAGCTGCCAGCCCTCCTGCTGCACTTCCTCCCCCTGCCAGCAAGACTGCTGCGTGCCCGTCTCCTGCACACCCGTCTGCTCCAAGGCCACCCCCTGCCCAGCCCCCTCGTGCTGCCAGCCCACCCCCTGCCCCCCGTCCTGCTGCAAACCCTCCTCCTGCGTGTCCCTCATCTGCCGCCCCGTGTGCAGGCCCACCTGCTGCGTGCCCGTCCCCTCCTGCTGCGGCCCCGCCTCCTGCCAGCCCAGCTGCTGCCGCCCGGCCTCCTGCGTGTCCCTGCTCTGCTGCCCCACGTGCTCCCGCACTGCCCGCTGCAGCCCCGCCTCGGCCCAGAAGTCCTGCTGCTGACCTGGCATGTCCCTGAGGGCCAGCCGTGCTCCAGGCCCATGGCCAGTGGGACTGAGCTCCGAGATACCAGCACTTAGCCTTCTCCAGGAGTTTATAACCCCAGAAAAGACCAGCAGGCTGTCTCCTCTGTGTTCACCAGAAAGAAAAGGGACTCCCTTTTCCTCCAGAGTCTGCCCAGCAGTTGCTGCCACAGCCATCCCAGAACCCAGCACAGGCCTGAGCCATCAGAGGGGGTCCTGATTCTCTGTCCCCCGGCCCCTCCTCCAGTCCCTGCCCCTGTCAGTCGCATGGGAGGACCTGCCACCTGACCTGATAAACTCGCCTCCTTTTCTCCACGTGCCTCTTTATACATCTTCTTTCCTGGTCCGAGTGTGGTGTGGCAGGGGCTGGGGGAGGGGTGCATACACAGGCCTCCCAGGGCTCCTGGCCATAACCTCCTGTGACCTTTCACAGGAAAAGAGAGGCAGGAAAACCCAGGAATCCAGGCCCGGTGTGACCCTGGAGCGGCCACCCTGTGCTCCTGGCCTAGGCCCTGCTGCCCAGGCCGTGTGCTCTCCTGCAGGCCTCCCCCATGTGAGCTGTGAGGTGGCCGCACACCCCATGGTCAATAGCATGCCTCTGGAGGCCTGACGCTGCTGGAACCCGCCCTCTCCTCCGAGGCCCCCCAGGGCCTTCCTCCCGGGTGTGGGGATCCTGGCGGGGAAGACGGAGTGTTTCCTTGACTGTTCAGTGTTGCTTATCAAAGGCGCACCACAGCTGTCCTGGGGGGCGCCACCCAGATCCCCCTCGCGAGCACCCACTGTGGGGGTGTAACTGACGCACAGCCCCGGCTGCCGCCCCTTCGACCCACCACGTCCAAACCAGGCTGCTCCCTGAAGTTGACCGAGCACAGCTGGGGTCTGAGCAGGGCTGTTCCCGCGGACACGAGTCTCCTCCCACAGGCCCCTCGGCTCCAGCACCCTGTCCCCCCGTCCCAGGCCTTCTCAGAGCTGTGCGGCGTCTGAGGCGCTGTCCCCACTCGCTGCTCACAGGAGTCCTGCCTCGTTAAGGCCCCCCCCACCAACCCCCGCTCCTCCTGTTTACTCTTTCATGGGCATTCCCACAATAAATCACTTGCAAATCGATCCCATCTCGGCATCTGCTTCTTGGAGAACCCAAACTGACTCCTGCACTGTTATTTCTGTACCACTAGAAAGAAAGAGAGAAAAAGACAAACACAACCAATGAAACTATGACCCGATACTCTTACATGACACGTGAAAAATTCACTCCAGCCTCTTCTTGCCTTTAAATTACTTCAATCTATTCTGAGGGATTTAGGCAAATGTTTCACCTTCATTTGTATGTATCTGTATTTAAAAACATAATGGATTGATCTACTTGTTGCTTGTGGGCATGGCCTTTTCTTGGAGCCTGTGGAGCTCTTGGCTGTCTATTTATCTGTGTATGGAATTACACCATTCCATACAACGAATGCGTGCTTCATCCAGGGAGAAATGCAAATATACCACTGTGGGCTCCTATACATACAGTGGCCACTGGCATTTCTAGACAGACTGTGATCAGTTAAAGATACATGCTGTAAACCCTAAAATCCAAAACAAGGAGCTGTGGCTAATAAGCTAACAAAGGAAATAATACAGAATCATAAATAAAATCAACTAATCCAAAAGAAGACAGAAAGAGAGGGAAAGGAGGATGAAGAACACACTGGAAACAAACTCTGCAAGAGGACAGAGTAAACCTCACTGTGCCGACAATCACACTAAACGTAAGTTGTCTAAATACTCCCATTGAAAGGCAGAGACTGGTGGATTGAATAAAAAAAAAAAAGAAACAAGACCTCACTTTATGCTGCCTATAAAAAATGTAGTTTAAATATAAGATGAAAATAGATTAAAAGTAAAGAGGTGGGAGAAGATACATCATGCTAACATTAATCGAAAGAAACCTGCAGCAGTGATACTAATATCATTCAAAATAGATTCCAAATGAAAGAATATTGCCAGAGATTGAGGCTCATTTTATAAAGATAAAGGAGCCATTGACCCTAAATGTTTCTGCACCTCATAACAGACCTTCCGAATTCATGAAGCAAAACCTGCCTGAACTGCAATGAGATACAGACAAATGAACATTTACAGTCTGAGATTTCAATACTCCTCTCTCCACAACTTATAGAAAAAACAAACAGAAAATCAGGAAGGGTGTAGACTATTTGAGTGATGCTACCAACCAGTTTGAACTAATTGGCATTTAAAGAACACTCCACCCCACAAACAGAATAACCACTCTTTTTAAGTGCATGCAAACATGTACCAAGATAGACTACATTAACTAAGATAGGCCATATTTTGGGCAATAAAACAAGTCTCAACAAACTTAAAAGAATTTAAGTCATATAATGTTTATTCTCTGACCATAATGGAATTAAATTAGAAATCCAGCACCAGAAAGATCCTGTAAGATCCCCAAATATTAAGAAATGAAAAGGACTTCTAAATAACCCATGGGTCAAAGAAGAAAGAAAAGGGGAAATTAGAAAATAGTGTGAACTGTATGAAAATGAAAACACACATCCAAATGTGTGGGGTGCTGCTAAAGCAATTCCAAGGGGGGAATTTACAGCACTGAATGTCCAATTAGAACAGAAGGAGGCTCTCAGATAGACGACCTCAGCTTCCATCTGAGAAACTAGGGCGAGTGGGCCCAGCTAAACTCAAGGAAAAGAGACGATAATAAAGATCTGAGTGGAAAAATCAATGAAATGGAAAACAGAAAAAAAAAATGAGAAAATCAAAGAAACCAAAAGCTGTTTCCTTGAGAAGATGATAAAATTGATAAACCTTTAGCTAGACTGACCAGCAAAACAAAGAGAGAAGATGCTAATCACCAAATCTAGAATGAGGCATGTGACATCAGTAGACATCCTGCAGACACTGAAAGTGTAATAAGAGAACATGGAACTATTTTATGCCCCAAAACTTGACTACCTAAGTGAAATGGACAAATTCTTTGATAGACACAAACTACCAAAACTCACTCAAGAAGACATATATAACCTGAGTAGCCCCAGACCCATTAAAGAAATTGAGTCTGCAGCTGAAAACCTTCCCACAGCCCAGCTGCCTTTCCACAGGTGAAGGGTAAGCCAACCGTGGGACATCACACCACAGAACCCCACCTGCAAGACAAGGAGCCAACTGTGGACATGCACAGCAGCTTGAATGGACTGTAAGGGAATTGTGGGGTGCAAAAGTCAACCTCAGAAAGTGACGAGCTGTATGACTCCATTTGTGTACATTCTCATTGTAAGAAAAGGAGAGAGATGGAGAAGAGATGCATGGTTGTCAGGGGTTAGGGAGGAGAGTGTGGTCGGCGTGGGTATGAGGAGCAGATGACGAGATGAGGAGTAGGAGCCTTGTGATGACGGCACGATTCTGTATCTGATGGTGGTGGTGGTTATATGATCTACGACTGTGACAATACTGCATAAAACTACACACACACGAGTGCGTGTAAATCTGGTGAAATCTGAATAAGATCTATGGATTGTCCAGCTCCTGGTTGTGACTTGTACTAAAGTTAGGCTGGATGCTATCATTGAGGAAAACTGGAGGAAGGGTACACGGGACCTTCTGTATAAAGTTTTTGTAACTTCTTGTGAATCCATAATTTAAAAAAAAGAAAAAACTTTCCACAAAAAAACCCTCCAGGCCCAGATGGCTTCACTGGTGAATTCTATCAGGAAAAGAAAACAAAAAAAACACCAGAGCATCAAACAAACCCGCTGTCCACTTTCTGGTGGGTGCTGGGAGGAGGCCACACAAGATGCTGTAACGTGTGGCCCATCCAGTACCTTCTCTTAGGCTGAAACCAGGGAACTGGCCAGATCCCCCACGTCATCATCACATGGTCATCGAAATCTCCAAAGATCTTCCATCCACTCTCAGCACCGCTTCCATCTACCGGAACATGAGGCCCCTCCTGATGTGGGCACCACGCAGATAATGCGGGCAGGGCTGACAAAGACACTGCCCGTGGCCGCCGCCCTGCCTCCCGGAACTGCCTGTCTGCACCCTGACGACCCCAGCCCAACAGCCCCCAGCCCCACGCCGCACACAGGTGTGGGGTGAATGAAGAAGGAATATCTGGAAACCTGCAGTGTCGGGACTAGTGCTGAGGTCTCCCGACACGGCCCCTCTGCTCCTGCCCAGCACCGAGGGGATGGGCTGTCCCCCACGTCCCTCCCACGGGCACCTTTCTCCCCACATGATCCATGGGACCCGGCCAAGCCACAGCAGCCCCACCAGGGTCGACCACGGCTATCCGCCCGAGGAAGTCACGGCCACACATCTACCTTGACCAACCACGAGGGCACCTTTAGGAGGAAACCCGTGGCCATAGTGTGGCCCACACGCCAGCTTCCGCAGGGCCAAACACTGGTCAGGCGGTCACTCAGGTTCCCACCCAGCAACTGACTCATCTAATGAGGCTTCATGGGCCCTGCCAGAGTCACCAACAAGGAAGGGGGACGTGAGAGCCTCCTGCGGGGACAACACAGGCCAGGAGCTGGATATAAAAGCCCGGGCATCACAGAGCACCTCACACACGCCCAAACACACACACACACACTCACACCTACCCTCCTCCAGCCCCACCGCCCCACCATGGCCGCCTCCACCCTGTCCGTCTGCTCCAGCGACCTCAGCTATGGCAGCCGGGTCTGCCAGCCCGGTGCCTGGGACTCCTGCCCCGACTCCTCCTGGCAGGTGGACGACGGCCCAGAGAGCTGCTGCGAGCCCCCCTGCTGCGCCCCCAGCTGCTGCGCCCCGGCCCCCTGCTTGAGCCTCATCTGCACCCCCGCCAGCTGTGTGTGCAGCCCCTGCCAGGCAGCCTGCACCAGCTCCTGCACACCCTCGTCCTGCCAGCAGTCTAGCTGCCAGCCGTCCTGCTGCACCTCCTCCCCTTGCCAGCAAAACTGCTGCGAGCCCATCTGCTGCACCCCCGTCTGCTGCAAGCCCGTGTGCTGTGTGCCCATCTGCTCTGGGCCCTCCCCCTGCTCAGACTCCTCATGTTGCCAGCAGTCTAGCTGCCAGCCCTCCTGCTGCGCCTCCTCCTCCTGCCAGCAGGCCTGCTGTGAGCCCGTCTGCAGCACCTCCGTTTGCTGCAAGCCTGTGTGCTGTGTGCCTGTCTGCTCTGGGGTCTCCCCCTGCTCAGACTCCTCATGTTGCCAGCAGTCTAGCTGCCAGCCCTCCTGCTGCAACCCCTCCTCCTGCCAGCAGGCCTGCTGCCTGCCCGTCTCCTGCACCTCCGTCTGCTGTAACCCCGTGTGCTGTGAGCCCGTCTCCTGCACCCCTGTCTGCTGTAACTCCGTGTGCTGTGTGCCTGTCTGCTCTGGGGCCTCCCCCTGCTCAGACTCCTCATGCTGCCAGCAGTCTAGCTGCCAGCCCTCCTGCTGCACCTCCTCCTCCTGCCAGCAGGCCTGCTGCGTGCCCGTCTGCTGCACCCCCGTCTGCTCTGGGGCCTCCCCCTGCCCAGCCCCCTCGTGCTGCCAGCCCAGCCCCTGCCCCCCGTCCTGCTGCAAACCCTCCTCCTGCGTGTCCCTCATCTGCCGCCCCGTGTGCAGGCCCGCCTGCTGCGTGCCCGTCCCCTCCTGCTGCGGCCCCGCCTCCTGCCAGCCCAGCTGCTGCCGCCCAGCCTCCTGCGTGTCCCTGCTCTGCCGCCCCACGTGCCGACCCTCCTCCTGCGTGTCCCTGCTCTGTCGTCCCACGTGCTCCTGCGTGGCCCGCTGCAGCCCCGCCTCGGCCCAGAAGTCCTGCTGCTGACCGGGCACATCCCCCAGAGCCAGCCGGGCTCCAGGTCCCACCCTGTGACCGTGGTCTTCCCAGTCCCCTCAGTCCAGTACTGACCTGTTAGGTGGCTGCCCCCACCCAGGACAGGGTCCACCCAGGTGTCCACTGTCCTGACCTGACCTCTGCCTCCCAGGAACCCGGACGTCGCTGCTCCCCAGCTGCTGCCTCCAGGAGGCTCCTCCATCTGCCTCTGGGTCACCTGTCCTCTCCCAGTTTCTCTGCTCGGGTCACTTGACTTCCAAGCTGTCAGCCCCTCCTCAGCACCCAATAAACTTCCTTCATCACCTGATGCGCTTCCTTCATCTGACACTCGGGGGTGGGGTTGGGGCGACACATGGTTCTGACCAGACATTGGTCTCCTCCAGCCGCGAACATTTGTGGGAGTGAGTGACTGAGGAATCCCAAAGGGCAGTGGAGTCCCTCCTCTGGGCCGGGTCACCGGTGGGACTCCTGCCCTCGCCCAGGAAGGTCAGTGCCTGCTCAGGCCGTGCTCGGAGCTTTCCTGAGGCTGGTCACCTGCAGATGTGTTGTGGTCTGGGTTCTCAGGTCCCCTTGACCTTTTCCACCCACTGTCCCATCTGGGCTAACTGGCTCCCCAGAGTCACCCGCTAGCAAGCTAGCCTGAGGACTCCACGCAGCACAGCCTCTGCGGGGCCTGGGGTCAGCCTTGTGGTCCATCTGCAGGTCTACATTTCTATCAGAAACATGATGGCGTGAGAGAGGAGCTGCTCCAACCAAGATGGGGTAAGAAGGACTGGATGACCTTCCCACCTGGGCCAACCCCCAAAACTAACAAAATTGTGAAGCACGGGTGTTCAAGGACCTGAGAAGCACAGAACGGGACCAGCAGAGAGAGAGAACAGAAAACTGGGTCTCACACCTGGCCCAGCTCACCAACTAGAGTGTGTTTCCAGGCCCCAGTACAGAAATGGTGAACCCATGTGGAGCTCCATGGACCCCTGCATTTCAGAGATGGCCTTGGGAGTTGGGGGAGACCTGGGCAGCTCACGTTTGGGGTCAGAGTGCGAGAGAGAAGAGAGCAGCACTGGGTACTCCCCAGTCCCACAGAGGGTCCCCTGCAGTGTCAGCTGAGTAATGATCCACAAACACATGTGAGCCTGAGACTGGCACAAACCAATAGAACTAGACGGACCAGTCCCCAGGGATCCAACCAAGCCTGAAACAGTGCCTGCCCCACCTGCCAGCTGGAAAATTCTCACAAGTCTGAGGATACCAGGTACACCGCTCAGAAGGGTACTGACCTAGTTGTGGGGTAAAATTCACCCTAATGTCACCACTGGTCTAGTCCTACCTGTCAAAGCTTATATGCAAGCCTCAAAGATGAGCCATTTCCAAGTAACTTCCTACATCCCAGAACAGAGGTCAAGTATATTCATAAATAATTCAGCACTCAACAAGGTAACATTCACAGTTTCAGACATCCATTCAGAAATCACCAAGCATGCAAAGTGGCAGGAACATATAACCCATAATGAGGATAAAATCAATCCATTAAGACCAAGCCGGAAGTGTCACAGATGATAGAATTATTAAGACTTACAACTATGCTCCATTCGTTCAAGAAGTCAGAGAAAAGATTAAGCAAGCGTATCAAGGAAAGATGAGGAAGATTTAAAAAGACACAAATAGAACATCTAGCAAGGAAAACTATAATGTCAGAGGTGAAAATTACACTAAACAAGATTAACCGCAGAATAGACACTGCAGAAGAAAAGACAAGTGAACTTGAAGGCAGAGAAGTGGAAGTCACCTAAACGAAACACAGAGAAGAAAAAGAAGTGGACAGCGCATTAGTGAGCTGTAGGACAACTTCAGTTGACCTGATGTACGTGTAATCGGAGGTCCCAAAGGAGAAGAGAAAGGTAGAACAGAAAAGATGCCGTCAGATTGGACGAAGAGGCAAACCCCATCTATGCTGCCTACAAGAAGTGTACTTTAAACATAAAGAAAAAAGAGGTTAAAATTAAAAATGGAAAAATAAGAGTAAATTAAATTCCAAGCCAGCATAAAGTTTGAAATGATAAAGATTAAAGCAAAAATCAGTGAAATTGAAAACAGTAAAACAATAGTGATAATCAATGAAGCCACAGTTTGTGTTTTGAAATGATAAACTTGATAAACTCTAGCTAGACTAAGTAAGAAAAAGACAAGGAAGACACAAATTACCAATATCAGGAATGGAAGGGAAGGAATTACTACAGACCTCATAGGTATTAAAGAAATTAAAAGGGAGTACAACAAACAATTCTATTCCTAAAAATCGGGCAATTAAGATGAAATGGACTCATTCCTTGAAGACATAAACCACCAAAACTCACTCAAGAAAAAAAAAAAGATAAACTTAATTGTTTTATATCAATTTAATAGACTTTTTTGAGAGAAGTTTCAGGTTCACAGTAAAATTGATCGGAAAGTACATAGAGTTCCCATAATACCGCCACTCTCACACAGGCACAGCCTCCCCCCTGTTGACATCTTGAGACCGTGATACATTTGCTACAGATGTGGTTCATTTGTTATAATTTATAAACCTACATGGACACGTCTATATCACCCACAGTTCATAGTTCAATTAGGGTTTACTCTTAGGGGTGTACGCTCTATGAGTTTTGATAAATGTATTATGACAATAAGGACCATTATAGTTCATACAGAATAGCTTCCCTACCCTAAAAAATCCTCTGTGCACCACCTGCTCATCCCTCCTTCCCTGCTAGGCACTGGCAACCACTGATCTTTTTACTGTCTCCATAGTTTTGTCTTTTCTAGAATGTCATATAGTTGCAATCATACAGTATGGAGACTTTTCCCATTGGCGTCTTTCACTTAGTAATGTGCATTTAAGGTTCTTCCATATCTTTTCATAGCTTGATGGCTCATTTCTTTTCTTCCTAAATTTTTTATTGAGGCAAAATACACATAATATAAAATTTACTATCTTAACCATTTTTAAGTGCACAGTTCACTGGTATTAAGTACATTCACAATGTTGTGCAACCATCACCACCATCCATATCCAGAACTCTTTTTATCTTGCAAAACTGGAACTCTATACACATTAAACAATAACTTCCCATTCTCCTCTCCCCCAGCCCCTAGGAAGCACCGTTCTACTTTCTGTCTCTAAAGGACCTCATCTAAGCGGAATCATATAGTATTCGTCTTTTTGTAATTGGTTTATTTCACTTACCATAATGTCTTCATGGTTCATCCATGTTGATGTCAAACTTGCTTCCATTTTTAAGGCTGAAAAATATTCTATTGTATGTATATACCACATTTTGCTTATGCACTCATCCATCCATGGATACTTGGATTTCTTACACATTTTGGCTATTGTTAGTAATGCTGCTATGAACATGAATTTACAAATATCTATTGGAGACTCTGCTATCAATTTCTTTGAGCATACACCCAGTAGAATTACTGGCTCATATGATAATTCTACTCTTAATATTTTGAGGAGCAATATACTGCTTCCCACAGTAGAGTACCATTTACTGTTCCCACCAACAGTGCACAAGGGTTCCAATTTCTCCAATTCTCACCAACACTTGTTATTTTCTGTTTGTTTTTTATATATAGTAGTCATTCTAATGGATGGAAGGTGGTATCTCATCGTAGTGTTGATATGCATTTCTCTAATGATTAGTGATGTGGGGCATCTTTTCATGTACTTACTGGCCATTTGGATGTCTTCTTTGGCAAAACATCTGTTCAAGTCCTTTGCCCATTTTTGAAGCAAGTTGTTTTTGTTATTGAGTTTTAGGAGTTCTCTTTATATTCTGGATATGAACCCCTTGTCAGATACGTGATTTTCAGATGTTTTCTCCTATTTCTTTGGGTTACCTTTTTTCTCTGTTGATATTGTCTTTTGATGCAAAAATATTTAAAATTTTCATGAAATTCAATTTGTGTATTTTTTTAATTTTGTCTATGCCTTTGGTATCATATCCAAGAAATTATTGCCAAATCCACTGTCATGAAGCTTTTGTCCTGTTTTCTACTAAGACTTTTATAGTTTTAGGTCTTACATTTAGGTCATGGATCCATTTCGAGTTACTTTCTGTGTATAGTGTTAGGTAAGGGGCCAACTTCATTCTTCGCATGTGGTTATCCGGTTTTCTCCCAGCACCATTTGTCAAAAAGACTGTCTTTTCTCCATTGAATGGACTTGGTGCCCTTGTCAAAAACGATTTGACCTAACGTGTGAGGGTTTATTTCTGGACTCTTTATTCTATTCCATTGGTCTATATTTCTGTCTTTATGCCAGTACCACCCCGTTTTGATTAGTGTAGCTTTGTAGTAAGTTCTGAAATCAGGAAGTGTGAGCCCTCCAGCTTTGTTCTTTTTCAGGATTGTTTTGGCTATTCGGGGTCCCTTAAGATTCCATACGAATTTTAGGATAGATTTTTATGTTTCTGCAACAAATGTCGTTGAGATTTTGATAGTGATTGCATTAAATCTGTAGATCACTCTCGACAGTACTGACATCTTAATGATACTGAGTCTTCCAATCTGTGCACGTGGGATGTCTTTCCATTTATTTATGTCTTCTTTAATTTCTTCCAGCAATGTTTTGCAGTTGTCATCGTATACGTCTTCCACCTCCTCGGTTAAGTTAATTCCTAAGTATTTCATTCTTTTTGATGCTAGTGTAAATGGAATTGTTTTGTAATTTCTTTTTTGGGTTGTTCATTGTTATCATAAAGAAATACATCTGATCTTTTGTGTGTGTTGACTTTGTATCCCGCTATTTTGCTGAATTCATTTATTAGTTCTAACAGATTTTTTGTGGAATCTTTAGGATTTTCTACATATAATATCATAGCATCTGTGAACAGAGATGACTTTATTTCTTCCTCTCCAATTTAGATGCTTTTTGTTTCTTTTATTGTCTAACTGCTCTCCCAAAACTTCCAGTACTGGGGTGAACAGAAGTGGCAAAAGTGGGCTTCCTTGCCTTCTTCCTGATCTTAGAGGAAAAGCTTTCAGTTTTTCAACATTGAATATGTTTGCTGTGGGTTTTTCATATATATATTTTATTATGTTGAAGTAGTTTCCTTCTGTTTCTAGTTTGTTGGTTTTTTTTTTTTTTTTTTTTTTGAGGAAGATTAGCCCTGAGCTAACTGCTACCAATCCTCCTCTTTTTGCTGAGGAAGACTGGCCCTGAGCTAACATCCATGCCCATCTTCCTCTAGTTTACATATGGGATGCCTACCATAGCATAGCTTGATAAGCGGTGCCATGTCCACACCCGGGATCGAACTGGCGAACCCCAGGCCGCCGAAGCAGAACGTACGCACTTAACTGCTACACCACTGGGCCAGCCCCCATTGGTTGTTTTTATCATGAAAGGGTACTGAATTTTGTCAAATGCTTTTTCTGCATCAATTGAAATGATTATGTATTTTTTCCTTCCATTCTGTTACTTTGGAAGCATCTTTGCCTTCCAGGAATAGATCTCTCCAGGTCACGGCATATAACCTTTTATATGCAGCGTGATTCAGTGTGCTAGTATTTCGTTGAGCATTTTTTGAGTGAATGTTCATAAGGGATATTGGTCTGTAGTTTTCTTTTCTTGTAGTGTCTGGTATCAGGGTAGTTCTGGCCTCATAGAATCAGTTAGGGAGTGTTCCTTCCTCTTTAATTTTTAAAAAAGCTTACAGTGAATGAGGAATAAATGAAAAAATCTTTAATCTGATAGAAGACATTTATGAAAACCTTACAGCCAACCTCATGCTCAACTGTAAAAGACCGAATGCTTTCCTCCCAAGACCGGGAACGACACACAGACGGCCTCGGAATCAGGTCATCCTGCAGGTTCTACCCACGGCAGGAAGGCAGGGAGAGGAAATAAAAGGCAAACATACTGGAAATGAACAATAAAACTGTGTCTACTCACACGATTGTCCACAGAGAAAACCCTCGAGAATCTACAAAGAAAAAAAACCCTCCTAGAAATAGAAGAGTTCAGCCAGGTTGAAGAATGCAAGCTTAAAATAATAAAAATTAATTATTTTTCTATATAATAGCAATAAAAAAATTGGAATTCAAAATTTTGTTTAAAAGTATGATTTACAACAGAATAAAAAATGAAAAGTATAAATCTAACAGAATACCTACATAATGAAAACCATGAAAGCACTAATGAAAGAAATCAAAGAAGACAGAAATAAATGGAGAACCAGACCACGTTCACAGTTTGGAATACTGTTATAAGTTACCTCCAAATTGATCACGGCAATCCCAATCAAAATCTAAGAAAGAGTTTTTGTTGTTATCAACAAGCTGATTCTAAAACTATTTATAAAAGAAAAGATACTCAAATAGATACTCAAATGGCCAAAATAATTCGAAATGAAGAACAAAGTTGGCGGACTCACACTCCCTGACTTCAAGATTTTCTATAAAGCTACAGCAATAAAGACAACATGATGTTGGCAAAAGGGGAGGTACACAGGTCAGGGAAACAGAATAGAGAAACAGACCCACACAGACAAAGTCGTCTGAAGTCGGACAAAAGTGCAAAGGCAGGTTAATGAGACAGAAGCATATTTGGAACAACTGGACGTCTATATGCAAAAAAGAAAGTGAACTTTGGCCCATAACTTGCACTTAATGTAAAAATTTAATTGATTATAGACCTAAATGTAAAAGTTTTAAACTGTTAGAAGAAAATCTTTGTGACCTTGTGTTAGGCAGAGAGTTCTAAGATTCAACACCAAAAGTGTGATCTAAAAAAGAAAAAAGTGATCAATTGGACTTTATCAACATTAAACTTTTGCTCTTCAAAAGACATGGTTCAGAGAATAAGACAGACGAACCACAGAGTAGTAGAAAATATTTGCAAACCACACATCTGACCAAAGCACTTGTATCCAAAATACATAAAGAACTCTCAGAATTCAATACTAAGAAAAGCTCACAAAGGAAGGGGACTAAAGATTTGAAGAAATACTGCCAAGTGTTGGCAAGGATGTGGAGGAACAGGAGCTCTCCTGCAGTGTTGGTGGAAATGTAAAATAGTACCACCACTTTGGAAGACAGGTTGACAAATAAGCACATTAAAGAATTTCAGGCGCTGGTCTGGTGGCAAGGTGGTTAAGGTCGTGCACTCCGCTTTGGAGGCCCAGGGTTTGCCAGTTCGGATCCCGGGCATGGACTTATACACCTCTCATCAAGCCATGCTGTGGCAGGCGTCCCACATATAAAACAGAGGAAGATGGGCACAGATGTTAGTCCAGTGCCCATCTTCCTCAGCAAAAAAGGAGGGTTGGCGGCAGATGTTAGCTCAGGGCTAATCTCCCTCAAAAAATAAATAAATAAATACGAATTTCAGCACATCACTAGTCATCAGGGCAATGCAAATTAAACTACAATAAGGAATATCTGCACACTTATTATAAAGGTTAAAATTTTTTTAAAATTTCACAACATCAAGTGGCACAGCCCCCTTGGAAAATAGTTTATCAGTTTCTTGTAAGTTAAACATACACCTACCATATGGCCCAGCAATTCCACTCCTGGGTGTTTACCCTAGGGAAATGAAACTCATGATCATGCAAAAACCTGCGCACAAACAATGATGTAGCAGCTTTGTTCTTAATCGTCAGAAACAGGAAACGATGACAAGGTCCTTCAATCATTGACTGACTAAACAAACTGTGGTGCGTCCATTCGATGGGGTGCTACTCAGCGAGAAAAGGGAATGAACTATTGGTGAACATGACAACAGGGAGGAATCTCAAGGGCATTCTGCTAAATGAGAGAAGTCAGACCCAAAAGGCTTCACACTGTATGACTGATTAATATGACATTCCAGAAGAGACACGACTATCGTGACTGAAAATCAGCGGTTGCCAGGGGTTTGGGATGAGGGGGGAGCTGACTGCAATGGAGCAACACAGGGGCACTTATGAGGGGGTGGAATTCTTCTGCACGGGGCGGTGGTGGTCCACACCCACCTGTCAGAACTCAGACCTGAACGGCACAAGGAGTGAATTAGGCGAAGACGGAGACGGAGGGGACCGCAGTTCTGGGTTCTGTGAGGTCAGCCAGATGCATTTCCTCTCCCTAAAGAGGCTGACGGCCTCAGCCTGCTGTGTGCTAGGGTTTTTTTGTCTTCATTATTTTTTGTATTCTCCTTCCCTTGCGTTTGTGTTTTGTTTGGCTGGACCACATACTCTTGAGATGTTTTCATGGAGAGCGTATGAGTGGCGCCTTTCAGAACAGCTGTATGACCGGAAATACTTTAATGTCCATACACCACAGGACCCCATGCAGTTGTGTAATCAAAGTCATTTTCCCTCAGCCTTCGAAGGCTTGGTCCCACTGTCTTCAGGCATCTCGACTTGCTGAGTTGAAGAAGGATGCCGATCCCTCTGGAAACTTTCAGGATGTGTCTTTGTCTTTGGTGTCAGATATTTCACCAGTGTGTGTAGACACGCACCATTTTTCATTGACCTTGTCCCATATTGGGTCAAAATTCTATCTGAAGACCCATGTTTCCCCTCTGCTCTGGAAAAGATTCTGTTTCTCCCTTTTGCTGGTCTCTTCCTGGAAATTCTATTTGGTGAACACTGGACCTTCTGGAATAGCATCGGCTTCTCCGAAGGCTCCTTCCTGTATTCCATCTCGCCTTGTGTTTGACATGCTTCTTTGTCTATCTTCCCACTTCCTCTTGGGTGGGTCAGTCCTACTGTCCAGCCCTTCTGTTTGTGGGGGACGTCCCACCCTGATGACCTGTGCCATCCCACTTCAGCTCCGTGTGGCCCCGTCACTGAGACTCTGGGGCTCACGTCCCCTCACCTGCAGCGTGACAGAGGACACTTGGAGAGCGAGCCAGCAGGGCGACTGCCGTGGGCAGGGCTGCAGATGTGACAATTGTCCTGTGGTGTTTGCCTGGAGAACCAAACACAGGTCAGGGGGTCAACTGTGTTGTCAACAACAATGGGCATTTTACAAGCGGCAAACTCTTTTATGTAAATAAACCAGAAGCAACAAGGGCTCCGGGGACTCAGCTCAAACACTAACAAGGAAGGAGAAGGCTCGGTGAGCTGCCTGCTGGGGCAACACACACTGGAGAGGGGTATAAAAGCCACAGCCCCAGGCACCATGCACACTCACACACACACTCACACACACTCCACTCTCCTCCAGCTGCACCAAACCCACCATGGCCGCCTCCACCCTGTCCGTCTGCTCCAGCGACCTCAGCTATGGCAGCCGGGTTTGCCAGCCCGGTGCCTGGGACTCCTGCCCCGACTCCTCCTGGCGGGTGGACGATGGCCCAGAGAGCTACTGCGAGCCCCCCTGCTGCGCCCCCAGCTGCTGCGCCCCGGCCTCCTGCCTGAGCCTCATCTGCACCCCCGCCAGCTGTGTGTGCAGCCCCTGCCAGTCAGCCTGCACCAGCTCCTGCACACCCTCGTCCTGCCAGCAGTCTAGCTGCCAGGCCTCCTGCTGCGCCTCCTCCCCCTGCCAGCAGGCCTGCTGCGTGCCCGTCTCCTGCACCCCTGTCTGCTGCACCCCTGTGTGCTGTGTGCCCGTCTGCCCTGGGCCCTCCCCCTGCTCAGACACCTCGTGCTGCCAGCAGTCTAGCTGCCAGCCCTCCTGCTGCACCTCCTCCCCCTGCCAGCAGGCCTGCTGCGTGCCCGTCTGCTGCACCCCCGTCTGCTCTGGGGCCTCCCCCTGCCCAGCCCCCTCGTGCTGCCAGCCCAGCCCCTGCCCCCTGTCCTGCTGCAAACCCTCCTCCTGCGTGTCCCTCATCTGCCGCCCCGTGTGCAGGCCCGCCTGCTGTGTGTCGGTCCCCTCCTGCTGCGGCCCCGCCTCCTGCCAGCCAAGCTGCTGCCGCCCGGCCTCCAGCGTGTCCCTGCTCTGCCGGCCTGTGTGCAAACCCTCCTCCTGCGTGTCCCTGCTCTGCCGCCCCACGTGCCGACCCTCCTCCTGCGTGTCCCTGCTCTGTCGTCCCACGTGCTCCCGTGTGGCCCGCTGCAGCCCCGCCTCGGCCCAGAAGTCCTGCTGCTGACCGGGCACGTCCCCCAGAGCCAGCCGGGCCCCAGGTCCCACCCCGTGACCGTGGTCCTCCCAGTCCCCTCAGTCCAGTCCTGACCTGTTAGGTGGCTGCCCTCACCCAGGACAGGGTCCCCGCATGTGTCCACTGTCCTGACCTGACCTCTGCCTCCCAGGAACCCTGACGTCGCTGCTCCCCAGCTGCTGCCTCCAGGAGGCTCCTCCACCCGCCTCTGGGTCACCTGTCCTCTCCCAGGTGCTCTGCTCGGGTCACCTGTGGACTTTCAAGTGTCAGCCCCTCCTCGGCACCCAATAAACTCCCTTCCTCACCTGATGCGCTTCCTTCATCTGACACTCGGGGGTGGGGTTGGGGCGACACATGGTTCTGACCAGACATTGGTCTCCTCCAGCCGCGAACATTTGTGGGAGTGAGTGACTGAGGAATCCCGAAGGGCAGTGGAGTCCCTCCTCTGGGCCGGGTCACCGGTGGGACTCCTGCCCTCGCCCAGGAAGGTCAGTGCCTGCTCAGGCCGTGCCAGAGACGTGACCACAGCAGTGTGGAGAGTCCCTGGTCCGAGGTGCCCTGCTGTGAAGTCAACTCCTTGCTGCCACCTGCCTCCGGTTCCCAGACAGCACCCTAAGGATGTTGTCCTTGCTTTGTCATTTGCGGGCCTCCAAGCATCACATCCACTTCCTGAACGCTGTCACATGGGGAAGTTCCCCTCCCTTCTGGCAAGTCCCAGTGCCACCTCCCACCATGGAAACCAATGAGGCCATGTGTGTCCCCCTCAGCACCCAGAGTGGCAGAGGCCACGTGACCAGGTGGACTTTGCTGAATTAAGTGTTAGAGTAAATATGAGGCCCATGGAGGGTTTCTCTTCTTTAGCGTTAGAGGTGCATGGAATTTGGGCAGAGACTTGCTAAAGAAAGATTATACTCTATAACTATTTTACATAGGTGCTTTGGCAGTGGATGTTTGATAACTTTCCATTTTTTACCCTTTTAACGTGTTAAGCTGGGAATTAATAGCTTCTAAGTTGCAATTACTTATAGTCAAGTATACACGGTTTCTGTACCGTCCAAGTAGGAAACTGATGTGCGGCTGGTTTTGCTGGCATTCTGAGATCACGATCTTGGTGGGTGGTGCACGGATTTTAATTGTGGTCAGATACGCGTAACACAAACTGTTTTTGAGTGTACAGCTCAGTGGCATTGAGTACATTCACATTGTTGCGCAACCATCACCACCATCCATCTCCAGACCTTTCCATCTTCCCAAACTGAAACTCTATCCCCATTAAACACTAACCCCCCATCCACCTTCCCCAGCCCCTGCCACCCACCCTTCTACTTTCCCTCTCTAAGAATCTGACTGCTGTACGTACCTCATATAGGTGGAACCATGCAGTATTTCTCCTTTTGTGACTGGCTTATTCCACTTGGCGTAATGTTCTCAAGGCTCACCCATGCTGATGTCAGAACTTCCTTCCTTTTCAAGGTTGAATAATATTCCATTGTATGGATAGGCCACATTTGACTTAGCCACTCATTCTTCCATTGATGGACATTTAGGTGGCTTCTATATTTTGGCTGTTGTGAGTAATGCTGCTGTGAGCATGGGTGCATGACTATGCCCTTGGGATCCTGCTTTCAGTCCTTTGGGTACGTCCGCACAAGTAGAATTGCTGCGTCATATGGTAATTCAGTATAGATTTTTTGAGGGGCTGCCATAGTGTTTTCTATAACAGAAGAACCATTGTGTTGCACCAGCAGTGCACAAGGGCTCCAATTTCTCCACATCCTCGCCAGCACCTGCTATGTTCTGTTTTTCTGACAGTAGCCATGCTCACAGGTGCGAGTGGTGCATTTGGTTTGATCACAGACCGTGGGTGCTGCAGGAAATCCTGCAGCCGGGAGCCCCGCCCTCCCCTGGCTGTCTTTCCCTGCCGGTCCTCCCCTGCCCGTCCTCCTCCACCCATCCTCCCCTGCCCCCCTCACCCCCCGCCCGCGTCCTCTCTTGCAGAAGAACGAGTACCTGCTCGCGGTGGTGGCAGAGGACCGGGATGCGCTGCTGCTCGGCCTGCGCTACTCGCCCACCCAGCTGCACTTCCTGTTCCTCCGCGAGGACTCGGCCGGCGCCTGGCAGACCCGCGTGTCTTTCCGCAGTCCGACACTGATGGACAGCCAGTGGCACACGCTGGTCTTGGCCGTGTCTGAAGGATCCTTTTCCCTCACCACGGACTGCGGCCTCCCCGTGGACATGTAGGTACCAGGACGCCCGGAGAGGGTCGAATGTGTGTGTGCTGCCCGACAAGAGGGGTCCAGAGTGGCCGGGCCAGGTGCAGCTCTCGTGGTGCCGTGTGAACCCGGTCTGGGGGCACAGCCCAGCACCCCCCGGCGCGGGGTCAGGCTGGTGGAGAAACAATCATTAGGAACCACCCGCTGAGGCGGGGGCGCCAGGGCCATCGTCAGGACCTGGGGTCAACCCTGCCCCCAGCAAGGCCCGGGTGGGGCAGGGGCGAATGCTGGAGGAGGGCATCTAGAGGAAGCTGAGGCCTGGGCCGGAGTCCAGGCTGGGTGAAGCGGACTCGACCAGGAGAAGAGTGTTGTTACCATCAGCAAAAGGCCGTAGGGGTTGTAAAGCCCACAGGCGCCAGATCCAACCTGTGGCTGCAGCCTGGATCAAGACCCGGTGCTTGCTTTGACTCTCAACGTGATCATTTAACCTACAACTTGCTTTCCTCCTCTGGGATGAGCCAGTAAATCATCACTAAAACCCTAAATAACCGTGCAGAATAGTCCCTAGTAGCTTTGACGTGACCCCAGGCACTCGAAGCCCGAGTTCATATCTGGTCCTCATGGTTGCCTGATTCCCATGGCCTGGAAGCCAGTCGGCTGGACTAGGGAACGGTGAGTCCCTGCAGCCCGGCCAGTGGATGGTGACCCATGTCAGCCCTCAGCTCCCATCCTTGCCGAGTGGGGCTGGCGATTCTTTCTTTTTAATCACAAATGGTCCAGTTTATGTTGAATCTATCATTATTCCAAACATTAATTTCAAAGGCAGACTCTTATTCTGCTTTGTTATTATGTAACTTATTCCATAATAAAAAGAATACTTAACATTTATATACTTTGTTTAAACACGTCTTTATCACAGCCCTCCCCCACCATGTCCCCAAATTCATCGGGGCGTGTATGGGGGCGGGGGATGACTTCTCAGAGAGCCAGCAGTGAGGACAGCCCTGGGATGGGGCGGATGCAGGAGGCCAAGTGGGTGGGGGACGAGGAGCTGGGGCTGGAGCTGATGGTGGCCAAGGAGGAACGTAGGCCCCGAGGCCAGACATCAGAGGCCTCCTAGGCATCATGGAGGGCACACACCAGGACTCAGGAGGCCGGGGAGCTGTGCTCAGAGCACAGGACACTCTGGAACAGCGGTCAGGAGCTGACCTTGCCACGGCCAGCTACAGCCAGACGGCAAAGATTGGAAGGAGCAGGTGCTTCTACAAGAGGATGTGGCATGGTGGCCTGAGAGGGCCTACGCAGCCAGGAGAAAGCCTGTGCCTGGCTTTTCCACCCCAGAGGCTCTGGCCACACTGTCCCCTCCAGCAGGGCACCCACCTTCTCCCTGTCCCCACATGCACCTGCACATCCAGACCTGCCTCCAGCTGTGAATTCCAGAGGTTCCCGGGTCACCGTCAAGGCGAATCCTGTCCTGCCCTGACACCATCTGTCCCCTACCGGGCTCGGTGGAGGGCAGGCATGCCAGGCACCCCGTGCAGGTAGGAGCCACTAAAGGCTCCTGTGAGACAGAGAAGAGCCACAGCACACCTCTCAGCACACGCTTTTGCCGAAGACCTGTGTCCTGGGGTGAAGAGCGTCCCCCCAGTTCACACCCACCAGAACCTGTGACGGGACACGAGGTCTTTGCAGCTGTGATCAGGTTAAGCTGAGGTCACACTGTGGGCCCTGATCCGGACACTGGTGTCCTTATGAGGAGAGGAGAAGGGGCACAGAGGAGAAGCCGTGCGACGACGGGGCATAGAGCGGGGTGATGCTGACACGAGGCGGGAACGCCGGAGCCCCCAGAGTTGGGAGAGAAAGGGAGGGTCTTCTCAGAGCCTCCAGGGGGAGTGCGGCCCTGCCTGCACCTTGACTTTGGAATGCTGGCCCCAGGACTACCGGAGAACACGTTTCTCTTGTTTCAGCCGCCCAGCCTGTGCACTCTGCCACGGCCGCCCCTGGACACTGGTCCGTCCCTGCCCTTTTCTACATAAACGGGCAGCCATCCTGCTCTCCCATGGCCCTAAAACCCTCCTCCAATGTTTTCAGAGTGGCTGACGTGCCCTTCCCGGCCACCCTATCCATGCAAGGAGCCCGGTTCTTCATCGGCAGCCGGAGGAGGACCAAAGGCCTGTTCACGGTAGGTATGGAGGGGGCCGCCAGCCTGGCCCTCTCAACACCTGTGCTCATGGGGGGCTGTCACCACAGGTCTGTCGCTACGACCTGATGCTGTGATTCATCAGATTGTTGTGTGTGCTAAATGGAAATGGTGAACATGAGGGCACAGTGGAGCCCCACACGCCATGCAGATGCCCACCACAGGGCCTTTGCACTCACTGTTCTCTCCTCCGGGCACACTCATCCCCACTGCTACCTCGGCTTACCCCTACGCTCTGGGCCCTGTCCTGTCCTCTCACCATGGAGGCTTCCCCACCACTCTGAGAAGGTGACCCCACACCCAGCCCGCCCAGCCCCTCCTCTGGGTGTCTTTTCTCCATAGCCCTGACCACCTGCAGACCAGCTGTGTGTTTCCTCATTGTCTGTCTTTCCTCTGGAATGTGGGGTGAGAGGGGGGAGGTGGACCTCCTTCCATCACAGTGGGGGATTTTGTTTCCTGCTGTCTCCAGTGCTAGAACCATGCCAGAGGCATTGTAGGGGTTCTGTGAATATTTATTGATGGCGTGCTTGGATGGATGGATGGATGGATGGGTGGTTGAGTAGATGGGTAGGTGGGTGCATGGGTGGATGCATAGGTGGGTGGACGGATGGATGGATGGGTGGATGGGTAGGTGGGTGGGTGGGTGGGTGGATGGATGGTGAACGGTTGAGTAGATGGACGTAAGGATGGATATATGAATGGACGGATAACAAATGGATGAGCACTGTAGCTGGTTACTCTGGGTTAGTCCGCAGGAAAACTCCCTTCTGTGGTTTAATTACCTTAGAATGGTGTACAGACCTCCACCATTGCTCCCAATGCCCTCCCATAACCATATGCAGCCTCTTCTCTCCATGCTCTAGAGGAGGTTGGATGCCCCTCCCCCATTCGCACCCCTCCCTCGGGGTCTGCACAGGCTGAGCCCAGCGGTCCCCAGCCCCTCTAGCAGCGCGGGTCTGAAGGTGCTGTGCCTCTCTCTGCAGGGCCTGCTGAGGCAGCTGGTCCTGCTGCCTGGCTCGGATGCCACACCCAGGCTGTGCCCCTGCAGGAACGCCGAGTTCGCCTTGCTGTCCATCCCCCGCATCCTGCGGGGTTTCACAGGGAAGCCAGAAGAGAATGAGGTGCTAAGATATCCCTATGGTTAGTAGGCCACAGCCACCCGCTCCCCCACGCGAGTGGTGTCCCAAGCGCCCTGTCACTTCCCACCCTCTCCCGGGCACAGGGACAGGAGGGCAGCTGTTACATTGACAAAGGGAACGCTTGGGGTTAATGCAGCCGGGCCCAGGGGAGGCAGACCAGGGGGTCAGACACACCAGCGTCATGTGCCCTTCCTCTGGAGGGCTTCCACAGCGGCCGTCCAGCCCCCGTCCGGACAGTGCCTTTGATGGGCCGCTCATTCTGCCTGGAACCCCGGGCGTTCGCTGACCTAGACTTCCTTCCCTTGAGCCTCTCACTCCCACCTGCTGCCTGTTTTGCCCCTAAAGCAGCATTTGGGGCCCTTTCTCCCCATCCCTCTCCGATAGGTTTCCAAACCTCAGCCCTGGCTCCCCGACCTTCAGGAGGTACATTTCTATTTTCCGTACCCTCCCCAGCCCGGACGGTCCCTGGCTTTGCTTTCTCTAGTCTGTGTTTGCATCTTCCCAATGCAAAGTTACCGTGTTGACTGTTTATTTAAACCACGTCCCCCACCCTCACCACTCAGCAAGGTGGGGAGACAGCCGACCCGCTGAGCCTCGCAGTCCTTGCTTCGCAAGCTCAGGGAGCCCCCTCTCCAGCACGTCCGCCCCTCACAATCTAGTCCTGGAATGGTGCTTCCAAATTCTCAGAGACACGGGGCTCCGCTGTAACTGGAAGGAGACTCGCAGGGGCAGGAGTTGGACCCCAGGCCTCTGCTGGGCACAACGAGAGGTGAAGGACGTGCTCAGTGTCACAGCCTGGCTGTCGCGACCCGGCCGCAGCGTGGATGTCGCTGTACTGTGGCCAAGTAGCAGCATTAGGATGTATGAGCTTGACCTGAGATGGAGGCAGAATTACAAGAAGTGATGGGGTCAGAATGCCACAAAACCAAGCAAAACGGAAGTTTAAATTAACTTGTGCCAGTAAGTAATAGACATGAGATGGGAGCAAGGCCACACCTTGATCCTAAGGATTTTCAGAAGCTAAGGACCCAAGGGAAGACATGCTGCCTTCTGGAGCGGTAGGGAGGCGGACGTGCAGGGAGCACCACAGCCTCCTGCTGCGCAGATGCCCCGGGGCAGCCACGTGCTCTCCTGGTCTCACCTGCCTCCCTGAGACCTCGGTTAAGACCACTGAGTGGTTCCTCGCAGTCCAGCAGGCAAAGGCAAGGCAGGACCGCCTGGGCAGGGTCCATCTCCTGACCCGTCTCCCTCCAGGGAGCACGTCCCCACTGGATACTCATCTTCCTTGTCTCTCCCCAGAAACCGACATGAAGGTGACACTGGGATCCCGACCTCCATGTACCAAATTGGAGGATGCCCAGTTCTGGTTTGACGCCAGCAGGAGGGGGCTGTACTTGTGCGTGGGCAGCGAGTGGGTCTCTGTGTTAGCAGGTGAGGCGGGCAGGGTGGTCGTGGCCCCAGGCTCTGGGGTTTAGGGGCTCTTCTCTGAGCCAGCCTGACTTAGGAATGGCAAACGACCCCCATCCTGGGCGGGACCCGGGGGCAGGTAGGGCTCGTCCTCTCTCACATGGTCCCAGGCTGGGGAAGAGCACGGGTCTCCTCGTGGGGGCTGGCCTCCCTTGTAGGCCCTGCCGGCCTCCTCACTCCCTGTCTGCCAGCTCTGATCACAGATTCTGTGCGGTGGTGCCTGAGTGTTCCTCTCAGAGTGGTACTGTTCCCAGCAAGCCCTTTCAGCAGCCCAGTCCTGTTCATGGGAAGGGCGAGTGGAGGCTGCTGCGGATGCTCTGGGTGGGCTGTCCGCAGGAAATGGGAACTGCCTCCAGCTGGTCCGGCGGCGAGCTCTTGACTCGACTCTAGTTCACTTTAGGGCACAACCTTTGATAGAAGCAACGGGTGTGAGAAACATCTAATAAGGACCCAACATAGCCATTCCATCCGATCTGTATCACTGGGGGCTCTCTAGATCCTAAACCCATGCAGGAGCCAACAGCCTCCTCTGACCGACCTCTCCGTGAGTGAGGAACCGAGCTCTGAGTGACTCGCCCTTTGTGAAAGCGACGCCCATCGCTAATGCTCCCTGGGGTCCTGCTCCCAGGACGGTCCATCCAGGCTTCCATTCTGGGGAGCGTTAACCAGTCTCAATATTTCTGTCACAAGCCGAAGAAAAACTGGACTATGTGGAAGAGCATCAGAGCCTGTTCACCAACTCGGAGACACTGGGCATCGAGGTCTTTGTCATCCCTGAGGCCGGGCTCTTTGTAGCAACTGCCAATCGGAAGACCACCTCTGCCATCTACAAATGGACCGACGGGAAGTTCGCCTCGTACCAGAACATCCGCACGCACCAAGCTCAGTCCTGGAGACATTTCACCATCGGGAAAAGGGCAAGTGTGCATTTGGTGACTTCCTCGATCTTTTTTATCTTGGAAAAACCCAGAGTCCGAAGACTGGGGCTCCATACATAGATTCTAGGGGGAAAGTATTCCTCTTGGTTTCAAAAGCCTTATTCAGCTTCTAAATGGCTTTCAAAGTCAGACGCTCAGCTGCCTCTCTAAATCCAGGGGTAGATGACAGTGTCCTAAGGCGCCTTCCCCTGCCTGCGCCCCAAATCCCTCACTCACCAGCACGTGTGTGCCGAGCACAGCCCTGCCCGCACCTTGGCCGCCCTCACCTCAGCTCCCACTGGTGGTGGGTGAGTGATCCAGACAGACACAGCTCGGCTCTCCCGCCACTTGCAGCCGCCAGGGTCCCGCCATGCTCCAATCCAATGTGGGGAAGGAATGACCAGCTCTCTGGTTTTTCAATTGATGTCATTTTAAAACTTTCTATTTTTTCATTATAAAAACTTTTTGTCAAAGAAAAGGTGGGAAAGTTAGAAAAACAAGGGGCAAAACCTTCTGTCCCATCGCCCAGGCAGATGCAGGGTTCACTTTGGGCTCACTCACTTCCAGGCACAGCATGCGCATCCTACCTGCCAAGCTCTGGCTCCCGTTATAACCACACAGGCGAGCGATCTTGCCTCCTGGTCACGTCACATGCAGGGCATTCCCGGTTGTACTCGGCTGCGGAACAAACACCTGGTTCCTGCGGAGAGCAGGGCGTTAAGACTTTCCACTCCTCCAGGTGATGAAGACCGTTTTTGTGCATAGAGCTTTTCCTGAGTTTGGGAGATAGAAATGGAAGTAAAGGGCTGGGGAATATGGACACACTGAAGGGTCTTAAACATAATCAGCAGATCCGGGGACAGTGAGGGGCTCCCGGGCCACCCCGAGGCCGTCGGTAACGGCCATTTGGACAGAGACGCTGATGTTCAGGAGCCGTTAGCGCCTGACCGCTCACACCGATCACGAGAACCGAGCGTCCCGGGTCCTCTCTTTCAGATCTTCCTGGCCGTGGCCAACTTTGAACCGAATGAAAAGGGTCAGGAGTTCTCCGTCATTTACAAATGGAGCCAGAGAAAACTGAGGTTCACGCCGTACCAGAGGGTCCCCACCCACAGCGCCCGCGACTGGGAGGCCTTCCAGGTGGCTGGGGAGCACTTCCTTGCTGTGGCCAACCATAGGGAAGGTAGGGGCTGTGGCCTTTGACCTGAAAGGAAACCATCCCGGGGCTGGGCATGACTCGCCTGAGGGTTCTTTTTCATCAATAACGATAAGGGGCTGGCTCCGTGGCTGAGTGGTTAAGTTTGCGCGCTCCGCTGCGGCAGCCCAGGGTTCGGATCCTGGGCGTGGACATGGCACCGCTCGTCAGGCCACGTTGAGGCGGCGTCCCACATCCCACAACTAGAAGGACCTGCAACTAAGATATACAACTATGTACAGGGGGTTGGGAAGATAAAGCAGGAAAAAAAAAAAAAAAGATTGGCAACAGTTGTTAGCTCAGGTGCCAATCTTTAAAAAAAAATAAAATAAAATAACGGTAAACCACACCCGGTCCAATTCCTCGGCCTTGGCCATCTGACAGTGGAGTCCAAGGGTGAACACACCTGAGCACCTGCTCACCTGTCCAGGTAGGAAGACAGACCCGCAGTCTGTATGGGGACCTGCCCAGCACAGACTGCCTCCTTTGAAACTAACCAACTAACTGACCTCCCCTTGGGAGGGGTCTGGCTGAAAGAGACGCGATGGTATTTGGCAGCAGGCCCAGAGTTAGGGAGAGGGTGCTGGTGTGGATGGCCATACTAGGAGGGTGGCTAGAAGGATGCAGGAACTTATTTCTCCCAGAACAGGCTCATCAGATCTGGACACAAACTGTGTGTGATGCGTGGGTGGGCGGGAAAGACAGGCCTGGGAGGGGCTCGGATACCTGGTTTCTTGGCCAGTGACTGCCCTGAGTGACCGCAGTGAGCCAGTCTGTAACTCAAGGGGCGGACGGGGTCTGAGTGGCTGCTGGCCCTGCGGGGCACGTCTGGCCCAGCCCTCCCTGGGCTCCACAGGGGGAGAGCAAAGGGGATGCTGGGCAATGTGAGAGGTGAGGCTGGGGTCATCACTGGGGGAGTGGGGAGGGTGGAGGAGAGTGCAGGGATGAGCAGGGCCATGACCTGAGTGCTGCCCTGTCAGGCTTGGCTGGACCAAACAGGCCACAGAGGCCCCGGGGCAGGGCCCAGGGTGGGCCAGGGTTCCGCCAAAGCCGCTACAAGGCTGTGGAAGCCTGCTTCCTCCCTGAACACAGCCTCTTGGCTTCCAGGTGACAACCACAACATCAACAGCGTCATCTACAAGTGGAACCCAAGGACCCGCCTCTTCGAGACCAACCAGACCATCGCCACCTCTGGCGCCTACGACTGGGAGTTCTTCACTGTGGGGCCCTACTCCTTCCTGGCGGTCGCCAATGCCTTCAACGGCACATCCACCAAGGTGCTCTCCCACCTGTACGTCTGGCTCGTCGGCTCCTTCCAGCTCTTTCAGTCTTTCCAGGTGAGGAGCCGGACGTGAGCTCTGTGTTCGCCGCCCCGCCTCGCGTCAGATCCGGCACCACTGCCTGGTGTCTGCGGTGCAGCTGCTGGAGACAGGTGACACGGGACCTGGGGACCCAATGAGCCAGGACCAGCGTCCAGCTCGGGACCCTCCACCCCAGACTCTCCTCACCTGGGCGCCTCCCCCTGTATAAGGCTCAGGCCGAGCCCAGGTTGCCCCAAATATAGCCTCTGTTACCCCAAATACAGCCCGAGGATCCCTGAAATGAGGGGGTGCCATGGCTCTGCCCCTCCTCTGGCCTGGAGCTTTCCTGGCAGCACCAGGTGCTCAGGCAGGCCTCCTTGCGCCTGGCCAGGCCCTGTGGTCTGACCCGGCTTCGTGTGGGCCTTGGGCTCCTCCCCTGGGGCAGCTGGGCTGCTCACCTCTGACCTGGCCACATGGCGGGGGAGAGGACTGGCACATTTTACTTTCCCTTCAGACCTGGAGGGTCCGTAGCTGCTTCCCGTTGCCATGGGCTGGCGGGTGAGACCTTTGAGTCGAGGCAGCGAGAAGCATTTGTTAGGATGGGGCAGTGCTGGCAGCCCCATGAACTGCACGTGTCCTGGTTAGTGTGACAAGAGCTGTGAAGGGAAGCACAGCGCTAGGTTGGGACACTTGCCCATCAAGGGCCATCCGGGCAGGGGCTGGCTGCCCATCCATTTCCTGAGGGTCCAGGGTGCTGTTCCCATAGATGGGCGCCATAGGGGAGGAGAGTGGCTGGGGTGGGGTGTCATTCTCGGCAGCCATTCTCCTTCCTAACGGTCCCGGGAGGTGAGCCGTGACAGCGGTGCTTGCTTGCTGAACAATGGCCACGTAAAGCGGCCGTGCAAAGAGCTTGACCCACTCAGTCCTCCCAGCCACCCCGTGAGGTCAGCTTGGCCACGAGTCCCCTTCCACACAGGGAAGCAGAGGCTCAGAGCTTAGGAGGCTGCTCCCGGCAGAGTGGGGATCGGAACCCAGGTGGTGTGATGCCGTCGACCGGTCGGCGTTGGGCAGTGTCTTTCTCAAACGCCAGTTCCCTGCATTGTATTCCTCATCGCTGGAGCACCTTACGGATGCTCAGACTCCAGAAAACCACACGGCCGTCTTGGGTTGGGTACCAACGTGCTTGGGTGAGCAATGACTGATTTGAAGAGCGTTCAGCAATGGGCTGGTCTGGGGTCTGCCTATCAGGTGACGGAATCTCTGACGGGAGTTAGACCCCAGGCCTGTGAGATTGGAGACGCAAAAGCATCTTGGGGCTGGTGGCGGGCCAGGCAAACCTAAGGGAGGTAAAATCAGGATTCCCAAGAAGGTCTCGACAAGCGAGGACAGTGGCATCGGGCAGCAGCAAAAGGGCCATGTGGAGGCCTGGCAGGCGGTGCAAGCCACAGGCTGACGGCAGTTCCTGTGGAAACCCCATGGGCTCTAAATTAATCGCATGTGTCATCAGGGTCAATGGGTGTCCAGAAAGCCAATGGGATGGTGGGCAGCCCTCCAGCGAGTGTTCCCAGCCCGAGGAGGGGGTTTCAGGTGCTCACACATCCGGAGCCTGGCACACTGGGGAGTGTTCAAGGAGGCAACCAGAATCTGGAAGAGATTTGAAACATATCGCACGAGTGACAACCGCAGGAACTGAAGATTTTGTTCTGAAAGAAGATTCGGGGTGATTGTTTCTAAGTATCTAACGGACAAGCCGGGGGGGCGGGAGAGCAGACCTCTGTGGGGCCCTGGGAGCCCTCCATCAGGTAGATGGGAGATGCAAAAGCGTGTCAGGGCCCCGGAGGGAGGATTACGGGAAAAGAGGAGGACTCCTTGGACACACGTGGGCTGGACCACTTGAGGACACGGAGAATGCGCTGACTGCAGGTGAACAGACACCGTGGAACCCAAGAGGGCACTGAGGACACGCCGTCCGCAGAGCAGGAGAGAGGGCTCAGGGAAGGGCAGGCCCAGTGAGGAGCCGGGAGACGTCAGTACATGCAGGGTTGGGGATGTTCCTCCCCCAGAAGGGAAAGCAGAGGGAGGGAGGGGTTTAGGAAGAAGCAATTAGGAACTCGTTGAAAAGCAACCTTAGGCAGCACGCAGGGTCCCCATGTGAAGCAAGCCCCTATCTTGGTCCTAGACCCTACAGGCGGGCGTGAAGAGAGGATGCCAAAGCTATCCACCAGGAGCCCAGGCAGGGGCAGCTCTATCGTCAGCTCCGTCAGGCTGCTGCTCCCAAATAAGCAAGACCCAGTGGCGGGGGCCCACCCCTGCGCTGGGGACATGGTTTTCTCCATCCCTGACAGCCCCATTCCAGAACCCCTGGAATGTCCACGGATGGCAACCTTTCTCGTTTCCCTTTTTGAAAAGCCTTTCTGCCATTTACAGAGATTTTTAGAGGGAGGTCTGTGGCTGCACGTGCTCAGCAGGCTCGTGATTCCGTCTCAGACCCATTTCCCAGATGAGAAAGCTGAGGCTGGGGAGCGAGGGGACCTGGCTGGGACATATGTGGTAAATGGAGCAGCCAGTCATCTGCAGATGTCCTTGCATCCATCCGAGGTCCCTCCTCCAGGCCTGTGCCATCGAGATGGAGTCCGGAGTCTGGTCTGTGACTGAAGGACTCCCTGGATGTGTCCCTTACTCGAGTCATGGTGTCTCCTCTTCTTGCCCACATGTGGCTCGTCCCTGTGACAGACTGCCGGCTCTTCATCCAGAGGAGATCAGGATGAGACACTGAGCTTTGCGGAGCAGACGCCCCCAGGGTCTCAGCTGGAAGGCAGGTAGAGGAGTTCTCAGAGTGTGGTTACAGGACTCCATCCTGGGCGACACTATAGCGGGAGACAAGCCTGCCTGGAAGGTGGCGGCCACTCTGCGTCTTCAGGCGGCACCTGAGAGGGGCTCCCATCTGCGCCCCGCCTGGCCATGGGCCCTGGACACAGTGGGTGTCCTCAGCAGCGAGGCCGGCGCAGAGGGACAGAATGGGGCCAGTGGAGCCAAGACCAAGGCCTGTCTGGGCTAGATGACCCAAAGGAGAGCAGGCCAAAGGGTGTGACATTGACCTGAAAGAAACATCCAGAAAGACGACCATGAGGGAGCACCTCTCCAGCCCCTCAGGCAGCACTGTCCCAGGAGCCGGAACTCTGGGGGCTACAGGCGACCTGCCTGGGGCGCTGCTGTCGCTCACACCCCTTTGCACCCTGCCTGAAGGCTGCCTTCTCTCACAAGCCACATCTCTTCACACCTCATCAGTTCCTCAAAACCCACACAATTCCACCTCCATGTTCTGCCAGTGTTTTTCATCTTGTGTTTAAGCCCTGTAGGTCCTGGAGATGCCTTAATGTGTTTACTGTTGGTTTGAGGGTTTGCAGCATCTTTCATGACCCTGAGCTTTGAGGCAGGAGAGGCCGGGCGCTTTGAAAGCATGCGTGTGTGGAGAGGGGCCAACCTTGCAGACAGCCTTTCTAGAGGGCTCAGCAGGCGCCGGGTGCGGGCGAGTGGCTGCAGAGCTGTGCACACAGACCGCGCTGGGAGGGTGAGGCAGGGCCCGGGGCCGGGGATGAGTTCAGCTCACAGGAAGGCCCGGCCACGCTGGGTTTGCAGCCCACATGTGAGTGGGAGGCTGGCTGCCCACCCTGCCCTACCCTCTAGGTCTCCCCACCTCTCCCCAGGAATTCTAGAACTTTCTCCAGGTGGCAGGGACCAAGGCTCCAGCAATGTGGCCTCACCATCTTAGACCAAAGGAGGCCCGAGCCGGGTGTGTCCAGGAAGGAACAGGCTCCATCCGTGGGAGATCCAGCTCCTGGGAGTTCTGCTCCCCAAGGGACTGGCTATGGAGTCTGTGGTCACCGTCATCAAACGTAGACCCAGAATGAGGGGCCCAGGGAGGGGACAGGTGCTGCGGGGGAGGGAAGACTCTGGGTTTGTTGCCTGGGAGGCAGGGCTGACGAAGTGAGGACCAGGAGCAGCGGGAGCTGTGGGGCAGGAGGGCCGCTGAGTGCCCAGGGGGCTCGAAGGAGAGGGTCAGCGAAGCCCGGAGGAGGCACGAGTGGGGGCAGGCGGGGGACGGGCAGAGGCGCTGGCCAGAATTTTCCGCAGCTCTTCGGGGCCGCGCAGGGGGTGAAGCTGTGGGCCTGTCAGAAGCTTAGGCTCCACCACGGATGTAAATGTCCAGACACAAGTGAGAAGGAAGAGGCAAGAGTTGGGTTCAGACCACTCTCTATAGGAGCTCCTCAGTGGTCAGCACTGCCCGGGTGACCCTGGGAGGGGCCAGCTCAGCCCTGCAGGTGCTCACGAGGGTGAGGAGCTTTCTCCTGTGACTCCTCTTCGTGCTGTGAGGGGGGACCCGGTAGGGGCCCAGGCAGCCTGGGGGAGGACCAGTCTGCGGTCGGTTAAATCCAATGATGCGAACCCACTGATCCGGAGGGCTGACTAAGGGACTTGAGCATCCGCGGAGCAGGTCTGGAGGAGCTGCCAACTCAGGGAGAGCTCAAGGGGCACCCAGAAGTTGGCCGGGGAGCATGCCACACCCCCAGCCTCCCAGGATGGGACCCCCCCCACCTTAGCCAACACCCACAGTGAGGATGGCAGCACACCCCCAGGGCCCTTGGGTGCAGCCTGCCTTCCCCTGGCCAGTGCACGGCTCCCCTCAACGCCCCCGGCACTCCCAGACCTTAATTCTTTGCTCCACCAAAGCCAGAACCCAACCCTCCTGGCCCAGAAACTAACCCATTCATTACCGGGAGCCACCCTTGAGGGAAGCTGTCAGGGGCTCCAGGGGCTGCAGGCTGCCAAGACAAGGAGGCACCATCATCCCTGCAAGGTGTTCCAGAGCCAGGCAGGGCTCCAGGGGAATTCCGATCAGGAGGGAGGGAGGGGCCTGCCCGGCCCAGCAGGTGCCTGGCCACCCGGCTCCAACAGCGTTGGCAGGGCTGTTTGATGTGGAGATTTCTTCTCTCCCCGTTGAGTCCCTAATGTGCTTGGAATCCAGGAGCAGCCTG